GAACCGCCACTCGACGCGCTGCAGCGCCGGCGGCCGCAGCTGCGCGCTCTTCTTCCGCTCCACCCAGTCCACCCGGAAGCCCTCGTCTGCGTACATGACCGCCATGCAGTGGCCGCACTCGCCGCACCAGAGGTTCTCGTTCGCCTCGTCGATTCGAGAGTAGCCATCCTTGTGGTAGCCGACGGTGATGCGCACGGTGTGCAGGTGCTTGAGCATGGCCCAGAAGCGGTTGTAGTGCATCTATACTGTATGATGAGTCCCCTCTGATGGAGATGAGACTCCCGTTAAATTGCGGGCTTCTGCAATGTGTTTGCCCGCAAGTCGTACCGAATTCCCCCGTTCTCTCTGGAGAAAAAGAGAATAGAGGTACACTCACGGGTAGGCCAATGCCGCCTGTGTACACGATCGGCGAGGGCGGCTCCTCTTTGAATGCTGGGACGTTGCATGTGTTGCAGAGGCTACACCAGATCGATTTCTGCGAGAGCCGGAGGACCCGCAGCTCAGGGAACCGCATCGCGATGGCCTGCAGGAAGACGGGAGACGGCCATGGGTGGTCATGGACCTCGAGCTCTTGCAGAGGCGGCACGTTACAAAAGTCGAATGCATAGTTATAGTCGAGAGGGTCGACGTCCAGGCGTAGTCTGTTTACGCGTTTGAACTTGCTGAGGTCCCACCATGGGCCGGCTTCTGCATCGTGAAGAGTTCTGTCGTGATCTTTGCAATGCAGGACTCTAGAGATGTGCCATCCAGTCCTGTACCAATGCTGAGTTTTTGCATGGAAACGCACCTTATCCAGCTGCTGACTTGAGGAAACGTATCGATCTCGACGAGATCCCTTGGATGGCTGGCTACAAAGACGTGGAACCAAGCCTCGATAGCCGACTGGCGGATACTCCTGGAAGTCAGGGTGAGAGGCTCAATCAATCTCCAATCGGGCTTCAACCTCGTGGCAGTTGACAAGAAATCCTCGTCCACGGTAGGATATGCATCACAGATGTAGTAGGAAATTATCTCGTCAATGAGCTCGATAGGCAACTTGGCGGTCAGTGTCATCTTGTCGTGGGACATTGTGAGAAGGTCGCGACTACGCACGGGCCACTCAAGGATTTCGGACGGTGATTCGAATTATGTAAACTCTGAATTATGTAGATTATACTACGAGACATAAGGACAGCACTAGCTGGTGTGCAGGAAAGGCGATTGCAAAATAAGACAAACGAGCGAAGGAACATGTTGCAGAGGGAGTTTACGTATCCGTATCCAGTGCAGCCAGATGGTCTACAAGATCCTCCATGACAGATTTGGTATGACCGTATTCTGCATCATCTGGTACTGCAGACGGCGAGCTGTATCCCATCGATGATCTCTTGAGAGGGACGAGTGGCGATCCTTGAGGCTCGAAGCCTGGTGCAATTCTATGCAACGCCTCTCGTTTGCGGCGCTCCTTCTCCTCTTCGCGGGACTTGAGGTACGCCTCGCGACGAGCAGCGTGGGCAGCGAGTGTTGCCCGTCGCGAGTCCTCCAGTCTCAGCACATGCGGCTCGAGCGTGAATGGGTAGACGAACTGGCGGCGCGGGTACAGAACGGATGAGAACACGCGTCTCGATGCAGGGAGGACTCACGTATGCGGTTACATCGTCAGGCAGTGGGTGAATATCTGGAGGGCGTACTACCTGAGTAGCATTTATAAACTGATACAGTTGTGTTTCGAAGATGGACGAACCGGCCGAGGTACCCTGAGACTCGGAGATTTAATGAGAGGGATCCGCGCTGCAGCAGCATACTGCATGTGCACTATCAACGAACGGCAAAATAAGTGTAAAACCACACATATTTGACGAAAGACGTACGAGAATCAGGCATACTTGAACGAATCTCTGAAATCTACAGGAAGCCACTGGACAGAAAGCAGCGCGGCCTTTCATTTTCGGGGTTTAAAGTATGCTTACATGTCCCTTTCGGAGATCTAATTCCACCTAACGATCGTGCTAAGCGCGGACCCCAGGTCCTGGAATGACGCATCTTGACTTGATCCTGACATATAAATAAGCGAGGTCCGACTCTCTCGATTACCACCATTGCGTCGGGCGACGATGGCGAAAAGCAAGTCGTCTGCATCCTCCGCAACCCGAAAGAAACACGTACGAAAGGCGACGGCGGCAGCAGGTCCATCCAATGAGCCTCCATTGCCGAAGGAGAAGAAGGCAAAGGGCAAAGACAAGAAGAACAAAGAGCCCAGGAAGAAGGTATACATCCCACCTGTGAAACCTGCGCCTGTGCAACCAGATCCGCTTGACACGCTTGGAGTTGCACAAATCATCCCGCCAGAGTTGTTAGTTGTACTGAGGAGACTCGCGAAAAAAGACTCGACTACAAAGAGACGCGCTTTGGAGGAACTCCAGGCAGGATGGGTTGACAAGGCGAAGAAAGAGGGCCCGACCAGCGAGATACTGCATGTCTTGGTGGACATAATACCTGTCTGGGTGCGTTGATATGCTTGCTCATATTCTTCCTCGACACTGAACATTCCAGTAGTTCCACCATGTCCCTGCACTTTTCTTACATCCTTCCCGCAGAATCCGACTGCTGGCTGTGGGCGTGCACTCATCTCTCCTGCAGATGCCCGACATAGTCAGAGACCAACTTTTCTTCTTTCTGCGCGAGGTAGCCTCTGCGGACCAAGCCTCTGCGGACCAAGCTGAGTACATCATCGGCTCCTGGTGCATGGCTGCGCACGACGCCGACCGTCAGGTCTCCTCCCTCGCGCGTGAGACATGGGCGCAGTCGGTCTCGCTTACAACGGAAGAGTCCCGGCCGCTCGTCCTTGCGGGAGACACGTTTAAGCAATTGTGGGAGTTCGTGTTGCGAACGATTCTGGATCCTAATGGCGTGTACTTGTACGTGAATCCTCCTCAGGCCGCCGCGCTGCCTCCTCCGCCACATCAGCAGAAGAAGGGCGCTTCTCGTCCAGCGCAAGCCCGGAAGGACAAGGAAGAGGAGGCAAGTGCTCGTGCAAAAGCCGAGGAGGACGAGGAGAGCGAGCAGGATAGGAAGGGCCGGCTGCGCGTAGGCGCGCTCCGGTCGGCGGAGTGGATTATTAGTACGTCCTCACATGTACATACTGTACTGAAATGGCATTCATCATTCATCGTCACGTAGATTCGCTCGCAAAAGAGAGAAAGGCAGATATGACGGACAAATTCCTCTCTCCGCTTGGTAATCCAGCACTCTGGTCTGCGCTGTACCACGGCCAGACACCACCGTTCGTACAGTTTGAAAGCATCGGATACAGTCAACCCGGAGTGCGAAGGGCGGCATGGTCACTCTTACAAACGTTACTTGGTGCATGTGAAGGTGAGAGAGCTCCATCTGGGATGCACATATCAGTCGCCAACTGTGCGATTAGATCATCTCAATCCGCTGCTGTCGATGTTGAGCAGCCCTGTCCTCCGCTCAGCATGGGTCGAGCCTGACAACAGCGTGAGGGACGTTATGATGGTGCCTCTATTGCTCTATCTAAGACGTGCGTCGCCTGTGCTCACATATTCCGCGAAATACAAATGTTCACGCTCATGATAGGCTACCCGGAAGCTTGGAAGGTCGACGCTCAGCCGGCAGACGACGAAGATGAAGATAGGTCTGGTTCGGAAAGCGAGGGCGAGGTGTACCAGGAGAAGTCCTTGGAGGCTTCCAACAAAACGACTCCGCGTTCCCAAGCGTACTCGGAATTCTTGCAGTACCTTCAACTAGGATGTGCGGGGTCGCCGACACAGGGGTACCCCGCAGTCCCCATCATTCTCGCGACCATTCCGCCGATGGTGCGTTTCGCCCTGTTACAATCTTTTCCACAGTTGATGAGCAATCCGATAGATCGTCGGCTCTTTGTCGTCGACACCACTCGATGACCTCTTCACATCGTTTTGGGCCGCGCTTGATGGTCGTGCGCTGAGTGCACTAGACAGAAGCGCAGCATCGGCTGCGTTCCTCGACGCGCTCCTGTTGTGTGTCAATCTTGTTGTTGGCAGGCTCATGCGTGGCTCGCTGGAGGATAGCAAGCTGCTGATCTGTGGTGCTGAGGGCGAATCCATATCGCAAGATGGCGTGCGCGAAGCTGCCCTTAGGATGGTCAAGGAACAGTTTGCGCGAATATGGGAGGAGCTCAGTTCTGGGCGTCTGAGGGTTGAGGGAAACAAGGCGACGGCGCTGATGATGCGACCGCTTGTTTCCTTCAACAACATCGACAGAGGTATTTTTCCGACTGCATTACTTCCCAAGACTTGAGTCCTGAATATTGCACCTTTTGAGAATTCTTCCAGGTCGCATGGCAACCTCTCGCATCCGGCATCAAGAAGCAGGTTGACGCAGAGGACGCGCCAATCCCGCCATTGATTTCTACGATGCTTAGTGCGTTCAAGCGCAGTTTCGAGGCCGGCAGTGAGCAAGACGCTGCAGCACAGGCATTGATTAGGGAGGTGGTGCAGAGTGCCATTGCACAACTCCAGGCGGTCCTCGAGGGAAAAGACCCTCTTTCATCAGAGCATCTCTCGTCTCTGGTATCTCTTTTCGATGCATTCGCGAGTACCGCGTTCGGAGGCTCTTCCATGGGTGTGGTACGTCTCATTGATTTTGTTGAAAATCGGCAGCTTCTCAAAAATGCTCATCGCAGGAGCTCGAGGAGAAAATGCGGCAACATATCGAGCGGCTTGTGCTGGTCTTGCCATCTCTGCTTCGGGTGTACGTCTCCCATTGCCCCGACGAGACGCGTTCCTTGCGGCTTTGGCAAGATGTCCTCAACGCGATTGCGAAAAATCCAGAAGAGAGTTCGAAGGAGCTAACATCATTGCTAGATCTGGCCATAAAGAACGAACTTCCGTCGTTCCTGAAGCCGCAAACACCTGTGCTGGATGAGCTTGCAGGTGGCTTGCTTGCCGACGCCTTATCAGAAGTGCCGCCGACGTCAAAAGTAACAACTATGCGCGGGCTGCTATGCTATCCAGGTATGCTTTGATTCGGAGGAAGGTCTCAAGCCTTGCTTAGCTGGTCCTCAGACCACTTTATTTCCCGCAGTTGCTTTGAAGGTCTGGTGCGACGTCTCAGCTCGGCATTCACTCGATACATTCCCGATGCATTCCGTGATGATGCCTTCTCCTTGGATGCATTTGACGTTCCGTTAGAGATGTTTGATGCATTAGCTGAAAAGCAACCAGACGTCCTCTTTTCAGTCGGCGCCATCGGCAGCGTCTTACCGGATATGTTTTTTTTCGCGTATTTACTACCGACATTCCGAACGGTCAACGCGCAGGGACGCGATGTGGCAAGAATGCTGTGGATTCAATGGGCAACGGCTGCTGGCGAAGAGGCAGCATCGAGAGTATCGACAGTGATAGCAGAACAGCTGCGTGATCTATTGCTCGATTGTTCTGTCATTCCAACGTAAGTTTGGAGCACTATCATGTCGTAAATGAAATTCATCCTAAGTAATATTCCTAGACCAGGACAGATCTTGCAATTCCTATCGGGCAGCTATCCCGGCTTTGACGTTGCTCCAATGGATCTGCTTCCACCCAAGTCCACGTTCGATAGCATGTTAAACGAGTTGCCCGCTGAAGCGATTGATGCAAGTCTAGCGGTCATAGATCCCATTATCCCGACTAGCCTTGGGGAAGGAGAAGCCACTGAAGATGAAATGCATGACCGCCTTGGTTTCTCCCGATACGCTCGTGCTGTATACGCCTTGTTGCTGCACCTTGCGGACGACAGGACAGCTGCGAGGGAGAATCCGTGGGCGCTCCGGCATCTCCTAGCCATATCTATGTACGCGGGCGAGCTTTTGCAGAGTCCACGATCGCATGGCGTAGTCTTCTCGAATCAGGCCTCGAGGACTGCTCTACAGGATGTTGTCACAAAGGTCGGGCAGATATCGGCCTACGTGCTCTCCTCTGAGCAAGGGGAGGGATGGCATGCCACGGTCGTAAAAGCCATTACTACGGAGAATCAGATTGGCTGTCCGGACGACATTGGTCGACTCCTATACGATCTCATCGCGCTTTCACGATCAGAGGACACAGTGCGAGAAGCTCGTATTCTGAGGACTCTCTTGCAACACTTACTCGGCAGTGCATCTAAAACGGATGCCGAACAGTGGATTCTGCTCGCACGGAAGCTGGAGAAACAAGGTTTGTTTCCATTGTCCACGACCTGGAACGCTGACAGACAAACACAAACGCACAGCACCGTTTGCATCTCTCGCGATTGTTTACTCCGTCACGCAGTGCGCTCCAGAGCCGCCGATACTGGATCGTTATCGGAACGAGTTGGCTGCTAGCACGCTCGGCGTACCTCCGTCGAAAGCTAACACTGAGGGGCTATGGCATCTACGACGTTTAGCTGCAAGCGCACCTGATCCCGAGTCCGACGTTGTATTCTTGCCTCAACTCAGAGCAGTGAATCTTATGAAGGCTTGCCAGCAATGGATTACCTCGGACGAAGATCTCGATGAGGAGGTCGAGAGCGAGATGACACTGGTATTTTTCCATTTGGTCCCTATCCTGCAGAATGTGCCCGGTGCCCATTGGGACCTGATCTTCGACGTCATGGAGAACAATCTTGAGGTAGGTTCTTCTTTATTTCCAACGCATCAGACGATTCTGATGCCGTCTGCGACGTTTAGAACTCGGCTCTCACGGAGCCCAGCACACTGGCAACTTTGAGCAGAACGTTGCGATTGTTCATTACTATCCAAGATCTTGCCACCACCAATAAGGCACTGCGCACCATATGGCAGGAAAGAGAGGCTACCTGTCTGACCCTCATTCGCGACATGATTGTCGTCAAGCTCGGTTCGTAGCATCCATGGCTGTGAGAAATCGCCGGCTAAATGCACGCTAGATGAATCGAAGATGTCTACTCCGCTGTCCATCTGCCGAGAGCTGGCTTTGCAGATTGTTCAAGACCTCCCAGAGTCGCTCATCGACAAGAACATGCTGCCACAGGCACGTGGATTTGTCTGCATTCCAGGACACGTTTTCTTACCGAGCATGCCAGACATGTCATATTATCACAGACTCTTCCTTTGACGTTCAGCGCATGGCCTACCAACTACTTCACGAAGCTGCTAGAAAGTACACTGAACACATGGTCATTGAGGCCGCGGTCGATTCTGATGAGCAGGTGAAGGTTGAATTGCCGTCAGAACTCATCGAAATTCTGCAGCGGAGCCTGAATGACGACCCAGACGAGCTTCATCAGGTGAGCGCGCACGCTTCTCGTGTGAGCGCGCTTCTCAAAGACAATACAGGAATACACCGGTTATCTACTTGCATGGATGGTCGCCTTCGATCTTTTCACAAATGCTGTACGTCAGGGCTATGACCTTGCTGCCCATTGCTGAATGTGCTCTGTTTGCAGTCGCTGAAAGTGAAATCGGGTTACATTGATCAGTTGCGGGACCTCAACCTCGTTGGTGATCATTTGCTTCCAAACATTCTCAGCATTCTTGGCCTTTACGGCAGCCTTTCCAAATCATTCAAGCTGAACATCTGGGACATTGGCGACATATATCTTGATCGTGAGCTCCTCTTCTTCTCTGGAGAAACCAGAGTGATGGCTACATGGTGACTTTTCACAGTCTGTCTGGCTGATTCGCCGTTGAGTTTGCGACTGCTCGCCGCGCATGTCTACTACCGGGCACTCTTCGTCGTTCCCTCGCTCATCCGAGCATGGCTGTCTGAGTGCAGGGACCGGCAGCTCTTCAAGGCCGTGACCTCGTACACCTCTACCCACTTCTCACCTCTGATCATCTCAGCCGAGTTGTCGCAACTCAGGGATCCCTCAGTGATGAGTGATCTCGTGGACGAGACCTTCACTGTCAAGGTCGCCGGTGCTGTCAATGAGGTCACGGCATCCTACGCGGTGGACGAGAATCACCTCGAGATCACTGTGAAACTCCCCTCGGACTATCCATTGCATGGTATTGAGGTCAGCGAGAACCAGCGGATAGGCGTACCAGAGCATCGTTGGCGGTCGTGGGTGCTGGGTGTCCAGCAGATTCTCACGTTTAGGGTGCGTTTTGCTACTAAGCCTCTCTCCACTTCCACTTAGTCCTGTGACAGAGCGGAAGCATCGTTGACGGCTTAAGTTTCTTCAAGAAGAACGTCTCGTCGTTCTTTGAAGGCCTGACCGAGTGCGCGATCTGCTATTCGTATGTGGTCATGCTGTTTTCTGCGAGTGTACCCTTCATACTTTCCCAGAGTCATCTGCGCCATCGACGGCACCGTGCCACGCCAACCATGCAAAACGTGCAAGAACCGCTTTCATTCTGCGTGTCTGTACAAAGTACGTCTATTCTCTCGTGCATTCATACTCTCCTCACCGTCGGCTTTTCGCAGTGGTTCAAATCGAGTCATACGTCAAGCTGTCCATTGTGTCGTTCGGAGCTTATCTGATCCCCATAGACCGCGAAGCGCGAAAGTATAATGTGTATCACTGCTGCCATGCTGTATCGGAATACTCGACAAGTTCATCACCTTCTGTTGATCCGCCTGACAGGAATGTGCCTTTCCGACAGTTACAACAGCAGTTTACAGTGTACACAGCTGATTTCGGGATGCCTGGAACACCTGCTACCCGCGTCAGATGTTCGAGAGCAGTGGCCGTGCCCTTCGATCAGAAGTGATGCCTGGCATAGCCATAGCCCAACCTGATCATTTCGAAGCGTGCTCTTCATCCAAATCTAAAGAACCCTATCTAACGGGGATGTTCTGGTGGACACACATGCGCAGGCCTCGAATGAGTCGACGCCTGATTCAGATAAGTAATCCTTGATGCCGTAAGTCTCATAGGATGGAAGTGGTTCGCTTCGTTGCAGGCATGTGCCGAAGGAAGTTCAAGGAACTCCTGCGAAGGTGCAAATCCCGTTGAATTGTGAAGTCAACCTGGAAAATTTACTTGTCCGCTGAATTTGACTACAGGCGAGGGAGCTTCGTATCCTTAGCACGACATAGACCGTCCTATTCCTATGACAGAAGGGAATGTAATATGTGGGATATCGTTACATACATTTGGGTATGGTATTAGTGGTCAACTGCAGGGCAGGATATATGTGTAGTATGATACAGCGGTGACGTGATGGCATACTTCCTCGCCGGGAAAGGTAAGGTCGCATAAGTAACGCAGTGGCAGCGATGACACACATACTGCGAGGCTTTTGGCTCATGCTCCACTCCCTCAACGCAATGTGTGGACCCGACCTGACCTGGACTCAGTGCGAACGGGACACTTGCCCTGCGACCCGTGGCCGGCGGAAGCAGCGCTGCGAGTCGAGCGTAAGCTTTTGCAGACGCGCCATTAGGTCTCGCGCAAGGAAGACGACGCCCTTCTCCTCCTCATATAATGTGTGTTGCTCATCGATGGGCTCGAGAATGTGGAGATCCGCCGGATGCAGGGACGTCGAGTGCGAGAAGCGGAACTGTGTGATGAACTCGTGTCGGAAGATGTGCACGTCGGACGCCACAAGCGCGGATGATACGTCGCCCTGCGCGGGTTCGGGTACTGAGTGGCGTGACGCGAGCTGTCAGTTGAGGCGGATCGGATGTGGCGAGTGGCGTCGACAGCTCACCTTGGACAAGGTACACCCCTCCTTTGATTCTAGCAAAGGCGAACTGTGCCTTCGTCGCTGGTGATGGGGACGTATATGTTGGCGCGTTTAGCATGGATGTGCTGGCGGAGGTGTACATAGTACGGTATGGGGCGGATGACGTCGCCACAGCAGCCATGGTATGCTTTTGAGCAACTTGGATGAGAGTGCGAGAGCGGAACAGGAGCAGCGACGATTTATGGAGAGTGGAACAGGAGCGCGGAACAATAAAGGAGGCGGTCCAGGCGGCGGGTGCGTACACTAGGATCTGCCATCTGCACCGGAGATGAGTTGTTTATATAGAGGAGCGATGGATCTGTTCTGACATGCTCGGGCCACGAGGGGAAAAGAAAAGACGCGGTGACTGCACAAAGCGTCGCAACGCCTCCGTCCGACCTGCCTAGGCATCACTCTCACCGATCTCTCTCGGCCGCTAATTCATATATGCAACTCCGCCGCATCATACCAACTCTCAGCCCAATGATGCACGCGTTGCTCGTGGCCGCAATAAAGCTGAGGAGGGTGAGACGGACGCGAGCTGCTTTGTAAAAATGCACTTTGAGGTCACGCTACTTCCGCGAGCAGAAGACGAAGCGCCAGCGAACTGTGGGAGTTGGCCGGCCACTCAGCCTGTTTGGTGTGGCGCTTTCTCGTTTCCGTGTGTCCCGTGTGTCCGCACCGTTCTAGCTCCACTTCCGCACGCGGCTGATGGCTCCTTTTAACCTTTAGATAGGACTATCGGCATCCTTCTTCGTTCGGCATGCACAGGCGTGGAAGTATGGAAGCGCCTTCCGACTTAGACAATTATCCCATACCGCACGGACACGCAGAATCGCTGATGGCTTATCGCAGGCTACGTGCGAGCCATCGATGAGCGCGAAGCAGTCTTGACGGCATTGTCCGCGATGATGGATGGCCGGATTGAAGGGAGACATACACATTGTTTTGATGGGATCGCACTGCATACACCCTGAGCCGTAGCTCCGTGGCGATACTAGGGCATGAATCTGTGTTTCGGAATAGGTACAAGGAATGATACTGATGGTGATGATGACTTTATAGCAGGAGCGCCACAATTGATGCAGATAGAACCTTGCTATCATCCTGCTAACGTCGCACACAAGTCAGGAAATGCGTGTTTCTTGACCATCTCACTTAGATGAAACGCACGGTTGCCACATTATGGAGCATTCGGACGTATAACGAATCAGACCATCGGACCCGTGTAGAGCCACTGATATTGCATGCCGACCGGCCTGCGCACAGCCGCCGCTGAATTGCATCTTGCTTCCAGATGACCCGCTAGCTAGAGATAGTAGCTGGTCCTTCGAAAGTGAAGCCTCGAAACTCTATTGGCATGCTGGGCTCCCAGGGTCGGCGAGAGCGCGCCAAAGACCAAGACCCAGTCCAAGACAATCGCTAGACGCAGACGATGACAGATTCGAGCCGTGACTGCGGAGCGCGCAGGTGACATCTTCGTCCATTGCTCCGGCGTCAAGCTTCGAGATGTCGCCTGAAGTATTCTTCTAACTGGATGCGGGAAGCGCCACAAAGCCACGCCACCTTGCGTTGATTATTCAACGAGAGCAAGCACCTGGAGGCAAATCACAGACGAAACGAATAAGACATTGGATGACCTGTTAGGAAGACATGATGCCCTGAACGCAGCCATGCAGCAGACACGGTGAAACGGCCGTGAGCATAGACCGGGAGCACGGGTCAAGATGAAAAATGCTAGACAGCATGTTGAACTCCATGTTCCCCGGCAGCTATAGGATTGATTCTGGCAAATTGAGACGTTCTGACAGAAAACGGCGGCCGCGTCAAGTTCGGAAGGATGCAAGAATTTTGCTCGCGACATGAATTGTCCCGGGCACCTCGTGTCTGAGTGTTGACTTTGCTGAGAAACTTGGATACCTGATGGAGAAGACATGCAGGAATTCATGTCATAGAGCAGCCGGGAGAAATAACTTTGTGATGGCAGCACGGATGCCAAGTGGAGAAGCGTAGCAATTCTGTTATTGGCTGTACATGTGGGACGGAGATGACAATTCTCGCTCGTGAATCGCTGACTATGGCAGCACGAGACTTGCACGTTGAGAAACATGAAGTGTGTGGCACGGACCAGTATTCTTGATGGATTGATCACTCGCTCTGAACATGGATACTCGGAAGCAATGACCGCTGCTTGCTAGCTCTGTCCGAGCGCGTTGCACTTCACGGCATCAGACCCGTACAATGCGCCAGGGGAGAATGCGCGACTCCAGACCGCCGCGGTGTTTGCAACCTTGTAGCCACAAATCCTTCGATCCCGATTCGACCTTGAAGAGGTTGCACTGCCGATCCTGCATCGAGAGCGACTGACGTATTTCATTCGGAATCTGGTTGACTTCGGATGGATCCAGACACAGTCCAGCCATATATATGCATAGCATATGAAGAGGGGATTAGGCGAGACCCGGATGGCCGCATATACCGCTCGGATATGCACACGTTTGATGTTGACACAGACGCAGGCCGGTATGCAGCGACTTGATGGCGACGGAGTTGCAGGTAGTTGCGAGCTCTGCTGGCGGGGCGCCCAGGGGCCAGGACGATGCTTTGGGCCACGTGGAGACGCGACCACGTGACCGCATACAGCGCGATTGTGCCGCGTGTCCGCCACAGCGCAGGTTTGCTGTGCGAGGCGACGCTTCTGAAAGTATCGACTCGCCATTCGTCTTTTTCTCTTCACCATGGACTTTGGTACCTCAAGTTAACATTGAGCTCATACTTTTATGACACTTAATTGGCAGTCATCGAGGTTCCTCGGACCTTCGGCTCACGGTATAGTAGCAGGCTAGCAGCGCGGTTCGATATGATGATCTTATGCCGCTGCTGATCTCCTGGGGAGAAAGGAAAAAACTATCGCTGAAGACCGAATAATTTACCTGGTAAGTGGACGCTTGTCAAAATGCAGTGCAGTTCTGCATATTGGACGGAATTTCAGGACCATCACTATAACCGTTGACTCCTGCTTCACCCCACGGCTGCTACGCGAGACTGAAGCCCAAGCTTCCTTAGACTGTGGACGAAGAAGACCATCTCTCATGCTGCGGTCTCTGCCAATGCACTGTTTCCGCTTGCGTGGCAACCAACGTATCATTCATACAGTCACGATGTAACACGACGGCCTGCTACTTCGTTTCCTGCAGCACAGATCGCAAAAAGCTATGCCTGCTTCATGCTTTCAACACATCTTCTGACATGAAGACGTCGGAGACGAGAATTAGCACAGGCGACGTGACTAGCTTGGCGGCACTGCCTTATGTTCATTGTAATTGTAACTAGCTGCGCCTTCTCGCGATCCACTCCAGACTTGTAGCTGGGTCCACGTGGCTACCTTGTACCTCAAGTCAGTCGCATTCACAATTTTGTTCTTTTCACGAACTCATTGATGCACTTTATGTTCATTTAGAGGGTATGATTTCATCGCGGACACCGTTCAGCGGGCGTCCCGAGGCAACGCTCTTTCCAACCACAATTTGCAATTTCGTCGTCAATCTCCGAATCACCACTGGCGCGTTGGCACGTGCTGGGCGCTCTGATCTCATTTTTCAATCCTACCACTCGCTCAGGTCATAATTCGCACTGACAGTGCCTCGCATATCAAGCCTGTTTCCGGAGAATCAGGCTTACGATTTCCCGAATCGCACACGCACCCATGGCTCCGTGGAAAATTGTCTACGATTGTGCCCTTTAAGTGAAATACGCTTGCGGCAGCGCGGTAGCCGCGCGCAGAACAACGTATCTCGGTGATTTATGCCTTGATCGGACTTTCGCTTCTTGTTCGCCGGCGGATGACATGCCTGAGGCGCCTCTGCGCTATTCTGACGTCCTCTAAACCATTCGATAGGTGGTGGTGACATACGGCAACTGGATTCCCTCACACTATCGCAACTAGCCATCGCTGCGCAATCCTATGCACTTCTATGCGGCAGTGTAGCGAGCCATCTGTGCCTGGTTGAGCTGCCGACTGGGAGCGCATAAAATGGGCCGTGGCGGATTTCGTCGGTCGTCACCTCAGCTCTCGCGATCCTTGAACATTATACAGATTCTTGTGAAGACGGGGCTCTCTACAGACGTTATTCGCGCTTCATAATGTCCGGAAGCACATCATTCCAACCCCGTGTGGCCATCATCACTGGCGCCGCTCAAGGGATCGGCAAGGAGATCGCACTCAGACTAGCCCGGGACGGACTTGACGTAGCGGTGAATGACATCTCCAGCAAGAGCGAAGAGTTGGAACAGGTCGTGGCGCAAATTCAGGACATTGGTCGTCAAGCAATAGCGTTGGTCGCGGACGTCTCTGATGAAGAGCAAGTCAGAAATATGGTAGAGAAAACTGTTCAAAAGCTAGGAAGGCTAGACGTTGTGCGTTGTCCTTTCTTCACTGTTGCTTTTAGAGAACAGTCTCATTCGGTATCCTGGTAGATGGTAGCAAATGCAGGCATTAGCGTTAGCGGTTCAATCCTTGACAGTATGTCGTCAGCTTGGTGAAAACCAAGGCTTGTTGACTAAAAGGGTGAACCAGTGAATATGGAGCAATGGAACCGTACAATAAACATCAATTTGCATGGAGTGATGCTCTGCTACAAATATGCAGCGGAGCAGATGGTCAAGCAAGGAACCGGCGGCAGGCTGATCGGTCAGATGCTCTCGCTGATCGTTGACATCAGAAATATCTTACATGTGAACACTGCAGGTGCATCATCAGTGTTAGGAAAAAGAGGAAAGCTTGCACTTCAGATTCGGATTTAGCACAGAACCTGAGTTTAGATTCTGCACAGGCGCTAGCAAGCTGTCAGCGTACTGTACATCAAAGTTCGCCGTGCGGGGCCTGACACAAGCTCTTGGTATGCACCGCCTATTTGACTTCATGCTTACTGTAGATTTCATGCTGTTTTCTCAGCCCTTGAATTGGCAGAACACAAGATCACTGTCAACACGTATGCCCCGGGCGTGATCCTTACATCAATGAGTGAGCATCGTCGTAATTCATTATCTTAATCGTCTGATACCATTCATTCACCACTAGCTAATGACCCACTTCGCGATCCTGTTCGCGGCGGAACCCATGGTGCATCGGCGAAGTTTGTGAGTGGTATCAGTACCCTATCACCTCCCATAGCCCAACGCTCTTCCTCAGATAATAGGGGTCCCACCAGACGGGCCGGACGCAGGACCAGAAGTCGTCGCGAGCATTGTCTCTTACCTCGTCAAGCCAGAAGCATACTTCATCACAGGTATTAACCACCCTCTGCCTCACTCGTTCCATGCTCCTGAACCCGTTCTCAGGACAATCAATATCAGTCGATGGTGGCGTTCACATGGACTGAAGTTCAGTGCACAGTAGTCAGCTTATACGGACGTCACGTTAGCGCAAGACGGATATTTTCTGGATTACACGCTGCCCTCGTATGCTAGAGAGTAGCGCATGACGGTATTACACATACAGTTTCGGGTCACAAGAGGTACTGTACAATGGAATCACGAGTCCACACTTAGCAAGCGGCATCGAACGCCGCCACGGTTATCATCAATGGATACATTCAAACCTTGGCGCACTCACGCAGTTGCAGCTTGGCTCCCCTGAGAACTTTCAGCAGCCGAGCCTCCTCCGCTCTCCTGCACTTGCGCATTTTCTTCGTCCTGAGCAGCCGCCCCCTCGCCATCCTCCGCCGCTTCCTGTAAACTCTCGTCCCGCCCCAGGCGACCGCGCGGCAGGAGCGTGCCCGTCTCGGCGATACGCGCCCCGCGTTCGACGCTCGCGCGACGACTGTGTCCCCTGCTTACGCTACGCAGGTTTCCGGTCTCCGCGACGTGTCGGTCGAAGCTCCTGCGATGGTGGAACGAGTGCGCACGGCTGCCAAGAGGCGACACGGGCGACGGCGGCCCATCCTCGCGCGCAAACGAGATTGGCGGCGGTGCAGGCATGTGAAAGGATGTCGACGGCGATCCGAACGACGACGACAGCGAAGGTGGCGGTACGGATGGGTACGAGAGGGTTGTAGCCGCGCCGGGGTAAGGCGGAGGCGGGTTGGATGTGAGCGACGCGGAGGAGGGCGGCGTGGTGATGGCAGTAGTCGCGCTTGCGTAGCTGTTCGGGAGGGGTGACACAGAGGACGGGGAGAATGGAAAAGGAGAGGACGAAGAGGACGAGGGTGAATGCGAGAGCGGTGTAGTCGTCTCGGACAGGTTGTTTGCCGGCCGATGGACTTGCGAAGGCGGGCGCGGGATCGGGACGGGGGGTATCGGTCGTGGGGGCTGCGTCTGTAGGGCATTAAGGCTTGTAGCAATGGACGCCGTGGGCGAGGAGGCCGAGCTCGAACGTCGATGTGTAGGTTGTGAGTACGGGTCTGCGGACGAGAGGCCAATGAGGTTGTCCACGGGCAGTCCCAACTGTCGTTCGTCGCCCTCAAGCATCTTTCGATCATCCAGAGAACGCAGAACACTCACCCGTCGTCGGTGCTCGATGAGCTCCTCGCGGTATATCTCATTCAAACGTGAGATGTGAATGAACTCCCGTTCGGTGTCGACCAGCCTTGTGCGAAGTTGCTCGTTTTCCCTGCGCATGGCGTCAAGCATCGCCTCCGGCGCGGGCTCTGCAGGGTTCTTGTGTGCTAGGAAAGCCTGCATGCCCAGCCGGGTGTCGACTGGGGATCCGCCGCCGCTGCCATTGCCATTTGCCTGAGCCTGCTGCTGTTGCGCGAGTCGAAGGGCAGAAATCTCCCTCGAGAGCCTGTTTACATGATTTTCTGACTCGGCCTCGAGCGTGTTCTCAAGAGCAATCTTCTCCTCGCGCAACTACAGGTGGTAGATGAGTACATTTCGAATTGAACCGTTCGAATAGACGCACCCGTTCGAGCTTGCGGGAGAGTACGTTGATAATGCGCTCCTCCTCCGCCTCGTACTGATTGATGAGGTCCTCGCGGCTGCTGGAGCTAGTGGACGAATATCGACGGATGGGGGGAGAAACAGACATGATTGTCGCTCAAACCGGTGGACCCGCGAGCCAGAGAACGCCACAAGCGCATGAGCGCCAAACCGAGCTCGCGAGTTCGCGAACTTGGACTTGGCCACGGCTCTCATCTTCGAACGGCCATGTCAGCCTGGATAATGGGGACATTCTCTTGGTCTCTAGCACTCGTCTCGTCGTCGAACTTGTTCATCATGATCAGCAGCCTATGCTCTGGAACGGCTCAGTCGCCTTGATTTAGCATGGGCTCCGCAATTACCAATCACTTCTGTCTTGCTGGGGTCTGGCGCACTAAGCTGTCATAGAAAAAAATTCTTGAGCAGGAAGGGCTTGCTCGACCAGATAGGTGACCGAGGTTGGCATGTGGGTGTGTTGGCATAGCTGTACGCGAGAGACACGTTCATGGCATTTCAAAGGACATCTACTACTGTATATATGCAGTTTGCAAATACCTGATACACGCGGCGAAAGCACAGGCACCATAGACTTCCTCGCAATGCTCACACTCACACTTGGGCGGATGAGACGTACCCTCATCGCATGAGCTCTGCTATTAGCTCATATCGACAACACCTCGGCATGCCGAGAAAATTATGCATATGTATCGGTAACGGCGAATGTGAGGAGCACTCATGGGATGCGACGTGCACACTTCGGTTAGCCGACTACCTCTGCCTTGTCTGCTCCTCCTGTAACTGCATCTGTCTCAGCAGCATTCCACTGCAGTGAAGAAGTCTCGCTCGGCAGCTTGAAGACAGTTGACAGCTCGAACCTCTTATCGCATGCTGTCCTGAGCTCATCTGCCCGCGGCGATTGGAGGTCTTTCAAGAAGTCGTGCACGGCAAGAGACGTCTGAGTAGATTGGAGCGTCAGTCTAATATTTCCGGAGTCGGGGCGACGTAGGTGCCCACCTTAATGTCCAGCTTGACATCCGGATTAAGCACCGCAAACGTGGCATCTTCTACCTCTCCCCTAGGTGCTTGTAGCAGGTGTGACACCTTCGCGCAAGCCAAGATCGCCCTGGCATCAGTAGAATGCCGCTGTAAATACTGCGAATTGTACAGCTCCAGTGACAGCTCTTCTGGGAGCAACTTGGTCAGAGCCTCGCTGACAACAGGCCCCATAGGTGCAGGAGGTGATTGAGGTAGCGAGGCCACTATATGGCACGCCGTGAGGAGAGAGTGATGCAGACTAGCAAAAGCCACGTACCAATTGTGCGAAAGTGGACCAGTCGAACATGCAGCTCTGGATCTTCAGCATTCACAGCACGCGCGCTATTCAACGCCTTGACAGCTTGGATGTACTTCTCTGACGAGAAGGATGAGATGTAATGCACGGCAACATGCCAACGATCACAAACTTACTTCGACGTACGGCCACGTCGTATGTTGCTATCCAAGCGTCGATGTTGTCCTTTGCAAGTGTCCTGAGCGGAGCCAAGAACTTGGCAGCCTTCTCAAGAGGGTCAGAGGCTTGCAGTAGTTTTGCTCCATCAGGATCGTCGTCCTTGGGAGCGGGCAGCTCCAGCCCCTTATCCTCGTTAACGTTGGCGTTCGCTGCGATATGTAGTGGCCGTCCAGTCAGTACACAACACTGGTGAGACAGCAGTGATCCCGACCTTTCTTGACTTCCTCGTGCACCTTTTGCGCTGCTTTTTTCGCCTTTTTCTTTGCCTTTTTCTCCGCATCCGTAAGAGTGCCTGCAAGGTGTTATGAGCTGGCCTTCGAAGCATATGTTGCTTCTCACCGTTTGATGTTAGAGTACTGGTTAAGGACGGATTATCGTGTAGACGGACGTATATCTAACAGAAAATTAGCAGTTATCCTTACGACGCGTGTGAGAAACTGACTTACCTTCGAAGCAGCAATGGCGGTGTGTACATATGCCGGATGCGACCGCAAATGGTCTTCCCAAACAATCAGCCTATGCTCTCGATAAGCAAGACGATCGGGAACGAGCCCAAGGTAGATGCGCACTCCAAGTACACGTTGATTGTGAACTTCCTCAGCGAGTATCCGTGGAAGTCGAACTGGTCATCCTCCAGCTCATCGAACACCTGGGAAGATCGGTGGGAAGCATGAATGTCCATTGCACAATCGAGAGTCCGCGGAGATCATGGACCTGCGCAAGGTTTCAATGATCGCACGGACCTTTTGTACAGCAGTGTACCTCTTCAAAGCCATTCCCAGATTGCCCTTCCGCAGATGCGCGTCACCCTCCTCAGTGAGATAAAGCAGCGATTGCATGTCCTCGAGGTCAGCACCAGGACTTGGAGCATCTTTCTAGTATAGGCGTCAATAGTCGAGGTGTGCAGCAGAAAGCAGTGGAGTTGCTCACCTTCGTGAACAAACCAAGTATATCACTCGCTTCGTCTATGAAACCAGCCCGCATTCTATACTTAGCACATTTGGTATTTAGGCAGCGATCTTGAAGGTCCAGGATACGGGCCTCGTCCAGACAACGCGCAGCGCCGATTGGGTTGCCGCACCATTTCAGCACTCTACCCTTGAACATATGAAGCTCAGGCAGTGTGGGAGTATGCAAAATGGCAACATCAAGCAGTTCAAGAGCTTTGGTATGCCGGTGTAAGTATGAATGGTGCTGAGCCAGGAAGTAAAGAGTCCAGAGGTAAGTTGTCGGGTCCGAACTCGTCGGCTGCGGTTCCGCCGCAGGTGCGAATTTGTCGCGAAAGGCCTCTACGATCGTTTCGATTGCTTGTTGTTTGGAAAGATCACGATACAACGCCTTGACATCAGCAAATAGGGAAGGAATGCCTTTCTCCAGGCCACTCATGAGATAGGGCTCTATGAGCTCATTGAACTTGTCACCTGAAGCCGAGGTGTCATCCATTGCTTCGATGAGGGGAGCGAAATACAAACCAACTGCAATGCTGAGTGCCAATCGCCGAGGAGCTGCAGCACGGGGTAATTGTGTAGAGAAGTCCTCTAAGCACTGCAAAGCAGCCTCCCTGTTCTCATCCGAGATTGCATCTTCATGCGGTGGCGCTCTTTGTCAGAAGGGGTCGCTGTTGTTCTAGCTGACCAGCTTACCAAAGTCGATACCACGGTTCAACAGAAACCCTCGATAGTAATCATGACAATCTGGGTTTTGTTCAATGAGCGCCCGCCATGTGTGTTCCGCCTCACTGTCACCAAGTTTCGACAGCAATCGAGCTGAGGGTGGGCTCTGTCTGACTACATGAAGCAATTAGTAAAACTGTTGATCACGCACCTCGGAATTCCATTATGGCCATTCGATCGATGATTGCTCTTGACTTTGCATTGACATCGAGCAGCGCCAGAGCTTCACTTGTTGAACCTATCTCTTCCAGGATCCGGACGTGGTATAGAAGGACCTCCGAGTGCTCTACATCATAATCTGGAACATTCTGCCAGTGTGTGTAGGAGTATGTCCGACCTTCGTAGTGACACAGCATACCTTGAGCGTAGCCTCATACTGTTCCAGAACTTTGCGTGCTTCATCCAGGTTTCCATTCAAATGGTAAGCAACCGCAAGACCAATCCAGTTCTGGCGCAGACTAGGCCGGAGACGAAGGAGCATAAGTCGGGTCTCAACCAGGCCATCGAAGATCCGTAGCTGCGTCTGCAGATGTGCGGCATCTCGCAGAATATTGAGATTCTCCTGGGGGTGTGGCACACAATATAACTTCAGACACGTCACAAGAACTGGTTGCAACTGACCTTGTCAAATTTCAGAGCCTGGGTATAGGACTTGAGAGCCTCCTCGTAGTTTTTCTCCCCCTTCTGAATGAGACCAAAGACATGCCAGCAAATGTGCGAAGTAAGATCGAGTCGAATGCCTTTCTTAACCAGTTCCAGCCCTTCTTCTCGCCGACCCATGTGCGTGAGGATGAGTCCCTTCATGCAGAGAGTTTCTATAGCACATAGGACCACATGGGAAACATATTAGTGTTGCATCAGCGACATACGTACCTCCATGCTCAGGGAATTTTTTGACGATCTGGTCGGCAGTCTTGAGGCCTTTCTTGAGTTGCCTGGTCTCATATAGGTTCAGCAGCTCTTTAAAGAGCGTCGCCTCCTTTGACGGCAGCGCCCGCTTAGGCGGAATCCCTGCGGGCGGCATAGCGGTGATTGTGGATGGTAGTCAACACGCGTTGGTGGCCCAGAAATGCGCGAAAATACAGCAAAACAACGCGTACGCGCCTCTCCTCCCGCATCCACTCCTCGACCTTCCCCTCACTACCAATATGGTGGCACAAACACGCACAACGGCGCAGCCTACACACAGAAAGCTCAAGTTCCACGACAAACTCGTCAGCAGGGTTCTTTCTACAGATGCTCTGCAAAAGAAACTCAAGGTCCTCCACGCGGAACTCGCGGAGATGGACCAAGAGCACGTGGATGTCTCCTCCCTGTCGACAGTCCGCGAGGAGCTCATTAATACCTCCATTATTCTTCACAAGGACAGAGGAGTCAAAGCCTATGCTGCCTGCTGTCTTGCCGACTTGCTGAGACTCTACGCCCCAGACGCACCATATACGCACAGCGAGCTACGCGACATCTTCCAATTCTTCTTTCGCCAACTTTCCACTGGCCTCAAGGGCCCGGACTCTCCATACTACAATGAATACTTCCATCTGCTTGAATCACTCTCTACCGTCAAAAGTGTTGTGCTTGTCTGCGACCTCCCGAGCGCAGACGATCTCATGGTCGAGATCTTTCGTGACTTCTTCGGTATGGTCAGACGCGAGCTCGCGAAGAAGATCGAACTTTTCATGGCGGACATCCTCATCGCACTCATTGATGAATGTCAAAGCGTGCCTGCGGATGTGTTGGAATCTATAATGGCACAATTCATGGACAGGAACACAGTAAGTCCGTCTCAGCTGACTCCTGATCGATAGCGGAGCAATCCCATCCATCCGCTCCTGCCATCACCATCTGCCAGGTGTGCGTGTGTCAGCTACCCTTGTTAGTACGCAGAGAGAGTTCTTGGCCCGTTGCCATGATGCTGACAAGCGCCGATAGGCCATTGAGTCGGTCGTTCCAGATTCTGCTCCTGATCAAGCCCCCATGATGCGACATTACTCGATTGCTGATTTGTTTCTATTATAGCGCATGGATCAACCCGCGTATCGGCTGGCCATACAAGTGTGCAATGCAACGGCTGATAAGCTACAACGCCACGTCTGCCAGTACTTCACAGACATCATAGTGTCGCATTCGCGGGACGAGGAGTTCGATGAGGTTCAAACTGCTCATGAGCTGATCAAGCAGCTGAATAGATCATGTCCTTCACTGCTACATAACGTCGTGCCACAATTGGAGGAAGAGCTACGGGTGGAGGAGACCCAGATCCGAATCATGGCTACACAGACGCTGGCGGAAATGTTTGCGGACAAGGGTGGTACAGAGTTTGTGAAGAACTACCCATCCACATGGAGCGTATGGCTGCTGCGTAAGAATGACAAAGCTGCTTCTGTCCGGCTCGCGTTCGTCGAAGCAGCAAAAGGCGTTCTTGTCAATTTGACGCAGCCCGAGCAGCGCGAGGCAATCGAGGAGGCCATGCAAATGAAGCTCTTTGACCCTGAAGAGAGGGTGCGGGCAGCGGTGTGCAAGCTGTACTCGCAGCTGGATTATGAGACGGCTTTGCACCACGTCTCGGAGGAGCAGCTCCGAGCAGTCGCTGGTCGCGGTATTGACAAAAAGGTCAGAATGCGCTTAGTCAGCATTCGAGTGTGATTATGACCCGTTTGCAGGGCGCGGTTCGTATAGAAGCGATGAACGCAGTCGGCCATCTGTACAGTCTCGCGTATCCTGAAATGTACGTTCACCATTCTACCAAGCTATGTCGTGCTCATTCCACACAGCGAGAACAACGACCCTGCTGCGACCAAGCATTTCGCTTGGATACCGCAGGAGGTCTTATCAATGTGCATTTTACACCAGGAGCCAAAGTCAGTGAGAATAGCTGTGTTCCTGTGACCCGGACTCACTCATCAATCTGTTTCAACAGAGCCGTTGCAGAGCAGGTCATTGCAGAGTACATCTTACCACTTCCATTGCTACCGTCTAATTCGTCATCGAAAGGCGATGTCGACGAAGCAGCGTGGACAGACCGGCTCCTATTCACTATGAAATTCCTGGACAACTCCGCCACCAATGCGCTGTTAGCTCTCTCGGGGATGAAAGGAATGTGAGTACGCGTTGCTCCTTTGTTCCACAGCATGGACGATCAAGGCACTCAGATAACTGATTGCCTGTGTATAGGATGCGGCCTGCTACTGACCGATACGTCCAAGCATGTATCGACCACAATGTAAGTCCTTTCATACTACCATTGTAACGTCTCCTCCATTGGCAAACATAGGGTGGTGTCATTGACAACGACGAGGATGAGATAACGCAGAAGTTGAGAGTGTCCATTAAGCGGGTTGCAGGTGCGTTTTCCAAAGCAGCCAGCCCTCCTATGTATGCGACTGATCCAGCATGCAGCAACGTTCCCCGATCCTCAGAAAGCCACTGAAGACATGCATACATTCGCGAAACTGAACGAGGGAAGGCTGTACAAACTATTGAAGACATGTATGGACACCCAAGTGGATTTGAGGAGCCTTGTAAGGTCGACGGTGAGCGTGTCTCCTTCATCACGATCGCCCAACAGCGTGACATTGGTTCAGAACGAATTCATCAGACGGCTGGAGCAATTGACCTCCTCCATCGTACCAACCATGTCCACATTCCTCCGCCGGGCGAGCCTGCGCATCGTCAACCAATCGTCGATACCCACCCTTATTAAGCGTGTGCAGAAAGGCGATCAGTCGGGTGAGGGCTCTAGTCAGGCTGAGATGACCGCTCAGCATGCGCAGACCTGGATGAACTACATCTCGAAGCATTGTCCCGCTTTGTACAATTCTCATGTCGGGGAACTATGCAAGGCCATTGCAGATGAGAAGAATGCTCGATTGATTGAAGTCTGTCTGCAGGCTTTTGGAGCGGTGGCAGTATGGGACAAGAAGCTGGCTCCGAGCGATAGGTCTGGATTATTAAAAACTTCGTCGCACCTCTATTGACTGAACATATACTATGGCAGGCGTATCATCGACCGAGTCATGAAATTTGCCCTCAAAAGCAATGCTCGACACTCTAAGTTCGCTGCTCGCCTGCTCACGTGCTTACCAAATTCGGAAGAGCTGTGTGGCCAGATCGTGGATGTACGTCGAAAAATCACGCTTGCTCCATTCATAGAAGATATTGAAGGAGCGACCCCCCTAGTCAATAGCAGAGGGTCTCTTGGAAGCCGACCCGGAACTCCTCGCAGCACATGTCGCGGTGCTAGCGCAGATCGCTCTTAGGGCACCTGATGTATTTGAACGGCAGAGCGAAGCCATCATGACATTCCTTGTGAAGAAACTCTTGATGAGGAAGACGAATACTTCGGTGCGCCTGTCATCTTGTACGATTCTGCAACCTTCTGAACACTTGGCATCCAGGACGAAATGGACATTGATGAAGAATGGGTGGAGGACTCAGCGATGTCGCCGCATCTGCGGGCCAAAGTAATGGCACTCAAAGTGTGCCGGAATCGATGTCTGGCCCATGCAACTTCCGAGACCGCAGTGGACATTGCGAAGCCAGTTCTTCTGATGTTTACGACACTACTGCAGCACAATGGCTCGTTCACTGCCGAAGCGTCCGATGAGTGCGTCATTTCCTTGAGTACCATGTTGGCATTCCTTGCGAATCATATCTAGCCCGAAGACAAAGGCGCGCCTACGACTGCAAGCTGCAGTATCTATGCTACACTTAGCAAGCGTGCCGGCATTTGCGAAGGTCATAGCTACAAACTTTGTTCTGTTGGCTGTCACAGTCCAGGTATACTGTTGTCTGAGAATATAACCGTGCTGGCATGATTGACCTGGCGTTAGGATCCCTGCTTCGAAGTCCGCATGACGTTCATGGACAAGTTGATAATGCTCCTTACCGCGCGTAAGATTCCTGCTCAATACAATGTGATACCGTTCCTTTCGGTCCATGATCCAGAAGCAGACGTGAAGAACAGGGTGAGCTTTCATATTGATCAGAGGTTGACTCGTTTTGCTAAGCGGCTCGTTTTCGCAGGCAAAAGCATACGTGCTAACCGCAATGCGTAGCATGCCCAAAGGTCCGTGCATGATACATATTCACTGTGTCATTCACTGAAATGCATCGTTCAGAGCTCAAATTGCAGGATTTCGAGCTCAGCTTCATTCGATTCCTGCATCTGCTCGCTCACCATCCCGATTTCGCAGTAGATGAGGCAAATTTGCCTGATATCGCAAAGTACGTGATGGTGGCCAGTATGCGACCCTTTTAACTGCATGATGGGTTGCAGATATATTGAGTTCTATCTTGAGCTCGTCGCGTCTCCCGAGAACGTGTCCTTACTGTACCATGTGGCCATGAAAGCAAAGACCGTGCGGGATGCGCAATCACACACGTACAGCGAGGTGCATCGATCTCCGGTAACCCGATAGCTTTCGTGACTGACTCAGACCCAGAACCTGTATGCCGCTAGTGAACTCGCCCAGCATTTGATCAAAGCTCTCGCGAAACAGCACTCGTGGAGTCTTGAGAGCTATCCAGGGAAAGTTAGGCTACCACCAGATATTTTGCGACCTCTGCCAAATGCAGAGGCTGCAAATGAAGTAAGACGGTGCAGCCAAGTTCATGCTTACCCGTTGAAATGACCTTTCGCTCTGCAGATTTTGAAGACTGTGTACCTACCGGAGAGTTCTCTCGCACAGCTAGCAGAGCGAGCGAAGCATCGGCAGCATGAGCCTAGGGTATGGTATCTTTTGACTGTATTAAACCAGTATTGATGGCTCGACATAGCAAGAGAAAGCTCGAGCTGTACGCAAAACGACTGCGAAGCGAAAGGCGGCCCCAAAAGCAAATGGAAACGCGAAGTATGACTCTCCCTGGCCTTACGGTCTTTTGGTTGACCTGATGTGCCTCTAGACGTACTCGCACAACCGGGAAGCGCCGTAAAGCAGAGAAATCTGATGAAGAGGACGAATCGTCTGAGTCAGGGCCCAGTGAGACCGACGACGAGGAACAAGCCTCGAGCAAGGCCAGTCCGAACACATCCGAGCCAGAAGATGAGCGAGAAGCTGCACAGCCTGAAAAAGGTGAGAAGTTGACAAGAGGTGCTAGGACTAGAGCGGAGGTATGATCCAGCGTACCCGGCCAGCTTGGTGACACGTTTTCATGTGCCTTCTGTAGGAAAAAATCAAGCAGCAAATGAAGAAGCCAAAACGCAAGTCGTTGTAGCAGCTTTACATGACTGTTCGGTGTTTTTAGTACGTTTTGGTAGGATCTCTCCGATGCTCTTTCTATGATTCCTCATATACCGTGTGAATGCTGTCTCGTTACCTTTTTGCACGATTTGCGACTTTCCTTACGCTACGGATCTCCTTGCGAGTCATGATACTCATGATCTAAGCCATGTACAACACCAAGCAATTGATAGTGTGATTTATACGTCTTTTCATCTCTCGGATATGATCAAGCTGAAGCGGCGGGGAGGTTACAATTTGATCGGAGATCGAACTCTATCAAGCAACTGCTTGCCCTTTACGGCTACTGCCTTCAGCGACAGTAAGGCTCAAGACTGCCCGCCAAAATCCAAGTCAACGCTGCCGCCGCTAGTCAGATGGTGAACATTCCAAAGTACGCTGTTCTGTTGGCTACTCGAACCATGATAGACTGACTCGTTGTCCAGGACACGACGAACCTGTTAGTATTGCAAGCGCGGCTTGATACGAGGGAGTATTGATCGTATGTCCACAGACTGCAAGGGTAAGCAGTGCAGGAAGCACACGTACGTACCGTAGTCATTATCTTGCTGTCTCGTACTTACTGCCATGCTTGCCGCAGCCCTCACAAGGTCACGCAGTACAAGAAGGGAAAGGACTCGTTGGCTGCGCAGGGAAAGCGTCGGTATGACCGCAAGCAGTCCGGTTACGGTGGTCAGACGAAGCCCGTCTTCCACAAGAAGGCAAGTTACCTCGTCGGACAGCAGAGCTCCTCACGCTGATCAACTTTGCTTCTTGTTCAGGCGAAGACGACGAAGAAGGTTGTGCTGCGACTAGAATGTACCGTCTGCAAGTACAAGATGCAGCTTTCGCTCAAGCGCTGCAAGCAGTACGTACCAACATTCGCACATCTTCCTGCCCTCGTTGACCCGTCTTCTTCAGCTTCGAGCTCGGTGGTGAGAAGAAGACCAAGGGTGCTGCGCTCCAGTTCGTAAGTGGTTCGTTTTCAATTTACATCGTTACTACTAACAAGTCGACAGTGATTGTGGACGCTCCCTTTCCTTCTTCTCTTGCTTTCATTTGTGTTATTCTCGTTGTCGCCTATGTTTCGCCGAGCTCCATGTGATATGCACACCCATCATGCACATGCATCATCACGAAAAATTGTATTGCTATCGAGAGGTGCCTGCTATGCTTCGCATATGGGTCCCTGGTGGTATTCCCGAGCCAGTGAATATGCACTCAATGTCGATTTCTGCAGCAGCAGACCTGACTGCTCGACAGCCTATGAACATGACGTCGCCACTCAGCCGTACCTACCGGGCCTCTTGCGTGATGCCCCATTGCCTGACCTCAGTCGTATCGCTTTGCTGCAAGATCACATCATCTCGACGGCTTTGTAGCAAGCAGCTCTTGTCTCACTGGAGAGACATGTTGATCGCACATGTCCATCTATCATACAGGGGCACTTTTTTGACTCTGAAGAGTGCCGTCAAAAGTCACTGCGGTTTAATGATATGCCCCTTCAATATGGCAATACTTAATATCAAACGGGATATCTCGAAAAACGGCGTCGCAAACAGGACTGTGTCTGGGGTATATGCTCGGGTGTATCAAAGACAGATGCTAGAAGATTTGATAACAGCGATATGATGCAAGAGAGTTGCGTAGCAAGGAAGGTGATTGAGCAAATGTGAGATTTCATCCTTGAAATAATTATAAGCATGACCCCGTCAATGCACTCCACGGGCTGGAGCCTGATACCCATCTGGACATCCGATCCTCTCTGCCCATGCTCGTATCATATCCACCATCTGCGAGGAATCTTTCAGCCTGGGTCCGATCGTGGAATGTACTTCCTTCTGATGAGCGAGGATCATCTCCTCAACCTCTTTGCCTAGACGATCCAAGAGCGGGCGAATCTCTTGCTGAACGGAATGCATGAGGATGGGCTGCACGGTGGAGATTATCTGCTCGACGGTAGGCCCAGGTGGCGGGATACGCGCATTCATGGCTTCTCTCAACTGACGCGCCTCCGCCGCCATCTCGTCGATCTCATCCTGCTGCTTCTTGCCAATCTATGCTGTAGAATTAGCATTTATTGCTCTCGCTAACTTGAGAAGAAACTCACATGCACAAGATAATGTTTCAATTCGTGATTTTGATCGGTCAAGGCCGCATTTTCAGCCCTGAGAGCTCCGTTCATATCGGCGAGGTCCAACATTTCCTTCCTTAAATTGGATATCTCCTCGTCGGCGCTGGCAAGCTTCCCTCTGAGCTCGGATAGCTCTTCTTTTACTTTATCATCAAGAAGCCCCTGGAATTCAGCTCTCAAGTCATCATCATGCGCATGCATGTCATTGCTCAACTGCTGGAATTGCTCCTCAAAGCGTGCGACTTGATCCTCGAGCTCCGCAATGTCAGGTACTCCCTTGCCGTCCGCGCTCTCGCATATTGACATTCTATCCGACGCATCGTCAATTGATAGCCCATGCTGCTTGCTCTGTGAACCAGATGCTAGGAGTGTCCGGTCGTTGTCTAATTGCCGTGCGTCCGACTGCAGCTGAAGCTTCTCCAGAAGTCCTCTCATATCGACAAGCGAATCCCTAATCTCGCGGACTTGTGTGGCCACATGAGGCTGCACAGATGGGGGCACAGGTTGCGTCCTCTGCTGCTCCTTGAAGGGCCAATAGTCGGACTCTGCGAGCTGCAAGAGGCCGTTCTTGAGCTCTTCCCTTTTGTTGTCGCGCTGTATCTGCACCATCAAGAGTCTGGCGTGCAGGTCTGCATGCGCCTGCTCTGAAAAGACTCCAGACGTGGTGGAGGTCTCAAGGCGAATGAGATCGGCGACTTCGCGGTCGAGTTTCTGGTATTCCGCTCGGGCAGCTGTTGCGCCTGCAAGAAGGCTAGCAATCTGGTGAGCTAATTACGAAAGACCGCATTCAGTAGCTACTCACTTGATTCGTTCATTCCACACTTCACGTTTTTCTTCTGGAGACAACATCGGGACATCGGGCTGGGGGTCAGATTTAGGTAGGTCTGCCGGGGTTGTTACAGCAATCCAACCGGTCTTTGGAATCTCAGGTATTGAGGATGCAGATGGACCGACTTTAGCATGAGTCACGCCAAACACACTCTCAGCAGAAGGTGCAGGAGGCGGAGTGTGAGCAGGAGCCACGGGAAATGGCGCAGGTTGAGTGATTTGAGATGATACACCAGCTGAAGGATCAACGGGCGTAGACCATGTTTTAGGTGGAGGTACAAAGGCAGGCACCGGAGGAACGAAGCAAGAAACGGGTTCTCCTGCAGACAATGCCGCAGAATTGAACATCTCGTTATGCGGATTCAACTTTAACGTGATCCGTGTCGCTGTTAAAATAGGCTCCTTGCTCTCTTCCTTCACGGGGAGAGGCATTGAAGCAGAGGTATCAGCGGGGGCGTTGATGATGGCAGCGGATGAAGACGGCAAATTCTGTGGCCCCATCAGGTCGCCATGAGGGGAAGCATTCTCGAAGCGCCTGAGGTTTCGCGGTCCAGTGGGCGGCGCACGGCCTCGTGGTGTCCCTATGAGATTAGGTTTGGGCAGGCTGGCACTATTGGGAAGTAACGATTGCTGTGGCAAACGGTGCGGCTGGACTTCGGGCTCTGGAGAAGACGATGCAATACTATCGCTGCGACCTCGATGACGGCTAGGAGATACAAGCCGTACTGGCCTGCTGCTCATTGCTTCTCTACTGCGCGATCGCCGTTGAGGGGACTTTGCCCGAGGCCGGGACGAAGAGCGAACAGAAGACCTCCTCCTGGAGTAGCTGTCATCGTGACCGCCTCCACTGGATGACAGATGCCGTGAACGAGATCTGTCGCGACTGTAAGAGCGACGTCGTCCTTGCTTGCTGTGTGATCGTGTGCGTCTTGGACCTATCGGTGAGCGACTGTCAGATCTTTCCCTCCTCCGAAACGGAACGTTCCGCGATGCACGAACACGTTCAAGTTCGCTTTGATGAAGGAGATGAGGATATACTGTGCCAAACGCAGGATGGGCGTTGTGCCATTGCTCGAGATCGTCGGGATGTGCGTACGTGCATCTTCTACCATCGATTCTCGAGTCACACCCTTGGTTTCCACCTGCGCGCAAATAAGGTCTACCTGTGTCGTTGTCATACCACTAGCGTAAACGGGATATGGATAAGTGGAATACGCGGTTGACTGGACGAAACTTACGCACCCAACATCGGGCCTGGACGTACTTCATTTCTTTAAATGCTGAGAAGTTGCTGACAGTGTCAATGTTGCGATGCCGGATTGATTTACAGAGAGCTTTGACATAAAACAGGCGGTTACAGTGGAAAACCCTGTTAGTATTAAATGTTGGTGTGGCCACTCGCGCGAGGCTGCGGACTTTGAATTACCCGTCGGAGATTACATTTTCCGCGTATGATTCCAAGCTGCGCGTGATCTGAGCTTCACTCGCGCACAGTGGCGGTGACTTGCTTGTCCTTCAATCCCTCTCTCAGCTCATCTGAGGATGCTGTCTACGCCCTCAAAGCGTACGGCGTCCACTACCCCTGATGGCGCAAGACCAACGAAAAGGCAGGCAACGTCTTCTCCAGAGGAAGGGGAGGTAGACGACACGACGCCTCCGCGTCCTCCCCGTCCAGCCACGCCTCCGAAGACCAAGGTTCCCTTTCCCTTCAAGCGCAAAGGGACCTCCGACGAGGACAGGCCAGAAATATATACGAGCAGAGACGCACGCTCAAGAGGTCCGCCGATGCCAATGGTATACGAGCGCTCGCGGGAGGACGAGCAGCGATTCAGAGAAGAGGATGAGCGAAGATGGTCGCAGGCGCGCTCAATACGACCGGACTCGCATTCTCGATCAGTTGACCGCTGGAAGCCTTCCGCAGGTCGATATGATCCTCCTTCTAGGTCACGATGGCCGCCCCCGGATTACGGGTACGGCGCCCACTATCCTCGCTCGCCCGAGTATCGCGAATACCCATCTCGTTTTCCACCTTCTCCTCGCCGACATGTCCCTTCGCGCTCACCATCCACCCCGCGCTCACGCTCCCCGCTTTCGCCCGTTGTGAGCAAGGAGAAGCATCGCCTCCCGCCACCGCGACCGACACATGATACATCCATTCTCACAGAGTACTACGACGAACGCGGAAGTGACCTCGGCAAACGCAGCCATAGCAGAGAGGGGAGAAAACGTAATCTCAGTGATCGCGCTATCACACCGCCCCGAGAACGGTTGGGTCAGCGTGGTTGGGATGAAGGCGGGTACGTGCTTGACGATGATGACCGGCATTATAGGCCAACACGCGACACACGCGATGATGGCGACAACTGGAGGAGAGACAGAGATCGGTACGATGATTACCCAAACGGATATCACCGTGTCGGGGACAGTTATCGCCCTCTCTCGCCGGGCACATTGACGTCTCCAAAGTCGCTCTCTCCGCGGACGCAACCGCCTCGATCCTCCACTGCTTTTACAACGCCGCTGCCACCCGTGTCGCCACCTCCTCCCCCACCCCCAGAGTCGCGGAAATATGAGCATTTACCGACCGCTCATCCGGCCGTGACGATCCACTTGCCTGCAAGGCGACCCCCATCGCCCCTCAATATTCACTCGCCGCCTTCTATGCCATTACCTGCTAAGACAGATGTTCTACCAAAAGAGACACCTGCAAAGGAACAGAGCATTTCGGGGCCTAAGCTGGCCGTGGCACAGAAATTGAAGCGAAAAGTTGTCGTTAGAACGCGGGAGGAAGAGGCGAAGGTGTATGGGCGAACATTCGTTGGATGCGGAAGACAGGAGGATTACAACGTTCTGACGAAGTTGGGCGAAGGAACGTTTGGGTGAGTCTCAGATATCATTTTCACGCAAGAGGTAGGTGTGACAATGCTCGCAGAGAGGTTCACAAAGCTGTACATCGTACGAAGGGGAATGCAGTCGCTCTCAAGCGGATTCTGATGCACAACGAAAAGGAGGGCATGCCTGTCACAGCACTGCGCGAAATCAAGATCCTTAAGGCGTTGCACCATCCCTGCATTGTCGACATTCTGGACATGTTCGTGGTAAAAAGTACGTATAAAAGCGCGAAGATTTGTGCTCCACCTCATCTGTCGTGCAGGTCAGGACAAACACACACCACTCTCCGTGTATATGGTCTTCCCGTACATGGACCATGACCTTGCTGGCCTCCTCGAGAACGAGCGTGTGAAGTTGTCACCAAGCCAAATCAAGCTATACATGAAGCAACTTCTGGAGGGCACAGCGTACATGCATCGAGTATGTCCATCTCTAAGCAGTCGCGCTTTCGTACTCATCATTTGCAGAATCACATACTTCATCGAGACATGAAAGCAGCGAATCTGCTCATTTCTAACGAAGGCACGCTCAAAATTGCAGACTTCGGTCTCGCTCGTGCGTTCGATCCGAGCATTGTGCAGCACAAGGAGGACTTCCGCGGCAAGGAACGGAAATACACGAATTGTGTGGTGACTCGGTGGTACCGTCCCCCGGAGTTGCTGCTTGGTGCGCGACAGTACGGCGGTGAAGTCGACATGTGGGGCATCGGGTAGGTTATCTTGTTGCACGTCGACTGGCGAGCTAAAGAGACTGACCTGATCCCATAGCTGCGTGTTGGGCGAGATGTTCTGGCGTAAACCGATTCTACCTGGTGCCTCAGATTTGGACCAGCTGGACAAGATCTGGAGGTTATGTGGTACGCCGACACAGTACACCTGGCCAGGCTACGACGCCTTGCCTGGCTGCGAAGGCGTCAAGAAATTTGCCCCGTACCCTCGACAGCTCAGGAATCTCTATGAAGCGTCAGTATCGAGTCCTTGCCGCCCATGACGTCTCATCTCACGGCTTCGTACAGGATCGGCCCTGAGACGGTCGATTTGCTCGACAAGCTCCTAACATGCAACCCACGAGAGCGAATCACTGCTGAGCAGGCCCTCGACCATGACTACTTCTGGACGGACCCTCTGCCTGCGGATCCTAAAACGTGGGCACCCGCTCTGAGCCTCCTCTGTCATATTGTCACTCATCTTGTTTGTTTCCTATACCGCTCCCGCTGGATCTGCATCATCATGCTGTCAACGATTCACTCCATCCTGGTGCGTACTTCCCGATCTGTTCAGTCTGCCAAGGTACGAGGCCTCCCATGAGTTCGACAAGCGTGGTCGTCGTCAGCAAGCTCCTGTGGGTCCTGTTCTTGGTCAGCACATGAATGAAATGCCGAGGCAGTTGCCTCCGCCCGCACACATGCAACGGCACCGTGCGCCACCTCCCAGAGAGGCTTTCCGTAGCGGTCCTCCCCCTCATTTTTATGGTGGAGCACACAACCAAGGTCCGCCTCAGCCCGCCTACCCCTCCTATCCTCCCGCGCAAGGCTACGCGCATCCGCCACAACGATACCCTCCTGGTCCTGGGCCTATGCCGCCTGCAAGCACCCTAATGCCTATCACGCTCAGGCCTGGACAGCCACCCCCGCAGATCGCTCCATGGCAGCCGCCTCCCCCTCGGCCAGTCCATCTGCCTCCCCGCCCGCAGGCGCCTATGCCAATGGGGCGAGGCACCGGCCCTCATCGTGACCACAACCAACCACACTATGATGGCCAGGGCGGGTACAATGAGGGCGCGCTGAACTATGGCTGAATTTATCTCCATCGCATTTGCTTTCCTCTCTGGTTGTCCTTGTTGCTTACAATCATCGTCATTGCATCGCATACCTACTTTACTCGTCCTCGCAAGCTATCGTTGGTGTCTCTGTCGGACGTTGTGTAATGATATATCTCTATTCGTGCTGCACTAGATGGAATGCATTGTAAGCACGTGTTATACTCTCTCGCACCATGGCGTGAAGCCTAATTATCTGAATTATCTGGAATGATCATGACCTGGCTGTTGCGTACGAGGAGCGGCACACAGTAACCCAGACAGAAGAGATGAATTAGTATTAATCTAGCACCTGCGTCGCGTACCCAAATGAGAATCTGACATCGTACATACCCAGTAGAACTCCGTTCTTATGCTTCAGCGATGCATGTAGAAAGGTTGATTGCGTTACACGCGGAACGACGATTAAATGTTTTGGCCTGATTGTGGACGCCCAACAAGGGAGCAATGGTGACATTGCCCTGTTCATCATGCTGAGAGCGATAGCCGTGAATGGCGGAGCGTGTATACTAGGTAGGAAGGGAGTGCTGTTCGAGATAATACTAGCGAAGCAGCTGATCACCTGCATCGTGACGAAGCATGAATGCATGAAGGTTCAGTCCGACAGCTTCGCACCTTTCGTCCGTGACGCCCTTCTCGCCATCCATCAGATGCCCCGGTACGCATTCCTACGGACGATGCTTCCGAACCATGGGCGACCGCCCGGACTTTTGTCGAGGATTCTGCGACTCTGGTACCCATGCATGTGGCCAGGGCGCAGTGACTTCATATTATTCGTAATTGTCCGATGGGTGATTCAATGATGAGATGAGAGGTCGTCAGAGGCGAATGTTGCTCCATGGCCAATGCGACGCGTAGGCGGATGGAATCGCTGTAGCAGCTTGGCGACAAGAGTTGAGCACCGCTACCGCGACACATCTAGGTCGAAGTGTTGCAGATTGAAGTAAGATCTTGCCCATAACCTGCTACAAAGTGTTCAGGTATAGTTGCACTGCGAGCATTGACACAGTTAGTAGATATGCTTCAAGGGTATTATCCTAGATGCTGTATACGCCGAGAGCAGTTCTCAACCTCCAAGCAGGTGCGTCACAGGAAGGACTATGCCGAAAAAGACGTCTGCTAGCCGAGATTATCATCTATGTTTGGCAAGACGCTCTGGCAAGAAGCAGCACCAGCGATGAAGAGATTGAACGAAGTTCCCTTCGCATCAGAACTGTCAGCATGTGTCCCAAAGCGCGTTCGAATGAAGACACAACTTGAGCAGTATCGTCGCGGTGGAAGCTCCTAACTCCAATACTAAGCTATGACTATTAGACAGCGGGTCAAGCAACAAGCACGGGCTCCGTGTAACAAATCAGGAGTATCCAGTAATCCCCCAAGAGCTGTAAGTAGTAATGTCCTCATGAGAACATGATCTCCATCAGCACTCACTACTTATGGAGAAAACCACGCACCGGATTGGAAACCGATAGGAATGAGGCACGCTTGCTGCTCAGGAGTGGTAGCCTTTCAGACTATGAGCAAACGCAGTCGGAGCGCACGCAAGATCCGAGCAAGGAGATATGTTCAAAACAAGCCTATAATTTGATACCGACGTGCGATGGGTGATCAGAGGGATGTGGTCATGCGAGCATTGCATGAGAAGGCTGCTCACCTGATTGTACGCATTTAGTCGTCCATCATGCCTTCTCTGGCGCGGCGCCATTTACGAATCATGAGCGTTCCGCCCTTCTCGAGTGAACCGTCTCCGCAGAACCCGGGGCCGCCCTTCTCAGGCTATGCTCTTCAACCAGTTATAAACCGGGAGTTCAGCTCAGCCAGGCCCACTACCTCCTTGACCGACATGACAACGATATTGTCTTACTTTCAAACGCTGGTCAGCGTTCAGTACGCTGCTTGGTTGCTGCTGGCTCCTGTGCTCGTTCTCCTCGTTCATTTCGTCCCTTACCTGCGTGATCCGCATCGCATCCGTTCCTATCCGGGCCCATTCCTCGCGAAGCTCTCCGATGCATGGCTAGGCTGGGTGGCTGCGAAGGGACACCGTTCCGAGGTCGTTCACAAACTTCATCAGAAACATGGTGAGTAGAATCAGTTTGCTTCATGTTCCTGCTTCAGTGGAAAGAAAGTTGGGGAAAGGATAGCTCGGAGAGGTACTGCTGCAAACGAAATTACTCCATCTGGCAGGCTTAGTCAGCTGGTTGTCTCCTGGTATCCCGGCGTAGTGCGATGCACACCGGTCAACAGCAGAATATTGAACGCTCTACATCAGGACCTTTCCCTTCGGGTTTTATGGATATTCGCATTTCAATCTTCGTAGATCACGATTCACTCACAACAATCACAATTATACAGGCAAATTTGTCCGCATTGCACCCGACCATGTGTCCATCAGCGATCCTGAGGCCATTCAGGAAGTTTACGCCCACGGCAATAGCACGACAAAGTCCAACTTCTACGATGCGTTCGTGTCCATTCAGCGCGGTCTGTTTAACACGCGCTCGCGCCCAGAGCATGCTCGTAAACGCAAGATAGTCTCGCACATCTTCTCCCAGAAGAACGTGCTCGACTTCGAGCCATATGTTCGCATGCACATCGCTGCACTAATGAAGCAGTGGGACCGCCTCTGCGATCTCAGTGCGAAGGGACTCTCTGGCGAAGAAGGTGAGGGCGGATGGAAAGGCCGTGACGGCAGACTCTGGCTTGACTGCCTCCCGTGGTACAACTACTTGGCTTTCGACATTATCGGTATGGTCTCTATTTTCCTGCAGGCTGAACAATTATTAAGTCGTTCTTTATTAGGTGACCTGGCATTCGGTGCGCCCTTTGGCATGCTCCAAGCCTGCGCGGACGCTGCACCCGTGGCCGTATCTCAAAAGGACGCAATGGCCTCGTACGGTGAGAGCGGGTCGCCAGAAATCACCTATTTCCCTGCCGTCCAAGTTCTCAATGACCGCGGCGAGTACTCTGCATCGATAGGCGTCCTGCCTCATTACTGGCGTCCCTTGGCCGTGCGGTTCATACCCTGGTATCGGAATGGCAACAAGGCCGTGAAGCGCCTTGCGGGAATCGCTATCGCTGCGGTGGCGAAGAGACTGACCACTCCTACTGACCGTGTGGACCTGCTCGGTAAGCTTCAAGAGGGCAAGGACGATGAAGGTAACCCGATGGGAAGGGAGGAGCTCACTGCGGAAGCTCTCACCCAGCTGATCGCTGGCTCGGACACGACATCCAAGTAAGCCTGCTTCGTGATGTGCCATAGGCTCCGGCTGATTGCATTGGCTAAGCTCCTCTTGTGCAATTACATACTTCCTCGCAGCCAACCCGATGGTGCAGCAGAAGCTCCAGCGCGAGCTCGACGCAGCCCTCGGCAACGACGACGACCCAGTGGCAACCTACGAGCAGGTCAAGCGTCTCCCCTACCTGGACGCCGTCATCAACGAGGCACTGCGCGTGCATTCGACCTCTGGGATCGGCCTCCCCCGCGTGGTACCCGAAGGCGGCATCACTGTCTGTGGGCAGTTCTTCCCCGAGGGCACCGTCTTGTCTGTACCGACGTATACAGTCCATAGGGACAAAGAGGTGTGGGGAGAGGATGTGGAGGTATTCAGGCCTGAGAGATGGGAAGAGTGCGACAAGAATGAGATGCAGAAGGCGTTCAACCCGTTCTCCTTTGGGCCGCGGTAGGTGTATCTCGGGCGTGCGTGACGACTTGGGGCTCAGATTTTGTTTACACAGGACATGTGTCGGCCGTAACCTGGCAAGCCTGGAGCTGCTCGTCATTATCTCCTCCATCCTGCGCCGATACCACTTCGTGCTGCAGGAACCTGAAAAGAAGGTGTGTGCCAATTAATCTATCCGCACTGATCTCTGATGCATGTGCTGCGATGCAGTTCGAGACACGGGAAGGTTTCCTCCGCAAGCCAGTGCAATGTAAAGTCGGCATCAGGCGGAGGACGGTGTGATCAGAATTACATTATTCGGCCGCGTCCTCGAACCTCGTCGACTATGTCGCTTGCGTATAGATTAACGATGCCCCTGCTCTATTCATGCGTTCTCGGCGCAGTTTCTCACCAGACAACGTCTCTCGGAGGACAGTCAGTTGCACCGGCCTTTAATGGCGGTTATGTCGACGTATACGAAAGTACTGGTCTCATCGACGGCAATAGCTTTCATTATCGGTTATCATCAAATATACGTCTAGACCATTCCAACGTGGCCGGTCAACAGTCAGGCCAGACGCCTATGCGCTGGCGGGGGGCTTGCATCCGAAGCCAGTGGCAGAGGCCCAGCAGGTGTAGCCAGCCTACAAGCAGTATGTCAGCGAGTGATTCACGCGAACGAGAGAGAGCCACATACATCGCAAGACGATCCTGCTACACTGGGATCCACCTCGCCGTCGTTGCAGTAGACGATCTCGATGCCGTAGCAGTCGCTGCGGTCACGATCAGTAGGTGTTCGACGAAAAGGCAAGCTAGAAACATACTATCCGGTGTAGGAGGCCGGGCACTTCGTCTGGCGGCGCTGCATGGGGGCCGTGCAACCAAAGTCGGTTGTGGATGCCCAGCAAGTGTCGCCGGCCTACAAGATAGCGTTAATGAACGGTGGACACGAACGAGAGCGGGTAGCATACATTGCAAGAGGATCCGGCAACGCTGGTGTCGATCTCGCCATCTTTGCAATAGATGATCTCGGAGCCGTAGCAGTCACTGAATATTTGATGAGCAAATAGTGAACATAGAAACAAAATGGACACATACTATCCGGTGTAGGAGGCGGGGCACATCGTCACGCTGCGCTCGATGGTCAGAGCCTTAGCCGCACCGACGAGGAACGGAAGGGCGAAGAGGACAGCGAAACGCATGTTGGTGAAGAATAGGATTTGAAGACGGGGACGGGCTACTGCAATGGAGACAAGGGCGAAGTGCTCTGGTGGACAGGTATGGCGGACGTCCACCTTTTATACCATGAGCTGACAAGTCTCGCTTAAACCCACACTGAGAAGCAGAGGTAATGTATTGCTTGTTTCAGGTCGTTGTCAAGAGTCAAAGCGAGCGTAGGTATTTCACGATGCCATTTGTAGTACTTCGGGCTTCTTGAGACGTGCTGCATGCATTGTGTGAAGGTCTGTCCGCGTAATTGAACCGAAGAGAACAACACGTCTGTCCACGATACAACAGTTACTTGCGGCTCATGTCTGCTAGCCACACTGCTAATAACCCTGTCGTGCATAACAGTCAGTGAGCGAACTTTGTCTAGAGAAAGCGGTGCGTCATATACCATTGAAACCTGTCGGGAGAGGGATTCGCCCTCGCAGAAGCAGCAGTGCCGTCGGTGTGATATTGAGACGATCGGCCGGCAACCAAGATGAAACATGAACGTTACAACCGAAAATTCGGATGAGGGAATGCGGAAGGTTACGATTGTGGCACAATGGTGGACATGTGACCTCGAGGCTCGCGTTTCCTGACATCGAATGGTAATGTACACGGATCACATGAAGAACCGGCAAAGTTAGCAGTGGTAAGCTCTTTTCTTGACAAACCCGCGACGGATCACGACATGACCCGGAGTCCAATCCCCTAATTCATCGAGAGCGACGGCAACCTCTTCACATCTGTCGGCTATGTTGCAGTCAAATGCGGAAACAAGTGTACTCATGCATGCAGCCAAAGAGGGAATCGGTAAATGACTTACAGGCTCAGCCGCGTAGCGTGGCAAGTCAGGTGACCGCGTTGCGAAAGAACGCGTCCGAGACGCGTTGCCGCTGTGGCGCTACTCAGTCCGTCAGCGATGAGAGGCCTAAGGAACATCGCTCACGTCGAGAAATTCGGGCACGGGCGGTGGAACGCATTGCAGTTTTTCTTCCTTGGAAACCGTAAACGAAAGTCCTGCTATATTTTGTTGCAGTGCCGCGACCGAGCGAGAGCAGGCAGTCGGAGGCATTGAACTATCGAGCATAGCTAGCCTCAGGAACAACGTACGGCAGATAGCGACGGACCCACGGCTTACACGAGGGTGCCTTCCGGTGGCCGATGGTGAACCAGCTCTGCGGTATACATAAAGTCAGCCACACGGGCGCTTGATGCGACCACCTCCTTGTCTCTTACCGCCTCTATTTCTCCGCTACCCAGGTTATGCTCAGCATCAACAACAACTGCTCTGTTACTCTGCATATAATTGATATTTTTGAACCCTTGGCACGGCGACAGCTCACGCGACTCGCTACATGCGGCATTGTCACCTGGCTCTCGGACGAGTGGCGTCGATGACCTTGGGTCCAACTACCATTATCGCGAGAATCCAACGGCTCTCTAGTCATCTATATGCAAAATTCTAAGTAGCCGCTCGGTAGGAGGAGTCTCGGACACGCATTCCACCGGTACAGTGTTGTTCATCCGCCGTCACTGTCGTCCAAAGGGTGGCTATACGCGGTGTCATTGCTGACGGGTTTCCCAACAGACGATGGATTGGTCAATCAATAGTAGCTTATATGTCCATAACGCGCATCAAGAACCCGACAACCCGACGACTCCTTGCACAGCCTGTGTCATGGATGGCCACAGCATGTTCAAGCTCCGAGTCGGCCTCGAGGTACGCCGCTTTCTATTGGACAACTCCGTCAGCCGGTAGGTATTCATCATATTGGGACGCAGCGGTTGGCGTATTGCAATCTAGCCTCGTATGAAACAGATAACTATTGACGTTAACCATAGCATACGATATACCGCCACCAAGTGCGATGCCGTCACGATGCGATAAAGCCTTTTTCAAGGGCGTGCGAATATCAAGTCGTCTCGAGGATACCGACGACACGAAATTAATGGGATCCGATGCAATCACTTAATAAATGGCGATGATAATCGAGAACATACCTAGCAATGGATTTGAACTTCGTGCGCAAAACGGATTCAAAACATAATTGAACACCAACGTTGAAGGAAATTGAGTGGAGCACAAATTTCAAAAGGACCAACCGATGGAAGAAGGATTCAAATGAACATATGGGGCTGAAGCAGCTGGATGACAATATCGATGGGCCATACAGTCTTCAAAATATGGTTGATGAAACGCCACACCAGAGCAATTCGCTCGATGAAACGATGAGGCAATGATTATCGAGCGATCAACAGAGCAACCAGGAATGCCTTTCAAGACGAGTGTTAGAACCAAAATACCTGGCCATTCGAGGAAAGAAGAGGACACAAAGAAAACAAAAGACCATCTTGATGGTGCTCATGAATAAATGCTCGCCACAATCCAGCATTCCCGGCGGATTACGTAGAGATGAGCCGACGAAGACACCCGTGCACGAAGGAACCATTCACAAATGTTTTGGCATATCCCTGTCACGCCGTCACCTGAGAGCGCGATGGTCCGATGCAAGAGCTACCACTGCCTCACAACATTGACGCCCCTGCCTTTGACGTGATCACGCTCGAGGTGTTGTCGCGAAGAAGATATTGTTCGGATTGACGACCTGCGCGATCGTCAGTAGAGTTTGGCGGGGCGTCCTGTTACGGTGTCGTGCATGTGAAGTCGAATAGCAACCTGCGACATGTGCATGAAGTGTCAGACGGAAAGTCGACTGGTCTGCAAAGTGCTCAGGGCATTCAAGGAGTCTGCATTTTGGGATGTCTTCCGCGAACAGCTTCAACCTCGAGCCGAGGAGCGATGTCGAAGCACTTATTCGAATGCCAGCTGGGTCACGCATCGTGAGTCAGGCCACAAGCAGAGGATACCGATTTGGACACGTATGGGCAATATATTGAGTTATACAATCGACTGATTCAGTATTTCGTTCGATTCATACCACCGACACCAGCCATTCCATGCGGTGAGACATAAAGCTAGCTGTGGTTAAATTATGGAGTGTTGCACCAGATCAAGAGGGCAAACCGGTATCCAAGCCTGCTGCGAGGTGAAAGCACTCCTTGTACGCTCGAACGTGCCTTGACGGGCCGTACAGAAGGACAATTGCATACCTCCACGAAGGCTGACCATGAGCCTAGCTTTCAAGATTCCAGTTCAGCAGTAAGGACTGATGTGTTTCATGTATGACTCACCGGCTCAAGCGGTCTTGCTCTATTCCACGGTACATAATATATCATCACTGACAAGATGTTATGAGGAGAGAGACGTTACATTGCAGTTACTATATTGAGAGGGATTGTAGCACTTCGTCTGTGCTGCAGTGCATACCAGTAGCCCGAATCCGAGCCTACGCATGCCCTGTTTTTGTGATGCCCTTCACTGATGGTACCTTAGTGCCGGGGCTGGTGAGCTAACAATACTGCAAACTGATGGAAAATTATTACGTTCAGGGACATTGCAAGATCATGCAATTGCGACGTGCGGCGGCCGTAGCGGCAACGAGTCGAACCGGTGGCATATTAAGCGCCCTAAATTATATTGTGGCCGCATTTCCATTTAGGGAGCTACTGGCGAGTCATCGCTTGGACTGGACTCGCAACAATGTACTCTCGCAGCTACTTCTTCTACCAGTCTTTCAATCTTCCATCGGTACTTTAAAGCGCCGTAGAACCTATCAAGAATTCAATTAGACAGAATAATCGTTAGATCTACGAAAAATTCGATCAAATTTCCGACCTGCTGGATCGTAGAGCTGTCCATACATTTACGTGAGTGACGCATACCAAAGACTTCCAAGGCTTCATAAAGCTGAAGTTATTCTTAACAAATGTTTTAGCGATCTACACAATGTCCGGCTCATCTACACCATCACCATCCTCCTCTATTTCCTCCATCTCCTCCAGCACTTCGCCTCGCACGCCTGCCAATCTGCACCAAAATAACATAGATCCCGCTGCCAAATGGCTCGTCCAAAAGTTCGGAGGCACAAGCGTGGGCAAATTTGCCACCAAGATCGCCGAGGACATCGTCTCGTTCGTACATCGCTTACGTGCATATTAACTGCACCTACATGATCGCCGTTTCCTCATCGTGTGATACAGTGAATATTTAGACCAGCATAAGGTGGCAATCGTCTGCTCTGCACGCTCTGGCTCAACAAAAACCCTCGGAACTACCAACCTTCTCCTACGTGCTGCTAAAGAGGCCTTGCAGCACACTCACAGCCCATCTGGCACCCCAGGAAACGTGACACCCGCACTCCACACATCACAGCAATCTCCCGTAGACAGTCCGCGGCCTCCGAGCGGGTCATCGCCTCGCACGGAGCCCTTCTCTCCTGGAGGCCTGATGAGCATGTCAACCATGAGCCTTCCTCCTCCCGCGTTCAATTCGACCGTCGACATTATTCGTTCGGAACACATCAATGCGGCGCGATCGTCGGTCCGCGATCCGGACCTATTGAAGGAGTTAGAGGCGGAAATTGAGCGCGATTGTGATGGGTTGCGCTCCTTCCTGGTTGCGACGCAGGTAAATCGTTTGTATCCGTTCGGTCGTAATGTAACATCTGATTCTGTGTCGTGCTTTCAGGTCATCGACGAAATCTCTCCTCGCTCAAGAGACAGCATAATTGGTTACGGTGAGCGACTGGCATGCAAGGTCATGGCGGCCACTTTGCGGGACAGGGTAAGTGAATGCTTGACCCTTTGACTTGTCAGTTGCCAATAAAGATGCAGGGTATCGATGCCGAATTTGTTAGCCTCGAAAACGTCGTTCCACTGTCTGAAGATGGTGAAACATATTCAGACACTGAAACGCTCGGTCAAGACTTCTATGACCGCGTCGCGGAAGCTGTTAGCGAGCGCATCAAGCACTGTGGGCCTCGCGTGCCCGTCGTCACTGGTGCGTCCGCTGCTCGCTGAATCATTAACCTCGAAGCTAAAGTTATTCTCCAGGATTTTTTGGTCCGGTGCCAGGCTCTCTGCTACGGCAGGTCGGGCGCGGGTACACGGATCTGCTCGCTGCTCTGCTTGCTGCAGGATTGAATGCATCGGAGCTGCAAATATGGAAGGAAGTAGACGGAATCTTCACAGCAGACCCGCGGAAAGTGCCCACGGCACGGCTCATACCCATCATCTCACCGGAAGAAGCGGCAGAGCTTACCTACTATGGCAGCGAGGTCGTGCACCCGTTCACCATGGAGCAGGTGCGTGGTGGACTGTTCAGCTCCGGCACTAGGACCATGTTGACGTGTTCCCATGCTACGTAGGTAATTCGCAAAAAAATACCCATCCGGATCAAAAATGTCGAGAATCCACAAGGCGGTGGGACCGTCATCCACCCGGACCCTGATATCGATGCTATCCCATACCCCGACGATGATGCCGGCATCATCATTCCTACTACAAACACGTTTATTCCTATCTCGGAGCTTGCACGTGTTTCTTCGGAGTCGCCAGAGCGCAAGCTTCCTACGGCGGTTACCATCAAGGAGCACATTGTCGTGCTGAACGTGAACTCGAACAGGAAGAGTGTCTCGCACGGCTTCCTTGCTGGGGTCTTCGGCACACTCGATCGCTATGGCGTCGTGGTGGATCTGATCAGTACCAGCGAGGTTTATGTCAGCATGGCCATCGAGGATCACCTGGACAAAAAGGTCCTGGACCGAGTCGTGCGCGAGCTGAGGAAGAGCGGCACGGTTCGTAGTAAATTATTATATACCTGAAACTGTCAGGATAGCTGACGCCTGGTGCACAGGTCACAGTGAGCCGGGACATGGCGATTCTCTCGCTAGTGGGTAAGAAAATGCGGAACATGGTGGGGATAGCAGGCCGCATGTTCACCACGCTGGGCCACGGTAACATCAATATCGAGATGATCAGTCAGGGCGCGAACGAGATCAACATCTCGTGCGTTATCGACGCGCGGGATGCTGTCAAGGCTCTCAATCTGATTCACCAGAGCTGTTTACAAATAACGCCGGAGGGGGCTAGGGGACGAGGTGGGTGATTACATTCTCATCAGCGTAATGGCGTGTTTGTGGTGGTTGCTGATGGTGGTCGACACGTCCAGTAGGTCCGTGGCTATTCTGAAGTGACACTGGTCCTCGAGGAGGTTGTGCTGCATGGCTATGAAATGTATTCCCATCGGGAGGCGTTCAACCCGCCGCAAAATAGATGGAAATCTGATTGTATCTGATAGATTTTCGAAATATTTGAGACTGTGTGACATGATGAAGCCGGGCGGACGTCTGCTGATTGTCTGTGCGTCGTTCTCACAATGCAGTAAGATATGTTGAGACTGCGCGTGAATACATCGTGAGTCCAATTCTCCTGGTATGCGTGTCACAACATCATGGTACAAGAGACAAAACGGTTTTGAATTTTCCTTTTGTGATGTTTTGCCGCTGGATCGAAGGACTGGACTACTCGAGCAGGATGTCACTTGATGAGTGCCTTCCTCCTTAGAAGCTTGAAGCTTAAAGACAAGTGCTGGGAAAAGAAAATCAAGAAATCTCCTGCATTTCCACAAATGCACCGCACCGCATTCTCCAACGATCTCACAATGGGGATTTTGGTTTCTCTTCCCTGACTCAACAGGGATGGTCCTGCCATCGGTGGACTGGGCACCTCGTGTTGCCTGCTGATTGGGGACCTGGACCCCAGCGCAACTTTGTGGACCTGCATACTGCATACAGTAAATTGCTCTGACTACACCAGCCGTCTGAGTCAGCGACCCCTCAAATAACCCCGACTGCAAGTTCTCCGCTCGTAGAGGAGCACCTTGGTTCGCGGACCCCATAGGTCCTCGCAGCATCACCGGCTCGAATGCCAGGCGTTCATGACTCATCGGCCACGTGCAGTCAAGTTGCCCTTCCAGCATGGAGTGGACAGATACTTCCTCGAAGCACGGACGCATGTGCCTGGTGACCTCTGTCTGCCGGCGACCAAGAAGCGCGAAACTAACCGGCCGCCGAGCTCCACGGTGATTAAGTTCGGCCCAGGACGCCCAGGCACGCAGTGCACACCCTCGCCGTATGAGGGAGCACGTATCTACGCGCTGGGAGCACAATGTTTCGCAAGATCCGGTGTCTTCGCATGCGGAACCATCCGCGATAGGGTGTGCGGCCGAGGAAGAGGGGAATGGCTAGTGGGCACGGCGAGGAGGCGAGACGATCGTTGAGGTCAGACAGTGCCGCCAGTGCGGGGATGTGCCCCAGCGGAAAGAGCGCAAGGTACCGAGTGAGAGAATCGCGAAGGTCCAACGGCTTTGATCCGGTCGCAAAGCAGCCCCGCTGGAAGTCAACTGCGGAGCGTACATGGGAATCCGTGCCTCGTCAGTTCCGGGCCATTGGGGTTCTGTTCGCATTGACTTGGTACGTGCCTTGGATCTTCACACTGTCTGCATGACACATATGTAGATTGACAAGTACGATGACCTCGGTCGATTCGTCGGTAAAATTTTCAGTAAAGCATACGAGCAACGCCCGTAGGTTCTCCGCCATGCAAGACCAAGGTGTCATGACAAGTATACCATTACCATACCAAGAAGCCATGCAACGAAGTTCAATTTTCACCGCCGAGTCGAACATTTCATTGTGGGTGAGATGAAGGAAAGCCTATCATGGATGTCTATCGCGCAGACCGAATGGGCATATTAAGTTGCGCGTCAGTAAAGAATACTAATGCAGCGCTCATTTCCGAGGCGCCAGGAACAGAGCAGTCCAATATGTTAATCCATGCAGACACCCTCGCCTCCTCGTGGTGATATCTTGGTGAGATGAGACACAGAAACTCGGCAAGGGCCCGCCCTGCATGTGAAAATGCAGCATTCGTGCTCACTCATGCTCTCTCGAACCGTCCACCGGTGGTTTCCGCACCCCAAAAAGCAATACCAACCTGAGCAGAACGCATATCAGAACGCGCTTCTTCATTGTGTCAGACCGAAAGACATACATCATACCGCAGACATGAGGCAGCGCAGCTTGAGCTTCCGCACCCTCGGTGACCCCGCTGGCCGTTTGGTGCCAATAGTTGCCGGCGTGAGTTTCCGGTATGCGTGGTGACGGGTGTGTGAATGCCAGCCATTGAACAACACCGCATCTTTAGGATAAAGCACAGCAGGAGATATAACCTAGTACAACAACGCGCCCACCCGCAGGACAGACGAAAGCCGAGGACAAGCCGTTGTCCTGCACTGTCACGAAGGGAAAGCGCGGCCTCCACGCTTATAGTTTAGCGCCACAATGGTCAGGAGGAACCAGAAAGATACTGGCTGCTGCGTATCGGTGCCTAGCGAGGAGTGATAATCGCGGAAAATTGAATCCGAGTTCAGGACCACGGAGAGCGCGTCGAAAAGGCAATCGGGCCAGGCACAGCGGCATGTGGGCGAGAATAGGCAGATTCAGGGGGCCAGAATGTAGAGAAGCATTGCCTCAAGGACCAAGGCACGCAGATCCGCGCGGAGAACGGAGCAGACACGGTCCCCATTTGTTCTTGAAGTTTAATATTGCCATTAAAAAGAACTTTATGCACTAAATCAGGTTTAAACGTTTTCCACTGGGTGAAAAAGGCCCAAGTCCTGTCGTGGTGAAGCTGTTTCTTCCATATGAGGGACAGGATATTCCTTTATGGCAATTTGATGAGGGGATAACTTTTGCCTTTTTGTTTTTGGTTTTTCCAGGGCAAAACATAGTTTTTCTCAGGGTTTCTCGATTGTTCTCCGGTGGAAAAATGTTGCCATGCCGCGCGTGAGCACAGAGATGTTGAGGCGGCGTAAGAGGATCGCGTGATGGGGCTGTGTTTGCAAGGATAGGTGGGAGATAATAGCTGTGGGAGAAGAGGAGCGTAGCTGCCAGTGTTATCGCGCCATGTGGAGGCGTGGTGAGCAAAAGGCTCTGCTGAGAGTGATGGGATCAGAGGGTGCATTGGCCGGCGAGCGGCGAAGCGGGAGCAAGTGATGGTGTGTCGCAGGAGCCGATCTAGACGCCCGCAGGCATATGCAGATCTATGCAGATGGACATGACTTTGATCACCCAACTTTCGCTCTCCGCCTATTCTCAGTCACTCACCTCCCTCTTTATATCGCCTGTCTCCGCCCATCATTATCCCTTTTCTCCCAGCTTGACCTGACATCCGACGACCACCATGCCCGGTCGAGAACCGCCCGACCATGATCCCCTGGACGCCGTACTCCGTCCCCCGATCGACGAGACGCCGGAAGAGAAGGCATTTCGTCTCGCACAGGAGGAGGACGCTCGGCGCGTGAGTCAGGCCATCGACGAGAGTATCCGACTCGAGAAACAGCAGCGGAAGAAGATGAAGGTCGTCCGCCTGCTGCTGCTCGGCCAGAGCGAGTCTGGTACGTATTTCCTCTTTCCCGCCATTTGTACGCAGATCTCAGTAAGAACTGGACGCTTTCCCGATGCGTGCAGGCAAGTCAACTACGCTGAGACGTGAGTATTCTGTTTTTTTTTTCTTTTGGTTGCTGGTACTGCTCCGGGAGGACTGTGAGGGCTGTGGACAAGGTGTCTCGGAGATCAGTCTCACCACAAAGGTCTGATGTAAGCCCACTCTTCAGACGGCGCTCTTCGGCATGTCACGATGCCGTCCCGCCGCCACTGGCCGTAAGGGACGGGAATGTCCAAGTATGGCAGCTGTCACTGGGCGGACATGTTCGAAGTTAATTCGGCGCGCTGCACTGACGCGCTGAACGCACAGGCTGCTACCAGACCTCCCAGTGAGTCTCCCGTGAGGTGAGTCTGTAGCCGTTAAGCGAGACACATTACTCGAAGTCTTGTAGGATCCACCAGATATGAGCCAAAACGTTGTCACGGTTGCACGCGGGAATATGCTGTTATCGTCGCAGATTATAGCAAATCAGAGCATCCTGCATGTTCTGCATGTTACCCGGGTTATACACCGATTTCTGGGTTGCAGATACGCAGTGCGCGTCCAGTGCTCGTCGTTGATGAGAGTCATGGGGTGCACAGCCCTCTACGTTCCCCGAGCAGTATTGCTACGTGTCAGGAGCCAGAGTCAGTCCTCAATGTGCTGATGTGATCACCCAGAATTCCAGCGACTATACACGCCATCGGCGTTTCGAGAAGAGCGCATCCTCTGGCACTCAATCATCCAGTTAAACCTCATCCGTTCCATCCAAATCATCATGGACACGCTCGCCGACGTCAGGCCACATGAACTGCCCTCCTCCCCTCCATCCCCAACGTTACATCCCATCAACTCCTTCTCCCCCTCGTCGAACTTCTACACCGGTCCTTCCTCTCCTTCGCGCAATCAACCTTTCACTCACTCACCCCACTCGCGCAGCGCATCGCACACGCTATACAGTGACTCGGACGCTGAAACTGACTCTAATTCTGCCGACGCGCCCGTGCTACCCACACACCTGTCTGCGATCCTTGCGCGGCTCGCACATCTGAAGCATGTCGAGGCGCTGCTCATTGCGCGACTCGTGCCTCCGTCCGAGGAGGCGCCGTACCTCCCGCAGCATGGAATAGGGCAAGGCCATGTGCGCATTAACTCGACGCGTGAGGTGTTCGTGCGCCCGGGGAAGCATGCGCTGAGGCAGGGAGGGTGGGAGTCTAATGTAAGCGCAGGCGGTGTGGGCCCGCCCATGGTGGGGCAGGCGTCACAAGAGACGGCGAGCGAGGTACAGGCAGCGCTATTCCAGTGTCATGAGGACCTGATTGCGCTGTGGCATGACCCAACGGTCAGAACGATTTTAAGATTGAGGAAGATTAGACTAGAAGAGGGCCCGGGATTGTGAGCCACACCTATTCAGACGATATAATGTTTGCTAACCAAATTATGCCAGCTTCCTCGATGAGCTCGATCGTATCACATCCATGAAGTACACTCCTTCGGATGGTATGTCTGCCGAGCCGGTGAAATCATTGCGTCGCTCATCGCTCGTTTGAATCTAGACGATGTCCTGAAAGCTCGTCTAAAAACCGTTGGCGTCTCGGAGTACCGCTTCGAGATGGAGGCCGGAACCGAGCAAGGCACACAATGGCGTATTATCGACGTCGGCGGATCGAGGAGCCAAGTGCGTTCCCCTCTTCTCGCCGCGAGTCATAGCTGACCACTGCATTGCTCAGCGTCGTGAGTATACTGGGTCTCGTGCTTGTGCATGTGGGCGTGCGCTGACTCACCCGGGCTGACGCCCGCGCAGAGACGTGGGTGCCTTTCTTTGATGACGGTGCGTGTTTTGATTTCGCGTGTAGGGAGAAGTGCTGACAGTCGTTGGGTGACGTTCGTGTGCTTCTTGTCATTACAAAGTGAATGGTATGTTGACTTCGTGCGGGTTCTGCGCTTCGCGTCCCTGAACGTCCGTATTTTGATGTAGCGATCATTTTCCTCGCACCTATTTCCGGCTTCGATCAAACGCTCGCGGAAGATAAGAGCGTCAATCGACTGGTATGGATTAATTCTCTTCATCCTATACACAGCGTATTTAAGTTTGCCCTTTACAGGAAGACAGCGTCCTCCTCTGGAAGGCGGTCTGCGCAAACAAACTGCTCGCGCGGGTTGACCTCGTGCTATTTCTGAATAAATGCGATATCCTTGCCGCGAAGCTCGCCTCGGGTATCCGGCTGGCGAAATATGTCCGCAGCTTCGGCGAGCGACCGAACGATTCGGAAACAGCAGAGAAATGTGAGTTTCGTCTGCCTTCGTCGTTGTTGTGGAAGCATCTTCTGCGTTCCTGTGGAATTGGTTTCTGCTCTTTGCGAGGCTTCACTTCAGACTGGCCATCGTTGTCCTTGCGGATCTAGTCATTGAGTTGGGCGACGTTACTCACGGTCTCGTCGTCGTGACCCGCAGACTTCCGGAGTAAGTTCAACGCGATACATAGAGAGTATTCGCCTATTCCGCGAAAATTCTATGGATTCTGCACATCAGTTACGGTAGGTGCCTGCCGCGTTCTTCGAAGCACATGCTAGTGCTTAAAGAATATGTTGCGATAGGACACAACTACAACGGGCGGTATCATTGCAAGCGGTACGTCTGAAGCTTCCGATATAAATTGAAATCTGATGCACCGATCTCAGTGCGAGACATGGTCGTGCGCGAACATCTACGCGCGTCAAAGCTGCTATGAAAGTTCTATCCATAGGATCGTGAAGCTTCTTCCACATGTTGGGCTTCCTACCCTCTGGCTTGTACCTTGAACGGACGTTTCGACCTGCGAAGACTACGAAGGCAGGACGACTCCTTATATCTTGCTGAGAGAAGCCCAGTTAGGGCAGATTGTCAGAATCACACCATGTTTCCAACCATCTCGCAGGCAAATGAAGGCAGTACACGCTTGCATGACAAGAGCGAGTGGACGATTCAAGAAGCGGAACGAATCCTTATCAGCCGCACTATTATCCGGCTTCGCGCTTTTCTACATCATGACCCTCCTGACGTGCATTCCGATGCCCTCACGACCAGCCACATCCATCTATGAGACACCTGTATGCTCCGACATCTATATCCGCCTGCACTATGCCCCACATCACATCCATACCCTCCTGGCCTTCCACCTCGCTCTCATGAACTCTAGCGTCAATTTAGACACCAACATCTACGTGCTGCATTTGTCCTGGACTCGATTTGCTGATGTCCATGTTGTATATAGCGTTATATTCATTCATATCGAGTCTTGCACAGTTGCTCTGTTGCTGAGATGTCCTCGATGCGACTCGATAGCGGATTATCCGGCACCGATCAATATATGATGGAAGCGTTGTAGGCCTCTCGAGCCTCATCAATAGGCGAACGTGCGTTGATAACGAAAACTGTCCATTTCGAATACTGCCCTGATTTCGTCCTCGCCGACGATACTGACAATCCACGTTCGCGCGTCCCCCGCCGCGCTCACATTTCGAGCATCATGTAAAGAGTCGGCGACATTTATTTGGCGGCGGACGCGTCTGCACATGCCAGCTAACGCTGAATAGGCGCTGACAGGCACATTGGCAAGAACAACGCACGTGTGTGCTTCCCTTGATGGCCCTCATCAGCACGCGAGCCCAACTTCCTGCGTTGAGGCCGGTGCCTGAGGCCGTCCCGCGAGGTGGATAGGGGTGGACTCAGCGGCAGCAGAACGCTCAAATAGCGGGAGGATTGCCCGTAAGTGCCTTTCCAGCACTTCCTGGACCACCATGTCTTCGTTGCTCGAAAAAGTCGCAAGTTCAGATTCGGAAGTGCAGGTCAAGGCTGTGGACAAGGATAAGGATCCTCATGCGGAACCTCGGGCGGTCAGCAGGAAGGCCGCGCTCAGCGCGTATATGACAATCGCGGCAGCAGCCTTCGGTTTGATCTCAGATGGCTGTGAGTATGAGACGATTCACTAGGATCTACGCTTATTTATGGTTCTTCAGACCAAAACAACTTGATGACTATGACTAATGTTGGTTCAACGGAGGTATATCACTGCATCACGTTACTGATATCTTCATAGGTCATTTTCAAGAAGATTCATGCAAAAGAATACACCTCGACCGTGTCCACGCGTGTTTCGAATGCATTGCTCGTTGGTACGGAGATTCTGGACTATATGCGTTGATCTCTGCTGACTACGCCTCTCATCAGGCGAGGTGATTGGACAAATCGTCGTAGGACTGATCTGCGACAGGATAGGCCGGAAAGCCGCCCTTGTCGTGACGACTCTCCTCATTGTCATCGGTGCCATCCTGGCTACTGCAGCGCATGGTGCCCATGGTAGTGTCACAGGTTTGTTTTGGTTCTTGACCATCGCCCGAGGGATCACCGGAGTGGTAAGCCCACGATTGATATAATGTATACATATATCTAAGTCTAATTTTTTGTGTAGGGCGTCGGCGGCGAATATCCTGCATCATCAACGAGCGCAAGCGAGGCTGCGAACGAGAAGATGGTCGCTAATCGAGGACCAGGTCAGTCCCATTGAGTTAATCTGTGGACACTCGGCGTTGACCTTCCGACATACAGTGTTCATCATGGTCACGAACTTCGTTCTCTGTGTGATTATCATTTCCCATTTCATCTTATCTCGCAGTCTGACCCGTATGGGCTGACATGAATATTAGTTTGGTGGTCCTTTATCAGTGTCGATCTTCCTGATTGTATTATCTGCCGCCGGCGAAAACCACCTCAACACTGTCTGGCGTGTCTGCTTCGGGATCGGCATCATCCTCCCTCTGTCCGTCTTCTACTTCCGGATGCGCATGTTCAGTCCGAAGCTGTGCGTGTTCTCTGTCCGAGCGTGCCGTCGCTCACGTGGACTTTACCCACTAGATACCATGACTCTGCGATCAAACGTAGGCATCCATCTCTCGTGGCGAGAGCGAGTGTTTTAACCACGCATACAATCAGGCAAAGTGCCCTATTGGTTGGCCATCAAGCGGTACTGGCGATCACTCATCGGTACTTGTGGCGCATGGTGGGCATGAGTCGATATATGCGCGTGATTCTTGCATTGATGATATCTTCAGGTTTTTGTATGACTTCGTGAGCGACATGTGAATAATCTGGAGGGTATTCTCGAACAACGATGTCTTAGGTTACATTCCCGAATGGAGTTTTCTCCGGCACTATCATCTCTAGTGTGATCAAGGATGGTAGCGTCAAGTCAACGGCAGAGTGGCAGCTTCTGCTCGGTGCTATCGCGCTTCCAGGTAAGTTCCGTTTGGTCAAAGTCACAGATTGTTACTGACAGAGGCGACGCAGGGGTCTTTGTCGGTGCCGCACTTTGCAACCCGCTTGGCCGGCGTAACACGGTAATACCTACGCATTCATGTTAGAAGCTATCCTTATCACGAGTATTTTTTTTGTCAGATGATGGTCGGTTTCAGCGGATACCTCGTCTTTGGTATGCATTCGCCGTCTTCAAATGGAACACTTCCTGAAATGCGAATTTGCAGGTCTTATCATTGGCTGTGCATACGATAAAATCACCAAGATCGTGCCGCTCTTCGTCATCTTGTGAGCATCGGCCAATGTTTCATCCGCGTTCATAGTGTAAATTATGGTTTAGCTATGGTCTGATGCAATCTACGGGTAATCTTGTAAGTGACACATCCGAACGCAGTCTTCAAAGATGCTGATCAACATGCAGGGACCAGGAAACATGCTAGGCCTCGTCAGTGCAGAGTAGGAACAACATATCTTCCTTTGCATATGTACGCTAATGCTTAGCTCTGTAGGTCATATCCAACCGCCATTAGGTGATTACGGAGAGAAAATTCTACAACATGGATAAATCATTGACATCAGCATTCAGGGGAACCTGCTACGGTCTTTCAGCCGCTATCGGCAAAACAGGAGCCGCAATCGGCACCCAGGCGTTCACGCCAATCGAAAACAACCTCGGCAAACAGTGAGAGCCTCGCATCACACTTTCCTGATAATGTCTCATTATCTACAGATGGACGTTCATCATCGCAGCGATCTGTGGCGTCGTGGGCGTGCTCGTGACGTACTTTTTCGTGCCCGACAAGACGGGCATCGACCTCGCAGATGAGGACGTGAAGTGGCTCGAGTACCTCCAGGCGAACGGTTGGGAGGGCGATGTGGGCGACGATGACGCCGCCGATGAGGCTGCGCTCGTGGGCGACGTCTATGACGACCATAAAAGCGCGAACGATGAAAAGGCGTAGTGTGGACCACCGACGTGCTCGCTTCGTGTTTGCGGTGGTTATGACATTGACGACATTTGGCGTTGACGGCCTCTACAACGCCTGTGCATGGTGATCTTATATATCGTTGCTGAGGTCCCGATGTTCAATACCACAGTTTTCAGTACTAGCCGTAACACTACAGCAATTCGAAGATGTGCTCAATATACAATAGATCCAAAGTAACAACCCGCGTATAGTGTACATACGGATATGCTCGACAATCGCGCGGCAGAATCGAAAGGGAGCACGATCATTGAACATTGAGCGCTTGAAATGGCCTATGGTACCCGTACCGCACACAGTGCCATCAACAGATACGCACACTTCTGTCGACAGTACCGTAATGCGACTCGAATGCTACTTCACGCATTCAGCCTATCGGCGTATGAGGTAGTTTTGGGCAGTCTGATAGCAGGAAGGGGCATTACAAAAAGGGTATTCAGCTGCATAGGCTACAGTCATGCTGGACGTACGCTGTCCAGCAACCACAGAACCGTCCGTAGAATAATTACGCGACCATGCAGACACGCTCCTACACGTACATCTAATTTAGAAAGCAAGCTCGATCAGAAATCGTATCCCTCGACTTTGAACGTTTTCCCGTAGTTGAGGTATCCCTCCATGATTTTCGCGATCGAATCGGGGAGACCCATGCTCAGAAGCGTGTAGGAGATTTTCGCGTGGCCGTGGATCTGGCCGACCTTGAACAGACAGCGGGCTATCTGGGTCGGATACTGGGAGTAGCGGATAGTCAGCACACATTACAAAGTTCACTTGATAAGCATACCGTCATTTCCGCGTACTCTCCCCATTGGTACGCTGCGACGCGGATGGCGACCTGCAGCGTTCGCTGGATATCGCCCTCATCCGCATACATGTCCAACAGCTTGGACCACGGCTTGTAGGAATACCGAGGTGAGTCGAGGCAGCGCGTGTACGCTTCCTTGGCCTCCTCCTTGTGGTGCAGTCGTGACCCCAGATCGCCAAGGATCTCCCATTCGAGCGCAGTCTTGCGGTATGCGACGTGTTGTGTTTTAAAATGCGCTACTTCTGCGCGGAAGATGGTCCATACACGGAGATCCTAGGTAGAACAGTTAAAAGTAGTCGCGACATGGTACGAAGAACGACCCACTTCGTACAAGACCATGAACAGGTTGTCGAGCCACCGCTCGCAAAGTCGCTTGTTGCTGAACGAAAATGGCTCTTGATTACTCATGGACGATGGCGGCTCTCCCTCTTGCGAGCCATCCCCTGCACCAGCAGCCGCCTGCTCTGGCTTTTCCAATGAATGGCTCATAGACACTCCATTCTGCTTGGCCTCCCCATTGGTATTCGCATCAGGCTCGTTCTTATTGCTGGCCGCTGCCTCTGCCTCAGCTTCCGCCTTAGCCTTGGCCTCCACTTCTGCCTCAGCTTCCGCCTTGGCCTTAGCCTCCGCTTCTTCCCTCTCCTTCTCTTTCACCATCGCGATTATAGCCTCCTTATCGCGCTCCACGTCGCTCGCAGTCGATATCCTGATCGTCGGCAACCCATCGTTCACGCCCAGCGTATCCGCATCCGTACGCGTATCCGCCGCGGATGGGTTCGCCGAGTGCACGGGCGAGACGACAGCCCGCGTTGACGCGTCGTCATCCGCCTGCTGCACGAGCGTCGCGCTGTCCTGGAGAGATGAGCCGCGCGCCGGTACTTGCCCATTTGCACTGCTGGGACTTGTTGAGTGTCCGCGCATGTCACCCTGCTGCTTCTGCATGCGATACTCCTCTTCCATGACGAAGACGGAGCTCCGGGTCTTGAGCAGCTCATCCCAGCCAATTTGCGAGACCAAGCGCGTCAAGAGCGCATACGCGCGTGCCCATGTGCCCCGCAGGCCCGGCGCGGGCAATCGCAGTAGTGCAGGATCTGCCTGTAAGAAAACTGAGTGAGATATTCGAGACGCTGGAACGATGGACCTACATCGTCATCTTCGGTTTTTGCGCGTTCAGGTAGGATCTCAACGATCTGCCCCTTGGGCGGTAGATGTACTTTTGACGCTTGCAAGTTGCGGTGAGCATCTCGGCCATTGTAGGTGAACATGGGACATGAATTGAGCGTGAGGAGAGCCTGCATGAAAATAAGCAAAAAGGCTCCACGTGCTATAGACTACTAACGCACCGACTCATACTGCTTGAGGTCGATGTACAACTCCGTCAGCTTCTCCCATGTGACGAACTCGCTGGGTGCACAATTAACTGCTTGCTTGGCAAGTTTCAACGCCCATTCATGATTGCCCTTTGAGCGGAGAAGATCACATTGCGCGTGTAACAATGTGTACGATTGCGGCGTTTGCTTGATTGCAGCTGCCATGATCTGCACTGCCTTGACCTCCTCATCTGAGTAGGACATTAACGATTAGTTCAAGTTGGGTTGTTCAAGGACTCACTCATGCCAATATAGCTCCGTGCAAGCAGCGACGATATCTCCGGCTCCTTCGCACTGAGTTTCTCGAACAGATTCGCAGCATATTGATATCGCCCACTATCGCCAAAGTACTTCATGATCGCCGATGTCAGGTGGTTCGACACGACCGTGGCAACCTGAATTTCGGGCTCCGACCCCACCTGCCAGCCTTCGCCTGCGTCAGCGTCCCATGTCGTGGCCACAGGATGACAACGCACCCTTCATAAAGAGCGCCTCGGCCGATTGGAGGAAGCGCAGCTCGCCCTCAGGTGTTGTGATCGGGTCGAGCTTGCGGTAAGCGTCCAGCCAATACGCGGAATCGTCGGAATAGAGGACCGCACGGAGAATAGCAGAGAGATAAGTCTCCTGCCACATATCTTGTCCAGCATCCGCGGTGAGCTCGTGTCTGTGCGAGCAATGCTGAGTCGACGCCACGGCAAGGGCTGATGTCATTACCTCTCGCCACGCAGGTCAATGATGTACGCGTTCACACCGCCGGGTATCTTGACATCTACTCGTACGTCGACACGAGAGAATGCATTGAAACAGCTGCGGTTGTGATGAGCAGCAGTCTCATTTGGGCAACTCGGCAGCCGCGTACCAGTAACAACCATGCCGCACCTTCCATGCTGAACCCTTTGAGAACCAGCCCGAATCATCTTCAATCGCGTAGGTCAGAGAGTTGATGTAGGCAGCGAGAGACGCGGATGATGAAGCGTCCACTCCCGATACATAGTGATAGGAACCGAGCTATCGCGATGTCATTGAGTTGCGACGCGTCGAGGGTTCAGGAACACTCACGTCGTGCTGCCCGCTGCGTCCTGTGCTCTTGATTACATGGCAAAGGTCCGGAGGTCCCAGCTCTCTCCAGGTTGCTTCCCCGAAGAGTCAGAACACATGGGGACTAGGGGAGATGCAAGAACTCACATAGCGCTTCTGTTCGAGCGGCCACCGACTCCCCCAGCTCGACCTAAATTCTGTGAGCGTAAGCATCTTAAAAGTAGAGAAACAAGACAGACCTCAAAAATCTCCGGCACGTCTTTGAAGGACGCGTCCGCCATCCTCGAGGAGATGCGATTTGCTAAGATCACAGCTGAGTTTCGGCTATGCGTGCATTCACTGCAGCCACGATACACGTCGCAGTCCCCTCCTTCCTTTTGCGGGACGATTTCCCACGCTCCATATTATAACTTTCTAGTCTGACTTTTTTTTCGCACATCATGTTGCCTTGTACTGATGTCTAACCAGATGCCATAATTTGTCATGGTGGTCCGGAAATCCTTTTGCAGTGCTTGTGCACCGGAGTCATTGACCATCATAGCCACTGTGGTTATAAAGGTAGCAGTTAGAGACAAGAGGTCTGAAGAGGTGGCGGAAAGGCTATTTGAAGTATTATCAACGAGCGCCAGAGAATGTTGTGCCTGTTGCACGCGATAGCGTAAGATTCATTCTCTTAATGGCGGTGAAAAATAACCAGCAGAGTATCGGAAGATTTTGAACATCACCTGCCGGCAAGAGACCAAAGGACGTTGCTGAAGAGCCAGGAGCCATGGAGATCACATGGGTGTAGTGTCACGCAGTGTCACACGTATCACATCTGGCGATTCACGTCACACCGTTTTTTTTTACTCCCTTCTCTTTCTCTAGTCGAGCGTGTAGACCGCGCAGAGATCCAGCTGGTGAGAATTCAGAACTATGTTCTCGAATTCACCGTGTACAACTACATGCAGGAAAAAATCGCAGTACGATCCATTCTACCGCTCCGCCAGACTGTCGTCACATCTAGGCGGACATGCGGCCGCCTGGGATCTTTGAAGCCGCCACCACGACGTGCGGACCAACCCAAGACAACCCCACTTGTCCCTAAAGGACCTCCGCTCTATGTTACGAGAGCATCGAAGAAGGCACTCTACAGGCATGAGACTGTGGACGCAAATAAGACAAAAGACGTCGAACATGTGCCTGGCGCGATCAGCACACTGCTGGAGCCGGTGGAAGAGTACCTTCGTCTCGAGCGACCAGGTATGGCTCTCAGACGATTTCATGCCGACCTTGATAGGTCTTCTGTCGAAAGTTCCACTCGATTCTCCGCGTATGAAAGCGCAATCGGGCTGTTTTTGCGGTACAGGCAACCGCTTGAGGCTGCGATGATACTCGGACGCATGTCGTTAGCTGGATACATTCCCTCGGTATCCGCGCGTACACAGATGGCGGTTATGCATTTTTTGATGCGGTCCTCCGATGCGAATCTGTTAATGCAAGAACTGCATCAGTACTTCTCGAACAAGTCCTTCAAACAATATTGTCTCCGAGATCTACTGCATCTTATGGACCATATCGCGGAGTGTCATCCCGAGACGATGGAAAAAATTGTGAAGCTCTTCCTGGAGATCAAAGGCCCCCACGAAGTGCTCTCAGAAAAATCGCGGAATCTTCTCGTACTCATGTACACAAAGGCAGGATCCGCGGAGTCCGCCTTGCGGTGGATTTCCGAACCGAAGCCCTCACCATCAGAATCTACACCAACCCCGGTCACTCGGCAAACCTCAGACAAGCAGGCACACCCTCCGCACCTGTACACAACGCTTTTCAGGAACCTGGCCTCGAATCAAGACGAAGATGGTACCACCTATCGCCGGATCTTCCAAGAAGCCCAGGAGCAGGGCATCGTCCCAGACCTTCCCTTTTGCAATGCCCTCATAGCAGTGCAGGTCGATCGCCGGCGCTACGACCAGGCCTTCCTCATCTACCGCCTTCTTTTTGACGAGCGCACGCAAACAAGCACACCTGACGCGTTCACATATGTACCACTGTTCCGCGCTGTCTGCAACCTTCACCGGCCGCACAATGCACACACCCGCGGCTATCGGCGTCCGCTTGATGTTCCATCTCCTCGCCGGCTCTTCCGCGACATGCTTGAGTGTCACTTACTGAGAAATGGCTTGCCTCAGAAGTGGCTGCCATCTCCGGTGTTGAACGGTTCTGTGCTGCGCCATGCTCTCCGGATGTTTATGAGTATGGAGGATTACGCGGCCGCTCTCGTCATCTTGCGATCGTTTGTTCTCTTCGATGAAGACATTACTCTGAAGGTGTATCGCATAATACTTTACCGCCTGATGCATCGGGTCAACTCGGAACTGGTTAGAATGCCTAAGGTGCCGGAGCCACATCGCCTGTGGACGTATCGCTTCTTAGGCTTAGCCTCTCGTCCGGACTTCGCGCCCAAGCGTGTCGATTTCCACCTCTTCGATGAGGTTCTGCGCCTCGGTACGGAGCCGCGCATCAATTTGGACTACATTCCTCCCCCCATTTGTGCAATAAGAAGCACTTTATCTGGTGGTGCAGTCGGCCCGCTCGCGCCCGCCGACGCAGCTATCCAGCTGAGCCAACAGCATGGGATGCCTCCTGGACTTCTGATCGCAGGTTTAATGGAAGACAACACGCATCCTAACACGCGCTACAGTGTTACACCTCTTCAGCGGATCTTGAGGCGGGCGGTACTGGCACAACGGATGCATTTGTTCTGGGATCCGGCGGTGCAGGTCTCGCATGACGTCGCACAAGCAAAGGCCGAGGTGCTCGGGGGAGTAATGAAGGAGCGATAGGACGGTGGGATATCGGATTGTATTCTCGCGAAGCTTCGCTGCGTCGACACGTCCTCGCAGGGAGCTACATATCACAGTTCTACTTGCCCGCAACGTGCCTTGAAGCGACGAGCTCGCGTATCACTGATGGACACCGGCACTAACAGCTGTCAACCGTCGTCGACCATTTCATGTCCGTACGTGGCAACAACCAGCCAGATCTTTCTGGACTGTTCGGAGCGGACCGAGTCGCTATAAGAAAGTCATGATTCACTACGGGGAATGTCAATCATGCTAATAGGAGTCCTTCGGAGCTATCGGCATGGAGAGTTGAGCGGTTGAAGAGGGGTTAGTAGTATTGATGTGCGTATCTGCGGGAGACGTCTGCCGTCTCTTGAATCTTCAGCGAGGTTGCTTATGGATCTATCTGAGTACGATTGGTACTTGGGTTCGTTTCCCTTCTGTTGCGATGCTACACGTATGATGATTATCTTCGATCTCGCAGGACAGATATCAATATGCATCCTGTGCACTATCATTAGTGCGCTTCGAATGAGAGAAGTACTTGGACTATATGCTCGATCGTCCATTTGGTGAGCTTTGCCTTTCAGTAGCCTCGTCGTGGCCGCGGGATGGATTTACCGTTCCACGTACCTTGTAATTTCATCACGAGCTCGTAGCATGATGCATGACCAGCAGCGCTGAGCGCTGTCACTCTGATCGCCAAACAACGCGTGCAATGCCAACGGTGGAGGAAATTGTGTGTACGCTTCAGCACGTCACAGCAGCCCCAATATGGCTGCTCCGGCATCACAGCCTCAAAGCGCTCCGATTCAATGGAAGCTTAGGCTACATAGCCACCATTAGCATCCGCTGTGTTCGATGCTTCTGGTGCAGCAGGATCGGACTTGTCTTTATAATATCGCTGCTCTCATGATCGTCTCTGCGGTTTGTGTTTAGTTGGATCCATGAGGTTATTTTGAACCTTGGCCACTCCGGCATGAACAGAAGTGGTGTGTGACTTGGCTTAGTCGTGGATGTACGACGTTGACAGCGCTACAGAGATGTTTCAGATCTCCATCCTCAAACATGATGACCCCGCATTTTCGGCGCCCATCGCAATGACTGGCATGCGCGCTGGCGCTCAACGACCTCCAAGTTCTTGGCAGAGGCTTACTATTGTCGGTGAACGCCGCCTATTGGAACCGTTTCATCGCATTTCCCGAGTTGCACATCGTGCAGTCCTCTGATAATCGCTTGGACTCCACTTGTTTCAACGTCAATATGGAGAATCATTTGCAAATCTCCACTTTGAGTAGCCATTGGGCCGCGGAATCTACTCAGATGATCCACTTCGTCCAGTCAGTGCTGCGGTCATGATCATTATAGTCCTGTGGGTTTATTTCAAAGCATCTGCCTACTACGGCGCTGTCCTCGCTCCGACAAAATGGCTGTACTAGGTTGACTCGTCGAAATGTGGTCATTATCGCTACGAGGTACGTCAGGCTGCATATACTATTCGACTTTCCCTATACAGTCGAGTGTAGCCGACACCAGGGTCGGAAGCTTGGCGGCGCCGACATACTCGGTGTCGTAGATGAAAATGAAGCTTGACGGCCACGGTATACCTGGCCGTGGGGCTGCGCGCACCGCCCTGGCTGTTTGGGTTCGTCGAATGTCATTATAGCTGATGTGGGACTGATTGATGCCCCACACTCTGAGCGTCCATCCACTGGCCTCGAGTATATAATGCTCCCCGTGCTGTTCTTTGCGTTTGCAACCCGACAAATTCTTGTCATACCTAATCTCAATCATCACCATGTCAAGCCCCACCTACCGTCCTATCATTACTGGTGCCACGAGCGATGTACCGCCAGAGCTCCTTCCTACGCGCCTCGAGTTCCATGACTTCGTCAAGGACAAACGTCAATTCTCGCTCTACATCCAAGCTCTGCGTGCGTCCCTCTATGCATTGGTGTTTTCTTGATACTTACTCGATTGCTTCGGAATATGCATGATACATACAGAGAGCATGATGAAGGAGCCTTACGCTGACGACTTCTCGCATGTCAGTATCGGTGGAATCCACGGGCTGCCCTATGCTCGATGGGGTGACTCAGGAAATGCCGATGCCCCGGGCGGGGAGACGTTCGGAGGCTACTGTACCCACGGCTCAGTCCTGTTCCCTACGTGGCACAGGCCATACGTCGCTCTCTTTGAGGTACGCAGCATTTGGCCTGGCTCTGACTAGCTGCTTGCTGATGGTCAATATGATTATAGCAATCTCTGTTTGCTCATGCGAACAAGATAGCCGGACAGTACACATCCGACAAAGTGGCGTGGCAGACAGCCGCCTCCACTCTTCGCGCTCCGTTCTGGGATTGGGCCCGGAAGCCGGAGGCAGATGCGGCTGTCCCCGTTGAGATAACTTCTCCCAAAGTTACGATCGTCACACCGAAGGGAGAGGAGACGGTTGACAATCCGGTGTATTCCTTCACTTTTCTCGCGAAATACCCGGAGGACACCTTCTATGCGCCGTACGAACAGTGGAATCATACGTTGCGGTATCCCACGACCTCCGATGCTGATGCTCAGAACGACGATGCTAAGTTTATCAGGTGCATCAGCTAGAAAACTTGTTCTCATCATTGCTGACTGATGCTGACGGTGTTCTCATAGCACCTATGCCGGTCAGGCGAGCCAGGTCCGTACGCAGACTTTCAACATGCTCACGCGTCTCCATTCTTGGGAGTACTTCAGCAACCACACTGTCACGCCACTTCCCGTGGCGAACAGCCTGGAGTCGATCCACGACAACATGCACGTCGTGATAGGCGGGCCGAACGGACACATGAGCGACGTCGGTGTAGCAGGTCCGTCTTCCTTTCAAACGCACGGATGGATGTTGAACTTCTTCCGTCAGGTTTCGACGCCTCCTTCATGCTTCACCACGCAAACGTTGACCGCCTTCTCTCGCTCTGGCAAGCACTGAACCCCTCTCAATGGGTCAACAAAGGTGACCAGCCGGGCGGGACCTACACCATTGCGGACGATGGGACTGTCGATGCCACTTCAGGTGCTGCCTACATCACATTGATTACATAAGCTCTACATGTTGACATATGGCTTGTGTTTGGCAGACTTGACGCCCTTCTGGAAGACCCACACGACATACTGGGAGTCGAACGACCTGCGCGACTGGAAGATCCTGCATTACTCCTACCCCGAGTTCGCCGGCTTGAAAGGAGACGACCCCGACGCGGTCCGCAAGGCCATCCTGCAGAGGGTGATGGATCTGTACGGCACCTCACTGGTCACCAAGCCCACCCCCACTCCCGCGGCCTCCAACCCCGCACCCACACCGGCCCCAGTCACCCTTGCCAACACGCAGGCCACCACCCCCGCGCAAACGCACGACTGGACGGTCCACTTGAAGTTCAAGAAGTACGAGCTCGGCGCGAGCTACATGATCCAGGTGTACCTCGGTGATACGTTCGTCGGCTCGGTCAGTGCGTTCGCGAATCGTAGCGCGGAGCGCTGCGCAAATTGCCTCAATAACCTCGATTTGGAGATCGAAGGCTTCGTTCACCTCAACGAGGCGCTGCTGGAGAAGTATCCCGATTTGGAATCACTCTCGCCCGAGCAGATCAAGGACGTTCTTGTTAGGGATCTTAGGCTGCGCATCGAAGGGGTGAAGGTGGGCAGACTCTGTTTCTTGGACCCATAAAACGTATCGCTGATGTGCTTTGGATGACTCCCTAGCCCGACGGATCTGTCGCAGACTTCTCGGACTTACCTTCTCTCAAGGCTGCCCCATTCTCCCAGACGATCACTGTAGACCCCACGAGTCCTCTTCCTCAGCTCGGAGACGCAGTGTATCACCACGACGTGATGGCCGGCAAGCCTGGCCATACCCCGCCTGAGCGATGGGTGCATGTGGGTAGCTCTCAGTAAACGGGCCGCCTCCATTTTGTGAACGGATGAAGAAGATCTATGTTCCGTTTTATGTGTTTGATACAGCATATTGTGGTAATACTATGAGCATGTATTTCTGAGTTTCTTGATATTCCTATGCAAGAGCAGTTGCGCTTCGATACGTTGACTTTAACGGAGGTTCAAGCCTTAGATCTGCCTGTGCGCCGCTGATCATTTTTTTTAGCCTGTATCTATCGTAGTCCCTTGGTACATACTGCAACACTGATCTGCTAAGTGATACATGAGCCTTGACTACATCTTGACTTGAGCAGGCATCTCCCCACCCAACAACCCAGCGATCAAATTGTTGACAGCCATAGTCGCCATACCTAGTCTTGTCTCGGTCGTAGCGCTGCCTATATGCGGCACAATGGCACATCTAACGAAAGAACAATTTTTTGGTCAGCGATACTTGGTATCGTCTAGCACTTAGCTTACCTGGGTTCCTTAACGAGTGGATGATCGGCCGTTACGTTCGGCTCCCCCTCCACCACATCAATCCCCGCCCCCCATATCCACCCCTCCCTGAGCGCCTTCGCCAGCGCATCCGAGTCGACCAGCGTCCCACGGCTGGTATTCACCAGCACAGCCGTCCGCTTCATCTGCTTCAAAAACGCCTCATCGACGACGTGGTACAGACTCGGGTCGCCGGGCGCGAGCACGAACACGACGTCGCTCTCGCGCGCGAGCTCGTCGAGCCCGGCGACGCGGCGCACGCTCTGCAAGCCGTATTTGGCGGCCACCGTGGCGTCGCGCGCGGGGTCCGGCGGAGAGGTCGGGTTTCCCGAGTAGAGGCAGTGCGTGAAGCCGAAGGGGATGAGCCGTGCGAGGGTGGCTTGTGCGATGCGTCCGAAGCCGAGGAAACCAGCTGTGCGGGTTGGGTATACCCAGTTTGCGCTGAGCTGGGGACCGCAGAATAGGAAGGGTGACCAGGCGTATTGGGGCCACTGTGTCGTGGTGGAGTTGGCAAGTGAGAGAGGTATGGATTGACATGGGACTTGCCTCGCCATTCTGCACGATCGTGGCTGTCTGTCGTGCGTTTCGGCCAGCCATCAGGGCAAGCATGATGGATAGATCGGCCACTTTGCAATGAGTGGTATAAGAGAAGAGATTACGGAAAGCAGAGGATACTGGATGGGTACCTGCTTCGGTTAGTATGTCCGGGGTGTACCCTAGCTTGATCCCTCGTTGGGAGAGCTGCTGCACGTCGATGTGTTCTGCGAGGGAAAGCTCACTCAGACAATGAACTGGAGGTCACTGATAAGTACTCACCGTAGCCGACGGACATAGTAGAGACCACTCGTAGACTGGGGCCAGCTGTACGCGATTAGCCGTCATTATAACGACTTTTACTGCATAGTGTGGTGCACACCGGTCTCTATCAATTCGGCATCGACCTGTACACTATTAATTGCTGTTTAGTGCAACTAATAGCATTCATGCCGCACCTTGTCCGTCAGCACGACGATCAGGCCAACCGCACCGACCACGTTCTCCGAGAGCCACTTCCTAGAGCAAGCTTCTGTCTGCGACGGGCAACTGATAACCTGAAAAAGACAACGTGATCGTCAATCGGGCGGGCACACAATCACGTCCCACCGGTACCCAAGCCCTTCGCGCTCCGCCACCGATAGGCAACTCAACTCACCTCGAAGTCCGGCCGGTCCAACAACGGCATGACCTCCGGGCCCAGGTTGCGCGACACGACGATCTTGACCGTGGGGGTCGTCATCGCCGTGGATGTCGCAGTGTTCAAGTGCGTTGCGACTGAGTTCATGCGGCGAGTCAGCGAGCGGACGGACTTCATCCCACTGCCAAGTCTGTGCGAGTCGTCGCAGTGGATCTAGGCGGACTCGATGTGATCAGGATCGGGAACGTGGATTCCGTGATCCGCGACGGAACATGTCTCGGAGGCCCGATTCCCGGACACGCTTGTAACTTGGAAGGGGCCGGTGGAAAGGTCAAAGTGCCTCAATCAAATTCAATGGACCCAGATGGATACACAAAGCATCATTGCTATCTACTTCCAGCATATACTACAGCGAGTGAGATCAAGATTAGTTGCAATCGTCCTCTTAGAGTGCCGGAGTTCGTCAACGACATCGCTTGAGGACATTCTGAGCAGTGAAACCAGTGCACTGAACGTGCCTTCTTCTTATCGTATATCTAATAAATAACATTCACCTCATTCGGATCCTTTGGCGCCATATTGGTCCCAGTATTGCTGCATGCTAGCAAGCTCATCGGTCCGACCATGCTGCTTCAGCCAAGTCATGAGATGCCTCATCTTCAGAATCGTCGGCACGCTCCCCTTGCCACCTAAAATCCCCTCAACCTCCTCGATCATACTCTTCCCCTCCCTCCCCACCTCCTGTCTATCCAGCAGCAACACAGCGCCCACGACCTCTCCGCCCTCCTTCGTCACCGTGTTAATTGCGCCACGGATGGCTGTGCCTGCGGTCGCGACGTCATCGAGGACGAGGACACGCTTGCCCTTCACCGGCGCGCCGACCATCACGCCGCCCTCGCCGTGGTCCTTGGCCTCCTTGCGATCGTATGCAAAGCCGACGTCGATGCCATGGTCTCGGTGCAGGAGCAGCGCCGTGCATGCAGCAAAGGGGATGCCCTTGTATGCAGGGCCGAAGAGGATGTCAAATTGGGGGAGGCCGTGGGTAGATTTGAGGGCGTATGCGATGGTAGCGGCGTATGCGGAACAGAGCGTGTCGAGCACGGGCCCGTCGGCGAGGAGACCGGCATTGAAGAAGTAGGGTGAGTTTCTGTAGCTCTGGTCACAAGGGTATTGCGAGTTGTGGAGAAAACTGTGCTCACCGGCCAGACTTTAGCACGAAAGAGCCGAATTTCAGTGCGCCAACTGCCATTGCATGTTCAATCAATTCTGATTGGAACTTGTCGAGAGACATTGATGACGCCGAGCTATTGGCCTTCTTCGCCTAGCAAGGTAGGGTGGTTCAGTACTCATGGCTGTAGGTTCTGCAAAATTTGTGGACTGTACCTGATGATTTCTGAATCTGCGTCGACCATGGCCGTAAAATCATGTCACGACTTGTCACACCAGATAACATATCGAGCTAACTAAGGGTATTATGTAAGTAATACTTGAGGTTAAATCTCTCTCAACTTTGCGTCGCCTTTCAAACTCCGATGTGGCTGAAGTGGCTGAAGATAGCCTGCGCGTTGCATCATGGAAGTGCTCGGCGACTTCTGACGCGATGAAAGCGATCAGAATAAGTATCATACTTTCATGTAAACCTAATGGATCCTACAACAATTTATATGCATGTGAAATTCTGAGAAAACCTGGGTGAGGGGGACGTCGACTGCCCACTGCAACGTCCGACATCTGACTCCACACTGTGATCATGACAAAAAAAAACCTGCATTGGACTACCATGCTACAAGACCGCTATTCAAGTTTGCAATACGAACAAGGGACACACAGAAGACAAAAAGGGTGAGCCCATGGCAAACTGTCGGACAAATACATTAGTGCTAAAGCTAGTTATAATACTAATGTATGCTTCGTGCTTGTGGCAATTCACGAAAAACTCTTAATGCATACTAGATGTTGCTAAACCGTCTGAAGTATTTCGGGCGATATGAGAAAACGTTTGAAGCCACCGAGCACCTCGCTACCTTCAGCCACTTCAGCTACATCGGAGTTTGAAAGGCCATGCAAAGTCGTTGGGAGATTAACGTGGAATTAATGGCCCTTCAACTATCATCTCGCCGAACAGCATCGCCATCACCGACATGCAGAAAACCTCAGGAATTGGTTCAAAGCCCAGCAGCAGGATGTTGTTGCCTCCAGAACTTGCGGTCGTATGCATGGGTCGTGACATTTCTCTGGCAGTCACGATCCTGGTCACGCGCCACCTGTGCCACCCAGTGCCGAATGCCGCTTAGCATCCTGCCCTGACGAACAAGACTCGACTGTTCTGCTGCAGAGACACCGCTCCTGTTTTTATATTCCTTCCCCTGGCAGTAATGCTTAAGCCCCGGCTTCACTCCGCTGCTAAAGATAAACATACGTCTCTATTTTCATCGTCCCATACCCTTCGGTTCCCAGCCTCTTCTGTTTATATAAAGAACTCCGGGAGCTACCCGAATTTGTGTCACTCTTGCTCTTGTTCACAATCCATCTCACCATTCGAGGTCCTATCTGTGCCGTCCGTCGTTGGAGTGTCGGCGGCGAGGTTTCTAGCATGATGCTATAGAGCCCACGTTCATGTGCGTCCATCTGGTCGATCAGTTTGAAGCTTACCTCAGAATGGGCCTTTCGATCCCCAATTTGCAGAAACGCCGAAGCAAGATTGCAGATGGGCATCGGTCCCCTTGTTGCGGCCGTGCATTGGCTCGCCCGTCATCGAGGTGCAAATCAGCCGCGCGACCCCGAGAAGGCAGCGCCACCACCAACCCCGCCGCAGAATGGCACGGCGGCCAACGAAGGCGCCGTAGACCCGCTGGAACCCGAGCGTCAAGACGACGGGGGCGAATATCCGAATACCCATCGTTCACGGCGATCCTTCAGGTGGAATACCCTCTCAGCTTCCAGCATCTCGACCACCTCGACCAGCCAGCCTCTGCTCACGAAAGTCAAGGCTTTCCTGTTCCCACGAGATACTCGTCCCGCTGAATATGAGCGGTTCGTTCCCAATTATCGCTACTCCCCTATAATCTCTGGCATCATCATCCCGTTTTCGATTCTTCTTGAAATCCCTGGCTTGACCGAACGATGGTATGTCCAAACGGAGAATGGACGGACGATCAGCACGCGCCCAAACACGCCCATTTTGAAAGCCGGAATGGGAATTTCTATTGGCTGTGCGATTCTAGCCAATATATGTCTCATCCTGAGGTTCTCGGAGAAGTGGGTCAAGCAAACCACGTTGTTGTGTATATTTTTCCTCACTGTCCACGGTACGTCCGCAACGTATCCTGCCGTTCCAAAATGTTCTTATGTAGCCCAGACGCTATCAACATCACCGCCGTGACCGTCTTCGGCGTTGTGCATCGCAAGGATGACGGTTACACCTATGGAGAGTCTTTTTGGATGACGCTCTGTTCAACAATCGCTTCTACAATCACCAATCTCAATCTCATCATAGACTACATCCGAATCCCTGACTTTGCGAATTCTGGTACGCACCTTCCGCTGGGAGCAATGTCCAGCGCACGCTCATGGTTCCACAGGGAGCGGATTGACACGCAAGCAACGGTCGCTGGTCGTTCTTGTCATAATCCTTCTAATGTACATCGCCATCGGCGCACTCATCAGCTCGGAGCTGATGTCGCTCACCTACATCGACGGTCTCTTCTTCGTCACCGTCTCCATCGAGACCATCGGGTTCGGCGACATCGTTCCTTACTCTACCGGCGCGCGTGTGTTTACGTGCTTCTACATCGCGTTCGGCATAATCATCCTCGGCATTGTGATCTCCCTGACGCGCGACACCCTCCTCGAGGGCTTCGAGGTCGGCTACCGGAAGCGGCTGCGAGGCCTGCGTGCGCGGAGGCGCGAGGCACGGCGCTTCCGCCGATGGCAGGCACGCTGGCGTGACGCCGTCGAGTGGCGGCTGCGCGCGCAGGGCTCGCCGGTGTGGATCCCGGACTCGGAGTGGCAGCATCAGGTACACAACATCAGGTTCGTTGGCCTCGGGGGCGCTACGGCGTCGGGAGCGGAAGCGGGCAAGGACAGTTGGTTCAGGCGATTTCTGCGGGTGACTAGGCTGCGCAAGGATGATTCAGGGGACCCGTCGGAGCGCAAGGTCTCACGTGTCCCAGGACATCCGTTCGGGAAACACCTGAACATCGATGCGCTCTCGTGTGAACAGCTGCAAGAAGCGTCATTGGAGGCGGGCGTCCCTCTCGGTATGATTGTCGAGTTCATCCCACCGCGCCCCATCGCGCGGGATAGGAGTCTTTCAAGTGGCGGAGGACTGCTCACTGGGGATGGGTGGCCTGCGGAAGCGTCAACACCGACGGACGCACAGCTCGGGCGGATGGCATCGGTGCTCACGAAGACGGCACTGGCTGTCAGCGGACGACATGCTCACGCACCAGGGCCCTCTGCCCAGGCTCAACGTGCGGTGGTCAGTGGCACTGTTGGAGATCAGGATGCTCAGCATGGGATACCGCGCGAACACCAGGAACATAATCCAGATCCGGTGAGGCGGTCCTCGAGCGAGAAGCAAGCGCAGGGAAAAAATGCGATACCTAAGTGGGCCCGTAGGGTCGCGGACGACGGGCCGCTGTCATATGCGAAGATCAAGAAGGAGATGGAAGAGGAGCAGAAGAATGCTAACATGGTCAAGGTGGGTGTCATCTCCTGACGTTGAGACGCTGGTCCATAACAATTGCAATGCGCAGCTTGCAGGAGCGTGGACCGTCTTCCTGCTGTTCTGGTTTGTGAGTTGTATCCGATGGCAATGCTCGTGCTTGTACTGAGAGACACTAGGTCGGCGCCGCGATTTTCAGTGCAACGGAAAATTGGACTTATGGTGTAGGATTGTACTTTTGTAAGTGCATGCTGACGCCTTGATCCTGATATCCCGGCTCAACGTTCCTTGATCTCGACCAGGCTTTATTTCTTTCTGCACAACGGGTTATGGTGACTACGCCCCGGCGTCGCCCGCAGGGCGTTCAATTTTTGTCGTCTGGGCGTTGTTCGGTGTCGGGGCACTGACGATCCTTGCGGCTGGTAAGAAGCCACAACTGGGTTAATTACGTTTTTGTCTGAAGCGTCATTTTACAGTCATCGAGGATGCTGGTTCGTCACGATACCGGAACATCATGCATTCCCGAGTATTTGACAAAGCAGTCGAGAAATACCGGAAGCATGCGCTACGGGCCGCATCCGAGGCCTCTCACGCAGAATACCAGCGGCAGCGTACCGATGCGAACACTCAAACGAACGGAGAAGCCGTCAGGGGTGGAGAAGCTGACGCCAATCCGGATGAAATTACTGCCCATGACGCCGCATCGAAGGTGCAAGAGGCGCACGCTGCAGCGCAGCGAGAGCTGGAGGCACTTCCGCAAGAGATTCTTAAACAAGCTCGGACATTCCACGATTATATTCAGTATTTCGCCCAGGGTCGCGATCGTGATGATGAGGACCTTCCTGGCGAAGGCGGGCAGGTTAATGTACCGAAAGAGCTGAAGAAGCTTCTTAATGAGATCTTGGAAGCGGAGGTCGTAGGAGATAGGATGAAGAGAGAGATCTTGCAGGACGATGATGTTAAACAGGTACGTCTGACCTGCCTGTTCACGAAAAGCTAATATTGACCCACCGCTGATTCTATAGACGCTATTCATGTTGAGCATTGAGCGTAAGTGAAAAACGTTTGTGCAGTCCTGTTATCGCTTACGCTCGAGACGGCTGGCAGGTGCTCTGAAGAGGATGATTCAGTCAGCTGATCGGGCACTGATGGCGATCAAAGAGCGCGATGCTCTGATCGCCACGCACGAGGAACAGAAGTCCACGACCGCCGCAGGCAGCTCCGCAAACGAAAGCATACACGACGTTATCAAGACCACTCAGACCGGGCTTCAGGATGAGGAGGAAGCGACGGCGGAGCTCCCGATCCCCGACTCATCGCCTTCATCTTCGATTCCGTCTTCAGAGTCATCTCGTGAAGAGCTTTCTACGGATGACCTTTCCAGCTCCGAATCGTCGACGTCAGAAGAACGGACAGGGTCGACGGCTGTTCAGGATCATGCGACTGATCTTGAAAGGGTATGATGTAGAGGCACGTAGATGAGCTCTGCTTCCATTTGCATTGGACTTATCTTGGATACCCCTCATCGTGTAATTTATATTGCAATTGTTCATAGGAATGGAGACTAACCGACCATATCCGAACAAAGCAGACATTGTCGCCGCGTTTTCGTGGTGGCGTAAGGTGCGACGTTGCTCGCGCCTCTGCGAGTCATTGTTCCTCGTGTGCTGTACGCAACTTCGCTCTCGTTGACGTTGAGATCATCAGCGAATAGTTTCTCGAAGATAAAAAATGGTTCAGTCCGGGTTCGAACCGGGGACCTCCTGTGAACCCACACTGTGTGAGACAGACGTGATAACCAACTACACCACTGAACCTCACAGTTTTCACGAGTCGAATAAATATGTCCTAATATCATTGTTCACGTCTACATTTACCGGTTACACTCTGTCGGTCAATGTATGCATGTCATGGATTCGTTCGTCGTCGGGTAACTCACTCATCAATGCGCTGAATACAAAAATCTCATACAAGACCATATAGAATGGTCTGTGATTTCTTCCACCCGGACGTGGGAGGCGTTGAGAATCACATTTACATGCTCAGTGCCAATCTGATCCGAAGAGGACACAAGGTGACCACTTTGGATAATGTCTTTTCTACGTTCAATCAACAATGCCTAGGTAGTGGTCATAACCCATAGCCATCCGCCGGACCGTGTTGGTATCCGCTGGCTATTGCCTGCGATCAAGGTCTACTATTTGCCGTTCCCGACCATAGCATCTTCGGCCACCTTGCCCAACTACTTCACGTTCCTGCCGTATCTGCGCACCATTGTGTTAAGAGAGGGTATTCAATTGATCCATGCTCATGCCAGCCTCTCGTCCCTCGGACAGGAAGGCATACTGCATGCTCATCTTATGGGCGTTCGCACCGTCTTTACGGACCACAGCCTATTCGGCTTCGACGATGCCGCTAGCATCCTCACTAACAAGCTCTTGGAAGGTGCACTGCGGAATGTCGACGCAGTTATCTGTGTATCTCACACGGGGTGATTCCTTTCTTGTGGACCGTTTGTGAGGATGCTGACTTGGTACGATTTCAAGACGCGAAAATACCGTCCTTAGAGCCAGGCTCGTTCCACACACAGCCTATGTGATTCCAAACGCCATAGTGGCCGATCAATTTAAGCCTGCTGGAAGCATGCATCCGATTGACACAGGTAATTTCTCTCTCTCTATCAGTGCACCGAACCTAACACTTGTTTCAGTCACGATCGTGGTCATTTCTCGACTCGCCTATCGGAAGGGTATAGACCTCCTGGTTGCCACGGCGCCACGAATATGTGCTTATTTCCCAAATGTCAACTTCGTCGTAGGTGCGGCCAGTACTCTGAGTCTGAGTGTTTGCTTGCTAATAGCACAAAAGGAGGAGATGGACCAAAGTTGATTGACATTCTTCAGATGAGGGAAAAGCACATGTTGCAGGATAGGATCGAGATGCTCGGCCCCGTGCGACATAGTGACGTGCGAAACGTGAGCGACTCTACTCAAGTCTTACGCGATGCGAAGGCATATGGCTGATTGTTTTGTTCGTCATAGGTTCTCGTGCGAGGTTCCATATTCATGAATACATCGCTTACAGAATCGTTTGGCATCGCTATTCTCGAAGCAGCATGCGCTGGTCTCTATGTCGTCTCCACCCGCGTGGGAGGCGTTCCAGAGATATTACCTGAAGATATGATCTCGTTCGCGAATCCCGAAGAAGATGGTGAGTACTTCTCATGAGGTGATATAACTACTCTCACGCGTCAATGCAATGATTGCAGATGTTGTCCGAGCGATATCCGAAGCGATCAAGATCGTCTCTGCAGGGCGTCATGATCCGTTGAAGGCGCACGAGCGGATCAGAGGGTTCTACGACTGGAAGGAAATTACAGGGCGAACCGAGACAGTGTACAAGAATGTCTTGGGGTCAGAGCCGCGAGACTTTTGGACGCGCATGTACCGGTGGGGTCGATCGCATTGTCGCTTGCGAATGTCCCTGACGTAGTTCAACATTACACAGGACATTGGAGCTTGGACCATTTTCTGGACTCATTTTCGCAACAATCATGATTGTCGACTGTCTGTTCTTCCTATTCCTTGAATGGTGGATGCCGAGGAGTCATATAGACAAAGTCTATATGCATTGGGATCAGAGCAGGTTTGCACAGGTGCGTTGCGTCGATTTTTACCAATCCATGTCCTTTTGTCATGACGTTTCTCTAGTTGGTGCAGGGCCACGAGGATCGCCTTGGCCTCCAAGACACCTCTGCGCTAAGCGCAGCTGATGGATCGTCATCATCCTCCCACAGCGCTGCAGATAGCAAGTCGGCGAGCCGTAAATGAGGCAGGCCACGACTGCGCCACTGTGCAGAATCTGTAATCATGTCTTGACATGAGCTATTTCTGGAGCCGGCGCTTTCTCTTATCTTAATCACCCGTATCTTTGTATAACTGTGGCCGCTTCACGTTATGCTCGGGCTCACGTTATGCTCGGGCTCTTCCCGGATCATTGCGTTCTTGGTCATATTACTGCAACGGCGGCAGAAACATCTCTCAAAATGCTCCGGCCGCCAAACTGCCGACATCTGCTTACCTGAATGAATCATATCCGCCCGCCAACGCATCGTGAGCGGTGGTTATATCCAAACCCATCAGTGTCTTGACCTGGCGGATCCAGCCTAGATGGCGACATCGAAGCTGCACCACCATACTGCCATCAAACAATCGCTATCTGTATTCTCCACGTGATGGTTCGATGTCTGGGATCCGGACTATAAATTTGACTACAGCTTGACCTTCTTCTTGTATCTGGAAATGATGGACCCTCTGGCGACAATAGAGTCAATCGACGATGACAAGAAGTCTAGCATCGTTCTCGAGGATCCTGGAGAGCACGTAACGCTCACGCGACCATGGACTCAGAGGCTTTTTGATAAAGTGACTTTCGTCTTCACCCGCTGGGGTATCGAGACCAATGGGTGAGTGTGGTCGCAGCAGAATCACGCGACAACCGTCATAACTTCCTTGACCAGGATCGATCCGATTCCGCCAGCCCAACGAACCGATACCAGACTGTATCAGATGTTCTTCGTGTGGTTCTCAGCCAACATGAATGTCCTCTCGTAAGTGATCAGTCAGCCTCCCTCTCGAAGCAGGCTTCTGAGAAGCGTGTATGAAGCTTCGGTACAGGATCGTCGGGGCCAGCTTTCTATGGCCTTAGCCTCCGTCAATCGTTGATAACTCTACTGGTTGTCGATCTCATGTAAGTCACAAGATGTGTGTGCATAATGCTGCCTGACTGAGGTATCCTCCGAAGATCTTGTGCTGTACCGGCTTACTTGTGAGTAGCTCATAAGTCCGTTTCGTAAGACTTCCAGTGACATATCTTTAAAGTGCAATATTTGGACCTAAGCTTGGCATGCGATCCATGGTTCAAGCTCGTTACACTTGGGGGTATGTTGACATCACATGCCGTAAGGGCGTCTGCGCTCCCTAATACAGGCTCTTAGATACTTTGGGGCCATGCTACCAAGTGCTTTGAACGTATTTTCGATGGAAGGCTTTCTCGTCCTCGACTGCATCATTGGAGGGCAGATGCTAGCCAGTGTCTCTGACGGGCATTTGAACGACACGCTTGGTATTGTCATTATTGGTCTCATATCCCTAGCCGTGAGCCATCGTATTTTCTGCGTGCCGTATGCATCACTGAGCGATATTGGCACAGGTGACCTTCTTCGGCTACAGGGTTATTCACTGGTATGCCTTCGGCGTTTTCAATTGGCATAATGTGGAATCTATTCACACGTGGCTGATCACATAGGTATGAGAGTATAGCCTGGATACCCAACGTGATCGCATTCATCATCATGCTGGGAATCGGAGGCAAGCATCTGGTCGACGCTCCCGCCTCAGGACCTGTCTCCCCAGCGATGGTGATTACCTATGGTACGACGGTGGCCTCGAGTGTCATCAGTTGGTGCACGATGACGCCTGACTATGGCGTGTACCATATCCCGAACGCTTCTAGGTGCGTTTTACAGCATTTATTCGGCCGGATCGATTTTCTAACCATCAGGATCCTCAGATTCCGGATCTTCGCATACACCTATCTCGGGTTCTTCATCGCGAGCGTGAGGGCGCTTCATGTTAATTCATAGTCTGATGTTCAACGTAGGCCAGATTGTGTCGCACATGCTTGGCGCCGCCTTCGCTGCCTCTGCGCTATCAGATCCCACTTGGGAGACAGGCTTCGCCAATGGTAACAGCGTTGGTGGTCTCGTTGAGGCAGTACTGTCACCTGCAGGCAACTTCGGCAAGTTCGTCACGGTGTTGGTCGCGCTTTCCATTCCTAGTGCCTGCGCTCCGACGATGTATACATTCGCATCGAGTTTGATGAGTATCAGCTATTACTTCGCGAAGGTGCCGAGGTATATCTTTGCAATCATCTCTGCGGCAATGTCAGTGCGTTCAATTGACACGGGCAAGTTGGGAACGTTGACTGACTTATGTGGGACCAGCCTCATTCCCGTCGCCATCGTCGGTGCCACCCGTTTCTACGCTACGTTCACTGATGTCCTTAGTATGTGGCCCCTCAGTTGTGAAACCAGTGGTCCTATTGATCTATGCACAGGCATTATCGGCTACTGGAGCATCGTGCATGGAGTCATGGTTCTAGTCGAGCACTTTCTGTTCCGCAAGGTCAACTTTGCAGCATACAATTTGGAAGACTGGAACCGTCCACGTCGACTTACGCCCGGGATTGCAGCCATGTCCACATTCCTCTGCGCATTCGGCATCATCATCCCGTGCATGAATCAGGCATGGTACGTCGGTCCTATTGCGAAGGCCGGTAGTGGGGATATTGGCATCATTGTGGGTAGCTGTGTAGTGTGCATTTTATATCCTGTGTTGAGATCTGTGGAGAGAATGTTCTCGAAGGAGACGAAGACGGTGGCGTAGAGGCGTAGCTTGTACTACCTCTTTATTGCGGTAGATTCAAGTTTGTTGGATTCCGAGTGCAGTCTCGCATTTCTTCCTTATGTTTTCACTGATAGCGATCGCTTTCTGGAATGGTTTGGAGGTTTAATAAGCCTTATCTCCAATGATAGCGTATGAAAGCTATAATCCGCTAGTGTTTCCCCGCACACACACCGACGGCCGCTGCGCAGATCGCTATCTCACCTAGAGAGCCACGGCTCACGTGGATGGATCTGAGATCGACGCCCAGGGATTGGTACACGTTGCCTTTGCTATGTTTTGTCTGCACCATTCGTGAACTTTCGAACCTCATTCAGTCATAACAACCTCTGTATAAACTAGTCTTCAACCGAACATCTTCTCCGACATCGTCCTTGCTTGGTTGATATATACTTGCTCAAGTCATTCCGTTCTCTTGAGTCTCAACTACAATCCAGAATACCATGGCCGAACTCTGGAATGAGATCCGTAAAATTCCTTCAGTAACCCGCTTTCTATGCGGGTCGTCTCTGTTAGTGACAGTCCCTGTCATGCTCGAGATTGTATCCCCATATAGCATCGTCTTCGTGAAGGAGCTGGTGACGAGACATTACCAGGTGCGTGCCCGATACGGCGCCGGTACTCATGTGGCATTCACATCTTACATTCTGAGCGTATGCGGTTGTAGGTCTGGCGAGTGTTCACGAGCTTCTTCCTTGGAAGTGAGTAGTCGGGCTTGTGAAAGGAAAGCGTACATCAATGCTGAGGCAATTCTAACCAGGTTCGGGCATCAACTACATCTTCGACTTCGTGATGCTCTAGTGCGTATGTGTACCATTTGTGTAATGTTTTTGCATAACGATCTTTCACAGCCGAAATTCCAGCCAACTTGAGACAGCATACTATGCACGCCGTTCCGCGGATTACGCGTGGCAGCTCCTACTAGCGGGGGCTTCCATTCTGGTGAGTGCACTGCTTTTCGTTGAATATACATACCCTCTCGTCTCTCCTCACTCACCCACTCCACCAGGTCCTCAACATTCCTCTCCATTCTTTCGTACACACCCGCCCGCTGCTCCTTGCGCTTACCTACCTCTCCTCGCGCCTTGCCCCTCCCGGCTCGCAGACTTCGCTCTTCGGGCTCATCTCCTTCCCGGTCGTCTACCTCCCCTTTGCACTTATCCTCCTCGACCTTTTGATGGGTGGGCGCGCTGCGGCCGTTCAGAGTATCTCTGGCGCCATCGTTGGTCACCTGTGGTGGTGGGGCGTGTGGGACACTGGTGTCCTCCGCCGGGTGGGAACTGCGCCCGCGTGGATGAAGGCCCTGGTAGGTGATGGTGGAGGGCCAGCGACGGGTGGTGCTGGTAGTACGGGAGGAGTGCACGTTGTGCCACCGAGGCGTCTGAGAGAGGAGGCACAGACTTCTGGTCATCGCTGGGGCACCGGGAACAGGCTGGGAGATAGCTGATGGAATTCATTTATGCCATGTTGATGTATGTATGTAGGCTATAGAACAGGAAACTCGCATTTTAGTGCTACAACTTCTAGCACTAGTAGCTGCATTAAAATGCGAGTTTCCTCTCCTGAAGTATAGTAATAACTGTCTCATCCCCAGACATTCTCAGAGCTGTCTGCAGTGGCTTCACTACTTTCAGCAACCTTGCCACAGCTGAGTTTGAGCCTCACCACATCTCGAGTCTGGAATGTCAGGCAAATGGGACTAGTAATATCGTAAAGCTAACTATTGTTGGGTTCAGTGGTGTAGTGGTTATCACGCCTGTCTTACAAAGTGGTCACAGGCGGTCGTCGGTTCGATCCCGGCCTGAACCAACGTTTTGCGGGTGGCATTAATATGGTTACGTAAGCCAACGTTATTGCTTTGGTGGCGCTACATAACCACCCCATCCAGAGATACTTACAGCTGCGCCGCCGAGACCACTACGGTGCGCCCTTTCTATCTCATCCTTTCTTTTTTCCCCTGCACCCCTCTCTTCCGCCTTCATACTTTCACGACTGGACGACTTGAGATTATGGCCCCGCCGGACGACACGCAATTGGAGGACGATGTTGTCGTACAACCCATCACTGTGCCGGATACGGGCGATGCTGGCGAGAGCGGCAAGCTGAAGATGATTGTCCAGTTGCTCAAGAAATGCCTCGGAGTGAAGGATATTGCCTCGATGTGAGTCCATGGAGCGTGTTGCACGCCTGGATGGATGCTCATCGTTGTGTTCAGGCGGTTGTCACTGCCAGCATCACTGCTAGAGCCCATTCCAAACCTGGAATACTGGCACTATCTCGACCGCCCAGATCTGTTCGCGGCGTATGTGCTCTCCTCATCTGCGCCCATCGGTAGTCTAACATGCGCCATTCGCCAGCATTAACGATTCTGACGATCCCTTCGAGCGCATGCTTGCAGTCCTGCGGTTCGCCTTCTCGAAAGACCTCAAGTTCATCGTGCGTGTCCGATGCACATGCGCGTGATTCTCTTGGCACTCACACTCCCCCCCTCGCAGCGCGGCAAGGTATGCAAGCCATACAACTCTGTCCTTGGCGAGCACTTTCGTTCGCATTGGGATGTAATACCCGTCTCGTACCCGTCCGATCCCCTCCAGCCGCCCATACAACACCTCTTCCTCACGCCTGCCGCGGCCGAGTCCGATTACTCCCTTGCGCCCGCGTCCCCGCGCAACTCCCGCCTCTGCGTGTCCGAAACAGCGAGCATCAGCGGGCGGAGCATAAAGAGCGGGCGGAGCGTCATCAGTGCGCTCAGCGTCGGCATGTCCACCCCGGGCAAGAGCACGCCCGCGACATCGCCAAGCCTTGGCAGCTCGAGCCTTGAGGGTGACATGTCAAACCTCAACCTCGCGGACGACGCGTCTAGTCGGACCGAGCTCGTTGAGGCAGATGATGTGCCTAACGCGGCTGGGCGTCCACGCGTGAGGATTGCGTTCCTCACGGAGCAGGTGTCGCACCATCCACCGATCTCCGCGTACTATGCGCGCTGCCCAAGCCGCAATGTCGAGCTCATGGGCGTCGACCAGATTTCGGCGAAGGTGTCCGGCACCGCGCTGCGCATTGTGCCCGGCTCGTACAATAAGGGCCTTTTCGTGAAGCTCACCGGCGGGCCCGGCGAGGGCGAGACGTATCGCATCACACACCCGATCGGCGCAGTGAATGGCATGTTCCGTGGCAGCTTCTACATCACGATGGGCGAGGCGACGATTATCGAGTGCTCAGGTGGCGCGGACGACGACGACGACGAACGGCTGCGCGCGGTGATCGAGTACAAGGAGGAGTCATGGCTAGGCAAGGCGCATTTCCTCGTCGAGGGCGTGATCCACACCTACGACCCGCGTGGAAGCGCGCACCAGGAGTGGACGCGCGTGAAGCATGTCCCACGCGAACGCGTGCTCGCGACACTCGATGGCTCGTGGAAGCATCGCATCCGCTGGAGGCGCGCGAATGCGGCGAGCAACGAGCCCGCGACGCTCCTCGACCTGTCGACGCTCCACGTCATCCCAAAGGCGGTGCGGCCGCTTGAGAAGCAGCTGCCCGACGAAAGCAGGAAGCTATGGGACAATGTGACGACGCGGCTGCTTGCGAAGGAGTATGGCGAGGCGACGAGGCACAAGCAGGCTATTGAGCAGCGACAGCGGGACGAGGCCGCGGAGAGGAAGCAGAAGGGCATACAGTGAGTCTCCGGCTACGACTTGTTCTCCTGGTTGAAGCGAACTGATTTATCCCTTCAGATTTGTGCCGAGATACTTTGAGAACGACATCGATTCCGGGATACCCACATTAACTGCAGAAGGCCACAGGGCCCTGGAAGAGGAGCTAAAGGAGGACATTGTATACCCGCTGGAAGGCATGGAGCCAGCAGAGTCCCAAGACATGAATACATCATCTACTACCCTATAGCCAGCACCGTTGAATGCACGACCCCACGCACCCTGGTATTACACGATCTCACGCATATCGCCATGCTTTCACGCCTTCCTATCTCGTTACTTACGCGTTAATACATCTTTGCAAGGACGCTTGATAATCTGGATTAAATAGCAATACCTTATGACAAAGCTGTGGCCTTGGCGTGCTCACTCGGTTCTCCCTCCTGGAGACACATTCTGCTCCGAGGAACTTGATCCCACGGAAGATGAGGGTGAGGCTGAAGTAGGAAAGATACGGTCCGCCGATGCGGCCTTATGAGTCACTCTTGGATTCCTTTTGCTCCTTCGCCAGCTCCTCTTCTGCCGCTTTCATCTTCTGGCCGAGGATCTTTGCGCTGACCTGTACTCAATCGCATCGTGAGTCATGATGCCGACAGACTTTTCAAACTAGCTGGACCCACATTTCGGATGTGCACGTCAGCACGCTCGACGCCGTACGTCTTGCTGCGTTTGTAGTATTTGAGTGCCTCTTCCAGACGGCCGCCTAACATAGATTCAGCTTCAAATTACACGCGGATATGAAGTCGTTGGACGTACAGGATTCAAGGACTGCGGCGAGATTGAACGCAATCTCAGCGTCATCTGGTGCGAGTGATGCTGCGACGCTGTGGAGGAAGTCAGATACACCTGAGTAGACGAGGTGCAGGGAAGGACGCGCACCTGAGATGGTGCAAGGCAAGGTCAGGACGGCTAACGGGCGAGATGATATATGCGCTTGCAATGTCTGTCCCAGAGTTAGCAGGTAGTTGGTAAAGACAAGCGCGAACGAACGTACTCATGTGCGCGTCCGTGCTTGATGGCTGTAACGCGATCGATTCCTTCCACACTGCAATGGCATCGTCGTACTCCTCTGGGGCGCTCCATTAGCCTCCTCTGCGCATATATAGGTGAGGATGGTGCAGGCTCACTGAGGTGGTAGTGTGTGACACCGAGGTTGAATAGTGAGCTTGCGGTACGCTTGATCTCGACGCTGCGCTGATAAAGAGCCTGGAAGGTCGTGCTGTAAGTCATAGAGCGTTGGGAAAAAAGAGGAGAACGCCTACCTTAGCGGCCTGCACGTCGCCATCCTCCAGCTTCTGCGTGCCCTCTTCGAGGCATTGCAGAGCCTCTGCTTCTGCTGGGTCGGTGGTTGTTGAGTGAGCTGTTGTGGAGCTCGCCCATCCTACCATAATCAAAGAAACTGAATTCAGCTTTGGTCCGCTAGAAGTTACTGGCAAAGGACTTACGCCTGTATGAAATTCGTGCTCCCTCTTGTCGCGTGTGGACGGACGTCTTGCTTGCACATCCTCTCAGCGAGGAAAGCAGCCTATGCTGCGCGGCGGGCGCTGCCGTCGCAGCGCCGCTCCTGATAGCTTGTCTAAAGAACGGTTTCGCAACAGAGAACATGGTGGTATTGGCAAAAGGGACCTCACACTATAGACGAGACGCGACTGGCGTAAGTACATGACGGCGCACGTGACCTCGATCCGCCTCACGGTGGCGTTCCTCTCCTCGAGGCTCGCGCGTATCCTGGCCTCCGCACCCTCCTGCATGTCCTCACTGCGCTCTTGAGCTTGATCTTTCAGGTTCTGCGCAGGGTAGGGTGCTAATATTTTGACTTTACTGGATCGAAACACGGGGCGCACACAGCCTCGAAGTAGTCGCAACATTTCGCAGACGAGCAGCAATTGCCCTCGATGCCACTCATCACCGTCTCCCTCGACGCCTTCCTCGCTGCGTCCATCGCAATCGGCGTTTCCTCGCTCTACCTCATCCGGCGCAATCAGCCACCATCACCGCCGCACACGCCCTACCGCGCCGCCCTCACCCTCCTCGTCCTCCTCCACACGCTTTACATCCTCTACACTGTCCTCCTCCGCTGGCCGCCCAACCTGTTTTCAGCGTTGCACCTTCCACTCACCGCACCCACTGAGGGCATCCGACACATGATTCTAACGCGCGGGGGACTCCCAGCGGGCGCGCAACTGCCCAAGCCGCTCGAGGCGCTCCTCGCGCGGCTCGCGTCCTTCGAGATGCGCACACTCTATGTCAGGTTCTTGCTCGCGTCCTCTCTATTGAACACACTCCGTTCATACTGACTTAAATACTGCATCGCTCGCTGCTCGCTCGTGCAGATTTGGCCAGGAAGTGGTCCAAAACTGTGAACACTGCAAGACGTTCGACGAGTACGCGCTTTTCGCAGTCTCCAACGCACTGCTCGATTACATCCGTGAGGCGGTCGTGCTCGGCCTGCTCACCGCGAACGGGAGCGGCCGTGAGCGCTGGCGCACACACGCCGTCGGCGCGCTTGTCTGCGCCGCGGTGCTCGAGGGGTACTTCATCGCGGCTGCACCCGTTCAGATCCCTCGAAATGGCGCGGGTGTCTTCATGGTGCGCTTTCTGCTCGTGAAGATCACGCTAGAGCCTGTCTCCTTATGCTCAAGCGTTGCTCAGTGGCACGACAACTTCTGGGCAATCCGCCACCTGCTCTTTCTCCTCCTCCCGCTCCTCACGCACTCCCTGCCCGGAGCGCGGCCACGTCCAGCGCCGCTCGCCGAGGCACGCACAACGCTCGAGCAGACGATGGCACGCCTCGCGGTGCTGCGTTACACGCATGGCGCAGTGATGCGCGATCCCGTGCTGCGCGCGGCCGCGAGCGAGTGGTGGGAGCGCCAGCGCGTCGAAGGCGAGTGGGCGCGGGCGGATGAGGGCGTGAGGCGCGTCGCGGATAGGCTTGGGAGGAGCTTTGCTGAGGCGGGTGCAGGTGGGAGTGGGGAAGGAAGGTTGAAGGTGATGGCGAGAGAGGTGGTGGCGAGGTTGGTCGCGGGGATGACGGCGGCTCCGCCATAGAGATGTGTGTTCGCTGGAGACTGTACGCTGGAGACCCGGAAGTGGAGGCATGTGCTGTACGAAACGCACCAAGCAAGCATGTAGACCATTAGTACAACTACAGACATCCGTATACCAGTACACAAAAGATCGTCAGAACGGTGCGGGGTCGCTACGCATTGATAATGGATTGGATAAGTAATTGCAAGGAGAACGCGACCCTGTGGTTCACGGACGGGAGCGCCACGACTGCTGATCGTCACTTCGCGTCCCAGAATTGTTATCATAGTCATACTGCTGACCGTACGACCTTCCTCGAGAGCCATAGCCCCGACTTCCTCCAGTCGATGAGGCACGTGCGGAGTAGACCCTGGATCCATTATAACCTTGCCCACGGTACCCACCACCTCTGCGAGAATTAGCATGAAAACCACCCCTTGGCGCATATTGATTACGCTCCCCCGCCTCTGGGGGCGGGGCATCGCGCACGCGCCGGAGGATGGCCAGCACGTCCTCGCGCGCATACTCCGGCGCGGGGTGGTCGGCGGGGCGGAGCGCGAGTAGGCGCTGGTGGCCCTCATGCGGCGCGGGCGCGCGGAACTGCGAGGAGAAGCGGGCCAGGACGGAGAGCCCCACTTCTGGGGTCTTTATCGTGGGGTGGTCCGCGCCTGTGTGAATAAGAAGATGCGCCTACGAGCGAGACCATAGAAGAGGTGGGAAAGCTTACGATGGCGTAGGCGTTCGGCGCATACCTTGGGTAAAGATGTAGCGAGCTGATACGGCATGGCGGGCGCGGGGAGCACTCACCTCGTACGGCGTGTCGAACACGAGCACCCACACCTGCGTCCCGGGGAACTCGCGTGCGATGTTGATCCACGTCGCGCGCTGCCTACGAGGCATCAGCTCTTTCAGGCGCAGCGTTCGCACCACCCAAAGCACATCCACAACAATCAAAGTAATGTGACGCACCGTTCGTCAAAGTTCGTCCGGTCGATACATACAGAGAGCCCTTCGACGAGGGTTCGCCGCGCGAGCTCCTCGACCGCGTGACGATCGCCGAGGTCGTCCTGGTTGCAGCGCCGGAAGTGCGGGAGATGCGCCTCGAGGGCCTGCGCAAAGGTGGACTGGTGCGATGAAGTACTTAGACGTGGGGAACGCGCAGGAGGGTCGCGTCGTGTTCACCTTTCCGGAGCCGACGAGGCCCACAAGCAGCAAAACAACCTGCTGTGGTGAGATTTCAGCTTCGGGAGTGGTATCTGGCTGAGAACCTGGTGTTGGCAGGAGGTCGGACATGGTGATGGAGGAAGGAATAACTTGCAGCGCGCTTGAGCAGGATCGTGGTGGTCACGTGGGCGCAAGACACGCAGCTGGCCACAACCCAAGTTGCTGCAGAACCGCGAACTCGTCGCCAACCATCTCCTTCAGCGGCTTGCAGTCTTTGCGAGGTATCACAGTCATACTTCATATCAACGAAATGTAGCTCACTTGACAGTTCCCTCATATTTCTGGATTGTCAGGCGGTGACGCCACCGTTGCAGCGTACTTTGCAGAACAACTCCATAATCAGGACAAAATGGGATATCCACAAGAGAGCTTCATGTTCACCGTGGGGAAGCTAGGCGAGTCCGTCATATATCGCGATGCACCAGAGCGATTGACAACGTTCGCGCAGATGCCGGAATGGCTGTAAGCGTGCCTTCACCTGACTATCGTCAAGCCCTTACTCGCATACGTTCCGCCTCTTAGATCCTGCTTGGGGAGCGCGCCCACCTCATCGAGTTTCCCTCGCTGCTTCTCCCACCCGGCGCGACGACCGGGTCGATAGTCAACATATCGGTGCAGCGCAACGTTGCCGAGGAGAAGAAGCGCGACGCTGAGTTCTGGCAGTTGCAAGATGACATCCTGCAGACGTACGGCACCCGCTCCCCCCAGTCTCCAAAGCTCGAAGTACGTACCCATCTCACACCTGCACGCACACACACATCTACATGACATCACCTGCAGCTCCGGAACGTTACCCAAACATCCGTCACGCTCGAGTGGCCGCCCCTCCAGCTGGCCGCCGCCAAGCTCCGCTCTCTCGACATCTACCGCAACCGCCAACGGCTCGCAGCGATCCCTTCTCCCCTCACCAACACCTCCACCAAGCTCTCCGGCCTGCAAATCGACACCGAGTACACCTTCCAGCTCGTCCTGCGCACCTCCGCCGGCATCCACCCCTCGAACGTCCTCCACGTGCGCACGCACACCATGGCCGACACCTCCGGCATCTCCGTCTGCTTCGGCAACGTGCAGGACGCCGTGCTTCTCGAGAACGCCAAGATGGCCCTCCGCGAGATGGGCGCGTGCTGGAGCGAGAAGATCCAGATCGACACGACCCACTTCGTGTGCACGACTCCCGCCGCCACTCCCGGCGCCGCTGCCGCATCATCCCCCGGTGGCCTCTCTTCTGCGCCCGGCGTCGAGTACCAGAAGGCGCTGCAGCTCAGCATACCCGTCGTCCAGCCACACTGGGTCCTCGCGTGCCACTCTGCCAAAAAGTGCGTGTATTGTCTCCCTCACTCTACCCTATCCTGACCCAATCGACCTGCAGGATGGTGCCCATCCACCCATACTACCTCGGCGCAAACCCGCCCGCGCAGATCACCTTCACGCGGCCACAGTCCATGTCCCAAGCGAACCTCTCCCGCGGCTCGCCTGGCTCCCCATCCGCACAGCAGACGCGCACAGCGAACCGACAGTCGCTCCCCTCACAGCGCGTGTCGACGACATCTCCACCCGTGGCGGTGCCGAGATTCGAGCCCACACCCGAGGAGCACGACGTCGAGCAGCTCAGCGTGGAGCACGACGAGCACGCGCCCGGGCATGCGCGCAAGGGCACGATGAGCAAGGACTTCCGCTTCCCGCCGCCTGCGCCGCTGCCAGAGAACGAGGAGCAACCGGCTCAAGCGCCAACCCCGCCACAGGAGGAAAAGGCTCCCGTGCACGCTCAGGAGACCCCCGAGTCGGAAGAGGCGAGCCTTAATGCGGTGAGCGCTGTCGCGCCGTCGAGCGTGGAGGTGCCGCCGCCTCCACCTGTCGAGAAGGAAGTAGTGCACAGTCCGGTGCATGACTCGGCAGACGAAGATATTGGGGAGACGGAGGAGATTTCTCTGCAATGACGGTCGAGACTGCTGAAGCGCACTCGTCACCATCATTCCGCATCACTCTGGAGTGTGATCAGGCATTGCGAGGGACGATCCGCCAGAGCACAGCTGCCGTTGTATAGATGTATACCCATTCATTAGGCTTGTGCTCCTTGCTATCTTCACTGTGACTTAGGAGAGTAGGTACTGCAGAGCTAGCAGAAGTTGAATTGCGTCTGGGACAGTCTTGACAGCACCGTCCATATCAATTTCAACCAAACAACAGCATCAACGCGTACAGTACTTAGGAAGTGTGGCTATTCAGGCAACAACAAGTCTGTCTCTGTAGAATATACTTTCTCGTATCTCGTAAAGGGGGAAGCATGTAGGCAAACCAAGCAGTAGTAACGACAGGTCTACACCACGTCATGAGTCATCAGGTAAAGAAAAAGTGTCAAAGGCGTGGCGAAGGGACTATTAGCACAGCAGGGAGAAAGCAGGTCAGCACAGAAGGCGGATGGCAGGGGGGAAGTCATCGGCAGGATTAGCGACCCCGTAGTCGTAAGAGGTCCTTGGAGTCATATAGATGAGGGCATAGATACGAAGCAAACCAAATCGGAATGCCAGCAAACAGCGAACGGGCGCAGTGAGGTTAGGTCCGCGCGCCCGTAAGGGTTACTTACACGGTTTCTATCTTTTCGTCGCTCGTTCAGCGACGGGGGTGAGCAGCCGGCGGCGGGTCCGGCACCAGGTAGTGCACAGGACGCGAGTCGCCCATGCCAAAGCTGGCCTTGTGGCTCAACTGCGGGAGATGCCCGAATGAACGACGCAGATCCTCGCGGGAGTGCGATGCTCCTCTCGGGGTGCTTGCACCCGACCCACTCGACTCGTCGTCCGTGGCGATCACGCTCGCCTGGGGACTCAAGTTCGGCTCCGCCTGGTTGATGATCAGCGAAGGGCTGTACGACGGGACGGGCTTGCGGGTCGTCTGCCTCCGCACGGCGCGTCCGGTGGCGGGCGAGGTGGTCGGCGAGATAGGGCTCATATTAGGCGTGTAGGGCGTGTCGGTGGGGGAGGATCCGAACCCGCTATCGTAATGTGCACCAGGCGGGCTCGGCAGGCCGGAGTGTCCGCCTGTGCTCAGCTTTTCGAGCGCGATGGCACGGGAATCCTGCCCCGTCGAGGGCATCCGGCCGCGTCTGAACGAATCACTTGAAGTGTATGGCACAGGGATGTCTTCTGTGCTCCGCGGGTAGTGATCCACTTTAGTCTCTTCACTCATGGAGAAGCCGCCCTCATCCGATGCGCTCGCGCCAAGGATGGTGTCGTGGCCCGCACTGCTCGGCATACTGAACGCATCGGGCGACAATCCGGCATGTTTGTGGGTGATTGCTTGCATCCTCGACGCTGAGGACGATAGGCGCTTCGGCTTGAAGCTTGCGCTGGCGAGGACATTCTCTGCAGTCGAATCGTGGGATGAGAGCCCGTCCCATTTGCCGAGCGGCCTGGACCCGCGCGCGTCACCCTCGATCATTGAGCGGCGGCGCGAACGACTGGGCGTCTGTCGACTGACGCGCACATAGAGCAAGATGCCTAGGGCAACGAGTAGAACGAAGGCCACGCCACCGATCACACCGCCCACGATGGCACCCACATGCTTGTGTGAAGAGGTAGACACGGCTGCGGTGGTCACCGGGGTTGAAGTTGATGATGACATAGGCGTTGTTACAGTACTCGACGAGCCTGGAATTGAATTTGAGGTCGTCGCAGTCGATGTAATCGTCGAGGTGAGCGTCGTTTGATGACCGGACGATATGGAAAAACGAAGACGTGAGAAAGGAGAGATCGCGCTCGAAGAAGCTGCAGACGTACTCGATGAGGTTGCCGCGTTGGATGACGTATCAGACGAGAACGTCGACAAGATCGAGAGGGGAAGAGTTACAGCAGTACTGGATACAGAAGATGAGACACCGCTCAGCGGGGGCACCGCTGTAGTGCTAGCAGAAGTTGCACTGCTCAGCGGGGGGACCACTGTGGCACTGGCAGAAGCAGAAGTCGCACTGCTCAACGGAGGTACCAGTGTAGCACCGTCAGAGCTGGTGCTGCTTGCAACAGATAGAATTGAGCCCGGAAGTGTCACGAAATCCTCTCCGGAACCGCGGAGGCCCCAATTGCGCCTCAGAAGACCTGATAACATGGCGGTGCAGGGGTCAGTGGTGAATCACTCGCGGCGAGGGGTAGAGGGCATGGGTCGACGCTCAGGAAGATGAGCGTTGAGACTGACCTTGACAGCCGCGCGAACGGGCGGAGTTACTGCTGCAAACTCTCCAGAACCTGTGTGGAACGCAGATCGGAACGTTCACACCTAGTAGGGCGGTCAGCAAGGGAACAAGTTGACAAGTTCTGGCGAGAGCATGTGGCCCCTCGGCATTAGCCGAAGAATATGCTGTCACGGGCTAGAACGGCCCTGCCCTGAGGTCAGATTAGCAGTCACCAGGTCGACCCCCCCGCGTTTCAGCCGCAAAGCAAAGCAGTCCGGAAACAAGTTGAGGGGGGACGTCCCAGGGTCAGGGGGGATGCTTGACCGGATCGTAAACGTACCCTTTCGCGCGTTTTCTCGATTGTGTCATCATTGCCTTAGCTCTGTCGACTGTGCCCCCGGTTTTCTGCGGCAGCGTGAGCGATGATCGAATGAAGTACGATGAAGTGCAGTTCGTTTCGAGAGAATCACGACGTCTGAATGTCCCCGCAATTGAACGCGAACCCCTGTGCGCTCAGCAATATCGGTAACCGAAACTCGCGCCTCTGCCGCGGTGTTCGCGGTGGGGATCGTGGATTGGGGGGAAGGGGGGGACGAGAAGGGAGGTTGCAAGAGTCATTCGTAACGCGTGTTTCTATATACTCAAATTACAGAAGACGCAGCGGAGAATGAAACCTCGTTTCAGACACGTTTAGAGTCGAGAACGAAGGGTTGCCGCATTTGGAAGTCAAGGGTCCAAATATGGAAGGTACGTTGGGAGGAGCACAGCATCATCCTCGGTGTTCGTCAAGAAGAATATTCATCCGATTCCCTCGCCAGATGGTGTTATCATTTTCAAAATTTATAATTATACAAAGAGGATGTTTGGATAAGTTAGCATGCATGCAGTGGTTTTGTGTGCGGTATAGTATCCTCGCGGATAATGTGCAGCAATGACAATGAAGTGGTGGTAAGCGGCAGAGGCGGAGATAAATATGCACATCTACACCGCACACATCCTCATCGTCATGACCAAGGTGTCCGACGTGCGTCCCGCAGCGGATGGAACCAGCGCCCCCTCGCACGCGCGCCTGCCTTGCCATTGTTCGACGCCAGGCCCACTTTGCGGATTTTGCGCAGCCTACGGTCATCGGGAAGATCAACATCGATCGGCACCTACGTATGATGAACCACCTACGTCCGTAAGCCGCTCACGGCGAAACCAATGGCCGCGAGGATGCTGAACGTGGACATGATGCCGAAGGCCCAGTCGTGTTCTTCCATGTGACTCCTCAGCTGTGAACAACGAGCTCCGTCAGTCACCGCCGCGGACAATGCAGATTTCACCGCTCACATTCATGCCAAATAGCCCAGCCAGCAGCGTGCCGACGCCAATGCCCATCGTCCATATGGATACCTATACGTAAACGCCCCTTGTTATCAGACATGTTCCTGTTCACACCTAACGCAAGTGCTCACCTTCAAATCCAGCGCAAGCAAGGCATTACGATTAGAGTCTAACAATAGTTCTACGATCTCTTGGGTCGATTGCACGTTGCTCTGTGCAAAGAACGTGCTTCCGTGTCAACACGTTCGCGAGCCCACGAGCCCATGCACCCACCTGAATACTTTCCGCCTCATTTACAATTTCCTCCACTTGTTTGGCGAAGGACTCCAAGAGGACCTCAAGCTCTTCATGGTCACTTGGCGCGCGTGGCGTGCCATTCTTTTTATCGCTCAGATACATCGCCGCTAGATCCTCGTCTGGGAAACAGAACGATAGGGTCAGCACGAAGCAGTACCCGGCTAGGACGTACAAACTGACCTTGCTCAAGAACTTCCTCCAACGCTTCTTGCACCTATCTCGCAACAAATTCAGAATTGTTTCAAACGAGGGCAACAATCATCGACACCGTACCAGCTTTGCCCTATTCTGAAAACCTGCCAACCGTCTCGAATAATGAAGCAGCCGTTTGAACCGATCATGATCTATATCATCCTCAAGCTCCACAAGTAACCCGCCAACTAGATTGCGGGTGAACACCATGTCCGTCTCCAGAGCACCAAGCACCGATAAAAGAATCGACTCCAGCGCGCTACGTAAGAGGGGGGGCCGCTAGAATGGTGAGAAAATGTTCATCCAGACACGCATAGACCAGCAGGAGGCGCTCACCGAAACTCATACGGCAGGCCGGAGCTCTTGATTTTCAAATTTTGCTGAGTCGCGCAGCCCGTGAGCAGGGGCAATGTGGGAGATGCGCACGAGTGCGTACCTCGAGGTACTCCAGAAAGGATGAATGAACCCGCGAGTCCGCGGATCCGAACGTGTCGAACAAAACGACGGCATCGGCTTTGATAAGTGCACGAATGTGCAATATATTCACCTGAAATGATTCTCCAAATCAGAACCTGACGATAAGATGTGCGCAGCTGCTCTCATATTGATAGCTCGCCTGGCGCTCGGCAAGCAGAACAGCCTCGCAGACAGCTAATATATATCTCCAGCATCCCACTCCACACAGGACGCCCGAGAAGCGGCCGACTATCCGCACATCGCGCACATGCGAGCTATCGATACGAGAAGTGAGGCGGACGAGATACTCACGAGGATGACTTCCTTCCGCACGAGGATGGTGGGGACAAGGTTGGGGATCCTCGAGTCAATTTTACGAAGGTCACGGGGCTGTGTCCTGGACGCTCAGAACATGCACACTGCTATGGAAGGAACTTCACTTACGTTCAGACGGTGCTCTGCGCATAGATCCGCCCTTCTGAATAGACCGGAGACCGTCGTAACATTGCCTGCCCTCACCGCACGAAATCGTTTGAATGGTGTCCACCATTCAATGCATTTCAGCACGCACCTTCAGAGTCCAGGATCGTGCCTGCACGCCGGTCAGAAGGTGTGAAGCGCAGCAACGCATTAGAACTCACATCTCAGCATGAGGTCGGGATTAGGCCGCTCCTGCATCTTCTTCGCCATAATTGCCATCTTGACGGACTCCTCATGCTCCCCCGGGAGCTCATCAGGTGGCTCGTTCGGGCGCGGAGAGAGCTTCGGCAGCCAAGACAGATGTCTCCGGAGGACAGCACAAGTCGAGCATGGAGCTGCAGATCTTTTATGCGCCCAGTCATCGTAACAAAGAGCCGTGAAACAAGAAGCCGCAGAAAACCTGGAGCGGGTATACTGGTGACAGGTTCTCCGGAGACCAGCCGTTTGTGCGAGACCGCGAGAAAGGCTGCGCGCAGAGGGCACGCCCAAAAAGCCTCTTACATGGCTCGCTACCGCCCTGCAGAGCACCGTATGCATGCGCGGGAAGCGTCGAGAACCAGCAACGATGCAGCCACAAAGCACCGGTCGACGAACAGCAGAACGTGCAAAGCAGCATGCGCACAAGCGCCCGCGACCTGAGCGGTGGGCGTCTAGCGTGCTCGTTCGGGAAAGTGAAGTCAAAGGGCGCAATTATTGCGTTGCAGATCATACCCTCACGGTCCTCCGGTCACACACTCAGAGTCTATAGCGTAAATGAGGGTGCGGCTACTCCGCAATGTCGGGAGTGGGAACTTCAGTCCGGATGAATTAGCAGAGCACTTCTTTCGGAGGAGACCACCCGGGACGATTCGTCTCCCGCGTATGCACGGATCGCTCGCAGGCATGAAGCATTCAGTGAAGAGCTGTGTCTACAGCAGATAGCGAATGTGCAATAAATTTCGCAATCGTTCGTATTGACTGACGGCACAACGCTATGTTCGCCGGACCAACCAGAGCGCGTGGTATGGACATGTGATGAGGACGTGTTCCTCTTTCAAACGGTAGCGGCAGATGCATGTCCTCGATATGTAGCACGAACGAGCTAGGCCGGCAGGTTTTTCGTATCCTCATCAGATGCCTCTCGTTCCCCGGCGCTGTCCTTCCATCGGCCGTTGATAAAGGCACCGGGTCTCAATGCCTCTGGCTTTCCACCCTCATCTTCGCTTTGGTTCTCGATCGACTTCGCGGCCTCAGCACAGTACATGAATGCGATGGCTGCAGCTCGACGCTGCTTTGGATCCTCGCTCGAGCATGCATGAAACAAGCCGGCTTGTGGAGGCTGCGGCGGCACTGTCGGCGCTGTTGCGGGAGCGTGAAGTTCCTCATGCGTTTCATGGGAATTTTCTGACCGCCGTTCTGTCCAATGCAACCCATGCCGATGTAAGTGTGTTCTATTTCCTGTCTGTTATATCGCTGATGTAGTACAGGAAATATACTGCATAGTCGAAGGGGGAAGCACTCACCCTTTCCGCAGAGTACGACAGGCTTGCGAGAAAAGCGAAGATTTCACGACAACAGTATCGCCGTGGATCAGCCGGTACGTCTCCCTGAGAGTGCAAATGTCCACTGAGTGACCGGACAAATGAAGTTTGCATGCGACCTACCGCCGGTTCATTCCTGTCATTGACGTAAGTCTCTCCGCATCTGTGCAGTGACATCTCACAGTGTGTGTATTCTCCTACAAATATAGATTGAAATACTGCCTGCAGGCGAGCAAGGTCCCAGGCGGCTCGACGGAACCACAGTGATGGTGATTGGTGGTGTCCCCTTTCTAACAATATCCGAATTCATCAGGGCGAAGCTGAAGGCCTGGACACTGTAAGCACCGTCCGTTCTTCCCCTCAGTCCTCATGATCAAATCACGCCTCGCATAGACGGGGACTCGAACGCGATGCTCAAGACATCATTTTCGCAACAACGCACTACTGGGATCGCGCGGACATCAATCGCATCCCGGAGCAAGAGATGAACGAGTTCGTCCGTCAACACAAAAGCATTGCACCTGGGTGGGCGCAGCTCAAACGGAAGTACGGGATGTGAGTCATCCAGCAGCAAAGGTGACGTCGGCTTGACTCTTTTCCCAGGTCATAAAATGGCGTCTGGGCCCTACGGAAGACAATGGGCCCACATCAAAAGAGGTACCTCGTGATGAGCGGTGCCAACGAAGCCTATGGCAGCGGTCCGTCAAAGCAGCCGGACCCTCCACGGGCGTATGCTGTCTCGCAGTCTATCGGTTACTCACCATGCGAATAGAGTTGTTCAAAATCCTGTGGACGGTTCTTCGGATTGTGAAACCTCTACCTTCTGTGGTCCTATATGCACCCCATTTCGCACGGACAGGTCCGCTTCCAGAAGTTATCGAATCACTTTGTTGTCGCCGTTTACGCCGATAAGCTATTCAGTAAAGAGGCTAGAGTGACCGATCCTGGTGAGTGGAGACGTGAAACAAGGGACAGTCCCCATGAGGCGAACGAAGCCCAAAGACACGGACTCAGACTTTGTCTATTACGTTGGGCTGCAGTTCGCAATGGGCTGTGATCTGCATATGTATCAAAAGAGGCATACGAGCTTTGATTAGGGCGATATGGCCGTAGGTCTGCTGACCCAAGCATCTCTCAAGAGCGTAAGGAAGGGAATTTTGAGAAAGTAGCGGAGACCGCCGACAGCCAAACAGATGGAGCTATGCTGAGTAAGCCTATCACTAGCAAGTTCTGAATTCAATACGTCGTCAGGAGGCTCTGTCACAATCTGGAGGGACTTCCCTGCAATTCGTGCGAAACGGCACGCCATCAGAGCACGCCAGAAAGGTTTCCTACGTAGCATCCGCGCTGCTGACGGTGCCAAGAGCGTCATCGTCGCTTCTAATGAATGGCGACTATTCGCTTAGCGTGCTTAACCCTTAAAATGAGCAGTATTTGCGGGTATTACCAGATGGATTATGTTTCGCCCTTCTAGCATGAGGAACTTGAAGCCTAAAAAACCTGCTATCCGTGGGACATCTCGCTGAAGTGGTCTGTAGAGTGCCCAGAAGGCATTCTGTTAAATTCTGTCCTTCCAAGGTATGCAGATGAAAGACGAGTCAAAAGAGTGCAACTCGAAGGGTTTGACCGACGAGATCGACGCCTCCCCTTGTGTACGATCAGAATCTGGATCACGTGATGTAGTACGCGTCCTTTGAGCGTTTAGCGCACCTGACGCGGACTTCAGTCTCAGTCTGTCATCCTGTTCATCCCCTCACTCCATATCCTCGCCATGCCCGTAGCTATTCTCACACCTTCACAACCCGTTGGCATAAAGTCCTACTACCAAGCGAAGATCGAGGCTTCGGAGCTCGACATCAATCAGAAGACCCAGAACTTGCGCCGGTTAGAGGCACAGCGGAACGCGCTCAATGCTCGAGGTAAGGATGGCCACATACATGAAAGTGATCCTAAGCCGATAATTCACAATTGCTTCTAGTACGTCTGCTTCGTGAGGAGCTGCAGCTGCTCCATGAGCCAGGCAGCTATGTTGGCGAAGTGGTAAGAGCTATGGGTAAGAACAAGGTGTTGGTAAAGGTGCAGCCTGAGGGCAAATATAGTGAGTTACCTGTGGTCATAATCATGCATCATTACTTATGAATACACACAGTTGTCGACTTCGACCCCGACATCGATGTCACGACTCTCAAGCCATCACTACGCGTCGCTCTCCGTTCGGACTCCTACACAATACACAAGATCCTCCCCAACAAGGTCGATCCACTTGTGTCCCTGATGATGGTCGAGAAGGTGCCCGACAGCACATATGAGATGGTCGGTGGTCTCGACAAACAAATTACGGAAATCAAGGAAGTCATCGAGTTGCCCGTCAAGCACCCGGAGCTTTTCGAGTCCCTCGGTATCGCGCAGCCAAAGGGTGTCCTGCTTTATGGACCTCCCGGAACAGGCAAGACACTTCTGGCGCGTGCTGTCGCGCACCACACCGACTGCAAGTTCATCCGTGTCTCCGGCTCCGAGCTCGTGCAGAAGTACATCGGCGAGGGCAGCCGGATGGTCCGCGAGCTGTTCGTCATGGCGCGGGAACATGCACCGAGCATCATATTCATGGACGAGATCGACTCTATTGGTAGTTCGAGAGGAGAGAGCGGATCGGGCGGTGGCGACTCGGAAGTGCAGCGGACGATGTTGGAGCTGCTGAACCAGCTTGACGGATTCGAGCCTACGAAGAACATTAAGGTTATCATGGCAACAAATCGAATTGGTGAGTGCGATTGCCATGTGTCTTCTGCCGGTTCTCAAGTTACTTACAGATATTCTCGACTCGGCGCTGCTCCGGCCGGGTCGCATTGATCGAAAGATCGAGTTCCCGCCGCCGGGCCCCGAGGCCCGCGTTGCCATTCTTCGCATTCATTCTCGAAAGGTTCGTATTTTGGAAGGCGTCTGTAGAGTGCAGTATCCACGACGGTGTTTTTTCATAGATGTCTTTGCAACGTGGTATCAACTTGCGTGCTTTGGCGGAGAAGATGGGTCAGTGCTCAGGAGCCGAGGTTCGCGGAATTTGCACGGAGGCGGGTAAGTTGCTATCTTCGGTCGTCCGCCATGTTCTTCTCACCAAGTATCTCCAGGTATGTATGCATTGCGGGAGCGGAGGCAACATGTCACACAGGAGGATTTCGAGTTTGCGGTTGCGAAGGTAAGATCGTTTTCTATGATGCAGCTTCCCGCTTCATTTGATGGATTTATTCACCATCTTTTGTATTCGCAGGTTCTCAAGAAGAACCAGGAGGGCAACACGTCGGTCAACAAGCTGTTCTCTTGATCCGTTATGTTACTGTATTCGATATTTGATCTGTCTTCTCTACGATGCATTCTTTTCCGATCCTGGATCCAAAACAAATGCATGATGTCGAGCACTAAGCGTCAGGCATTCTCTTAGCTGCGTTAAGTTATCACAGTCCGTGATCACTATGATAGTGACTATCGTCAAACGCGTGTTCTCCTTATCATACAACACTTTCCCACTTGGAACGGCATGGCGAGTTATAAATTGTTGATTTGGGCGTCGCGATTCCATCAAGGCAATACGTGAGTCATGAGCGTCAGTTCCCGTGTGCTGAGTCCTCTTCTTAGCTCTATCTGGGACACGACGGAAAACAGTGCATCTTTGCTGGAGGCGCTGACGATTTGAGCTCGGTATGCCTTGACTCGGTAACTGTGCTTTTCTCTAGCCATTTTCGGCATGAGGTCATTTATGTTGTTTTCCTGAAGAAGACCCGACTTCCGAGATGGTCAGCGCTGTGTCCGCGTGCCGAGGATGGAATTAGCGACGGCCAGTGCTAAAGCGCGCGAGGATCCTCTTTTACAGGTTCATTTTTTATGCATTCTCATTCTGCGATGAAAAATGCTCAATAGGCGACGCTAACAATGTAGGATCACAACTCATTGTCTTGATGACCACCTTTCACTACAGAAGAAAGTTGCGCCATGCTAAAAGCATCCGAAGGGTTGACGTTGAACTCTATTTCACTTCCGAGTTAGGATTCTTCTTCCCCGCGGCATCCTAGGATCACAGAGCTAGGCGCACTCGCCTCGAGGATAAACACAAGGGAAAATGCAGGCGCCCACCATATATATGGTACACACAAAAGAAGTCGTGGCAAAGCAGTGGTTGCCATTGTTCCCCCGCTCATCGTCATGGTCCAAATTTGCACGCAACTCCTGTCGACTGGAGCGTGTACGCTCCCGTCGTGCCCATCGAGTCACGATGTACACATTTGCAGACTATGCGGCGTCCTTTGCTACACATCCAACGATTATCGGGCTCACCTACGTGGCAAAGTGCACAAGAAGAAGACCCTCGGCCGCTCCGTAATATATCATTGCTCGATCTGCAATACTAATTTACATGCTTTTGGGTGGATAACACATGTAGAAGGCAAACGTCACAAAGCACATGCGAAGGTGCAGTGCGTGGATCCAGCCGTCGAGCCTGAGGAGGAAGCCACGTTACCTGGGCATACTTTTTGTAACGTCTGTGGTATTAACGTTCGACAGAGTCACTGGGAATTTCACCTCGGTTCGCCCTCACACGTCAAGAAAGTGCTGTTTACGAAATACGAGGCGGCGGTTGATGAAGCCGAAAAGAACAAACACGGCGTAGACGTCTCCCATGGCGAAGATGGGCTGGATTTTGGTGTTGTCGAACTTCAGTCTGCGAGCACAGGAGTGAGAATGACACTTAGTGTAAGCAACACTGTACCATTGGAGCAACTCATCCTAGAAGATGTGAAGATGTCGAATAGCTCGCCGCGTAGGCCATCCACGTGAGTGAATTCCACGTTCATGATGATCTCTTCCTGAACTAGTGTAGTTTTTCGCTATCATTTCCAGCTCATCCTGCAGCGATCATATATGGTCGTCCGCTTAATATCGAAGTCAGCTTTCAGCGTCATTTCCGAGGAAGATATGAGGACCGCATTGAGTTGGTGCTCAGGGATACTGCGCTTAACAAGACTTTCATCATCGTACGGCCTGTCAGAGTTACGGTAGGAAGCAAAGCCGATCATGATCTGCTCAAACCTGTCGCCCCCTACATTCCTCGAAAGCGAACCAGACGCGATCCTGAATTGGACGTTATACCTGGTGTACCACCGCCTGCATTGCGTGCGGTCCCGTACGTGACTAAGCTGCCGTGGGCTGAGATTCCCAAGAGGATCTCGGCTGCTCTTGCACAAGGTTCTCTAGATCAACAGATAGCCTTTTTCCGTGATACGGAACTTCCCCGAGTGTTGAACAGCGCAAATCATAGTCGCCATTTCAAGACATTGTTATGGATAGAAGAGCATAGGATGGAGTGCGTCACAAGCCTCTGATATTGCTAGTGAGACATTTGACTTGTTTGATTGGCAGAAACGACTTGCAGATATACGACATACCCGATGCACAAATGAGGAAGTACAACCAGTACTACTAGTAAGCTCGTCCACGTCCAGTCCAATAGTTCACTAACGCCGTATCAGTCTATCGGTTCCAGGTCTGGCGGAGAAACGTCCGAGCGTCCTTGTCGGTGAGTTTCAAGAGTGTCTGTTGGTCGCTCTGCCCCCTCACCTATGACGAGTCAACAGGCGACATAGTCTTAGTCCAGCCACACGGCGCTGATACAGGGCGCTGGTATGAAGGGCACGTCCATGTGGTTCATAAGGAAGAAGTGGGGCTCTGCTTCCATGGTTCATTCCAAGGTCATCAGCCGAGTCAACTGTATAACGTTCGCTTCAAGTTAAATCGAATCCCTTTGCGTCGCCAACACCAGGCTCTGGATACGGCCTTCGACCCCGATCGGGTACTGTTGCCGGAGCAGGCGCACTTTGTGACAACGGCAATCCCATCTCCCATCGGTATACGGGCCTACATCTATAACAGTCTTATCATCAGCAATCCCCCTCAACTACAGGCCATCACATCCATCAGCGAGCAGCCGGCGGGTTCGCCACCTTTCGTGATCTTTGGGCCGTGAGCTGTCTGTTCTGTCAGTACATACTTGAGATGCTCATCTATTCACCGCAACAGCCCTGGTACCGGAAAAACGATCACAGTGGTCGAGTGCATACGCCAGATCCAACGCCTAAATCCTCGCGCTCGCATACTAGTGTGTGCGCCGAGCAACAGCGCGGCCGACCTCATCGCGTCTCGTCTCTCGATGCTCAGCACGAGCGAGATGTTCAGGTTCTACGCGCCTTCCAGGCAGAAGAATCAAGTTCCCGATGAACTGCTCCCGTACAGCTATACATCCCCGCAGTCTAACCATTTCTCCACACCACCCGTCGGTGTACTCAAGCGCTATCGCGTCATCGTTTCTACATGCGTCTCTGCTTCCTTCGCTCACGGAGTCGGAATGCCACGCGGGCACTTCACACACATATTTGTGGACGAGGCGGGCCAGGCAACAGAGCCCGAAGTTATGGTGGCAGTCAGAACGATGGCGGACAACAATACGAACATTGTGCTATCCGGCGATCCCAAGCAACTAGGGCCCATCATACGTTCTGGCGTTGCACGGGCACTAGGGCTCGAGAAAAGCTATCTGGAGCGATTGATGCAGCGTCAAGCGTACGATGAAATCTCCGGCCGTGGGCTTTCGTACGTGATCGTCGTTGATTATGCAAAATTTGCTGACGCTGAACTTCGCTCATGTCTCAAGGGTCATCAAATTGGTTCAAAACTTTAGATCGCATCCGACCATCTTGAAGTTCCCCAATGAGAGGTTCTACAAGGGCGATTTGCAACCATGTGGCAGTCCCACCGTCATTGATTCCTTCTTGGGTTCCCCTTTACTTGTGAACAAGAAGTTCCCTGTTGTTATGCATGCGATTTCTGGCAAAGACGATCGTGAGGCTTCCTCTCCTTCATTCTTCAACATAGACGAGGTCTTGCAAGTGAAAGATTACGTCCAACGTCTTCGAAGCGACAGATATTTCCGCATCAGTGAGCGCTCTACTCCTCGTCCCATATGTCGAGATGTTGACGACCTCCAATTCAGCCGATGCCCAGATTGGTGTCATCGCCCCATATCACGCTCAATGCATGAAGATTCGCACTGCATTGCGTGGTGTCGCAGATGAGGTAAAGATTGGCAGTGTGGAGGAGTTTCAGGGGCAGGTCAGTAGTTACCACAAGCCATTGCGGCTATAACTCTCTGATGTTCTTCACCTGCACAGGAGCGCCAGGTGATCATTATATCAACTGTTCGTTCAAGTCAAGAGTTTGTAGAGTATGATCTGAGACATACACTTGGATTTGTCGCCAATCCTCGACGCTTCAATGGTATGGCTCATCTCCAGCTCAACGATGCCTTTAACTGATAGCTATCGACAACATAGTTGCGGTGACACGTGCACAAGCGCTGCTCATCATCATCGGCGACTCAAATGTGCTTTCATTGGATCCTCTCTGGCGCTCATTTCTCAACTACGTCTATGAAAACGGCGGGTGGACTGGTGACGAACCGTCATGGGATACACGCGAGGCGGTCGACGAAGCTGGCGGATATGATGAAACGATCAGGGATTCCGCCATTTCGGACATGAACGATTTTGCTCGAAGGATGGAGATGCTAACTCTGGATGGTATGATATCCACGGATGCGGACGATGATGGTAATGTGGACAGACCCTGGCGCGAGGTCGAGTGAGCTCGCATCAGGTTTTCCAATAATCATGATATATAGATACTCCAAATAGGCTAGACCTTATCTATTGCCATACATTAATTATTCGTTGTGCATGTTGTCTCTCCTCCGAGCTGCCTTGCTATGCTGTGATGCTTCATATTGTATTCTTTTCAGAGTATCGATGGTGACCTCTTTACTCGCCGTGCCGAGAGGGTTCCTTCCAAGAATTGCGTTGTGTGGAGGGCAAATCGACGGCTCGGCAACTGACCGAGTTGCTGAGCATTCTTGCGTACTGTATAATGCAAGCCACGCATAATCCATGCCATTCATGACATCTTCTACTGTCAAGAAGGAGACAAAATGGCAGTCGAAGATCTGTCCAAGTTTCTCTCTGTGTAAACACAGATCTAGTCTCCCGTGGGCAGGCGAGACAATCTCCGCGGGAACGCTCCGGATATCCTCCGAAAGCCTCACCTACACTAATGTTTGACGTGGGAACATCACGCTATTTATGTAAGTCGTTGTCGTCTTCTTGCGAACTTTGATTAGGTTCAACACACAAGCAGGAGGCAGAATATATAAAGTCTCAAGGCGTGCGGTCGGCTCGTGTACATTTCTTTCCCCTCCAATATGGCCCAACTTGCTCCTGGCAACTATTGTCCTAACGTGCTCTATTCCACAGGCTGCACGGATGCTGCATGTGGGTTGGTACACGATGTGAAGTTTTGTCAGGCTTGTGGCATCATTTTCCATCCCGCAAAACTATACAATCAACATATCAGCGGTAAAAAACATCAGGAAAGGGTAACTATCACTGCTACATCGTCATCAAATCGACTTCGTTGTCCTATCTGCGCCGTTCAAGTCAGCGGACGACCAAATTGGCAGCAGCATGTGGCCGGTGGAAAGCATCGCAGCCGCGCGTCTCAACAGGGCGTCTCTCCTGCTGTTGAGCCCGAAGATGCCAATGTCCTCAGAAATGCCAGACATTGCACGCTCTGCAGCAGGATCATCTCATTTTCTTCATGGTCTTCCCACGTCAGGGGCGCAGAACACCAGCGGCAAGAGCAGCACGCTTCCTTCAGGGCCGCCTTCGAACAGGCGGAAAGAAACAGGAACGGCATCAAGGTCATGCCCGATGGCGACATCGATTTCGGCATCGTCACCGCCACGAATGCTTCGCAAGGTGTTACGATCATGGTGGTGGTTCAGTCCGACAATCCCTCCAGTCAAATTCGAGTGGTATCCGCGTCATGTATCATGAAGAATCCCAACAGTGCATGCCCGTATGTTCTTCCTCTTGCTTCATCCATTTCGTTGTCATCATTCTGTCGACAGTTTCACTGCAGTGCTCGACGGCAGTGGGGAAGTGAGAGCAGCTCGGGACACTCGCCTGAAGTTGACATTCCGCCACCAAAACGTCGGACGATATGAAGGACGCCTGGAGATACATTTCCAGCGTAGCGGACAGAACTTCATGATAGTTCGGAGATTTAAAGCTACCATCGGTGACACCGCCGATCATGAGCTTTTGAAAGTGATGAAGCCATATGTCAAGCATAGGCGGGTACCCTGGAGGCGAGCGTCACAGTTCCTCCCAGGTAGTCCTCCACCTGCGATGAATGCGGTTCCCTGGAAGAAGAAGTTGGAGATGTATCCGACCCCAGAAAACATCATTGCAGCTCTAAGAGCAAGAGCATCGCCGCTGCAGATTATTGAGTTCATTCGTCAAAGCATCCTGCCCGCTACCTTCAATGAGACTAGTCATGGCCTCTACCTTCAGGTATTGTTATGGATTGAAGAATATCGTATGGAGTGAGTAGATTTGTGTTGCTGTCTGAGGACGTGGATTGATACAGTATGACAGGCAGGATATGCGTTCATACGATCTTGCCGATGCCACGTTTAAGAAAGAAGGAAGATACCACTTGTGGGTTCACGTGCAGCCAGGCCTAAAGCCACACTGACAGATCTTCAGCTTAGACGTGCCGGGACTTGCGGAGAAGCGACCAAGTGTTCTTATAGGTAAGGTTGAAGTTCATATAGTTGCAGTACTGAACTGAGAGCATTGCTTTAGGTGATCGCATCGAAGTACAGACGTCAGGTGCCACCGACGATCGCTGCTTCGAAGGGTGGGTGCACCTCGTGCGACGCGATGACGTCGGCCTCGACTTCCATCCGTCATTCAAGCCAATCGGTAGCCAGCGTTACAACGTCAGATTCCAACTCAATCGTATCCCATTGCGCAGACAACACCAAGCCCTTCGCATCTACCGGTCGAAACTTGCTCGTTTACTTTTCCCTCAACCGCAGCATGTTGGTCTCACGGCATCGGTCTCCGCAACTGATCTGTCCTTGGTTTACTTTGACGCTCGAGTCGGAAACAATGCCGCTCAGGCCACGGCTGTGCGTTCTATTGTTGAGCTGCGCAAACGAGCGGCGCCGTTCATCATATTTGGACCGTAAGCATGCCATATGCATGTTAAATGGCCCTCCTCATCTATCTGTGTAGACCAGGAACAGGGAAAACGGTCACGATCGTAGAGGCTATTCGGCAATTGCTCGCGCGCAACAGTCAAGCACGTATCCTAGCTTGTGCGCCGAGCAACAGTGCTGCGGACATTCTCGCTCAGCGGCTCAGCAAGCTGGGTGCGGATCAGTTGTTCCGCCACTACGCTGTCTCGCGGAAACCGGATGAGGTGCCCAATGACTTGCGCCCATTCATCTTCTTGAACACGCAGGGGAACTTCTCGGTACCGCCCTTGGAGAGGCTTTCGCAATTCCGGGTCATCGTATGTACATGCCTTTCTGCGTCATTCCCGTATGGAGTCGGTCTCCGTGCGGGCCATTTCAGCCATATCTTCGTCGATGAGGCCGGGCAGGCCAGTGAGCCCGAAGTGATGACTGCAATCAAGCCCATGGTACTCCCATCTACCCAGGTCATCCTCTCGGGCGATCCTAGGCAGCTGGGTCCCATCATCCGATCCACTGTAGCCCGGGAGCTTGGCTTGGGTAGGAGCTATCTCGAGCGGCTCATGGAACGCGAGTTGTATCAACCGCCAACGGGGCGGAACAGATCGTGAGTACTCTGTACGATGACTTACAAATCATTCGATGCTCACCTCGTAATCTGCGTAGCTACGTCAAATTAGTCAAGAACTTCCGCTCGCACGGCGCCATTCTCGCATTCCCGAATCAGCAATTCTATGACGACGAGTTGCAAGTGTCCGGCTCTCCGAGCGTCATCAATGCCTACGTCGGGTCAAGGCACCTGGAGAACCTGAAGTTCCCTGTTATCTTCCACGCTGTTTCCGGCAAAGATGACAAAGAAGCGAACTCTCCCTCCTATTTCAACGTCGACGAGATTATCGTTGGAAAGAAGTACATTGCCGATCTGCTCGCTGACCGGCGGCACCCGATCAGTGAGTACTACTTCCACTACAAGCAACTGTCGAATGCTGAGCCCTCCTTCCAGAGAAGAACGAGATCGGAGTGATCGCTCCATACCATGCACACGTACGCAAGTTCCGAAAGGCGCTCTCACAGAAAGTGGCAGGAGCTTCGGTGGACGAAGACGATGCGGTGAAGGTCGCCAGCGTGGAGGAATTCCAAGGCGACGTGAGCGGGCCTCCTTTATAGATGTGCAACCGTTAACGGATAGGGCACGCAGGAACGGAAGGTGATCATACTCTCTACCGTGCGCAGTAGCCGTGACCTGCTCGAGTACGATGCGCGCTATGCGTTGGGATTCGTCGCCAATCCGCGGCGGTTCAACGGTACGTTCAATATCACTATGGCTCATACATTCCGCTCACCTTGCATCGTACCAGTCGCTGTCACACGAGCTCAAGCCCTCCTGATAGTAATCGGCGATCCATCTGTGCTGTCGCTAGATCCGCTATGGAGGGCATTCCTCAACTACGTGTACCTCAATGATGGCTGGCGCGGCGAGCCCATTACGTGGGACCCTCATGCACCGGTGGATGACAACGGCGCGTTTGCACAGCAGCTGCAGCAGAACAGCCTGGCACATATCACGACATTCATGCAGCAGACGCAGGAGTTGGCTGGCGATGAAGAGGGCGAGGTGACCGGCGCTGATGTCGAGGAGGGTGCTGCCAACACGGAGCTTGTGCATGGCGGAGTTCAAGAGTGACTTCGCGTGCAATATACATGATCTTGTACATTTTAACACATATGACCACTTGCTTGATGTGTTCGTGAGTAACCCCAATGGCTGCTTGAAGGGAATGCCTATGGTCTGAACCCTGGTCTACATACAAAAAGTACCATACTTCAAGTTCCTGCTATTTAGCGCACAAACGTCCAAGCTCCAGTCCGACACGGAAAGCAACATTACAAACACCACATTCCAACATAGGCCAATCGCGACCTTTCGTACAAACCACACCCCTGGATATTAATCTGACCTCTCAGGACTATGTTGCAGATCATTGTGCAGCGATCGGCAGCGGAACGTCTATATCACCCAAAGGTATATGCTGCTGGCACCCATGCATGTCAGTCTCCCCAAAGCTACCATTCGGGTGCACCCTGCGTAGAAAGCGAGTCAACACTGAATTCATCGACTAAGGATATCCACCGCACCTCGGAATAGTGAACTTGAATGCACGCGCCTGCGGGAAGAATAGACAGGCAAGCACCGTCTCGGGCTTCACACCATACATCTTCGCAAGGATCTCCTTCGTGAGCACGCCGCTATTCTGTACCGCCTGGAAGATCTCCTCGTTCGGGAACATTACATCGAACGTCAACTCATATGGGCCGCTCTGCAATCGGGCATCATCAGCCTGTCGCCCAGCGCATTTTGAAAGCAAGGCTACGCACATTCTTACTCCTCAACACCGTCGCCACGTCTCGCAGCTTAATCGTCTTATCCCCATGCTCGATAGCCCGCCGCCACTGGGCGACCGGATCGACCTTCTTGCCCTCCATTTCCTTCTTCATTTCCTCCAGCGCACGCGCCGCGCTCGACATCTCCGCGTGGGCGAGGTGCGTGTACGTCGGCCAACGGCTTGGGTCCACTTCGGTCCCTACGGTCTGGTAGGTAATCGGGAACGGCGCGAGCGGGTCGTCGACGTTGATGAGATGGTACACGCAGAATTCAGAGGCCTCGCCAAGGTCTGTCTCCATCGGCGTAAGCGGGCCAGCGAGGTTGCCGCCTGTCGCGACCTGTGAAACGACGCGTGAGTGGGGGAAAGGTGGGAGGTGTGGAGAACAAGGGGAGGACGAAGGATGTACCTGGTACGCATACGGAGTGTGCAGGAGTGCAACACGCAGCGCATTGCAGACGCTGTGCGCGAGTCCCTGCGTAGGTGCAAGCACCTCGCAGAGGACGCACAATTCGTGTGCGTGCTGCTTGACCGGCTCGAGCGGACCCATCACCTAGTGCGATCGTCAGTGTCGTCCGTGCGGAAATAAGCATATATGCGCACCCCGTTCTTCCCGTAGACGTGGAACGCGATGCGGCAGTTGTCGCCTGTGAACTTCGGGTTCATCGTCCGCGCGTAGTTCTCGACAACGGGCAGGACATGCTGTACGATCAGCATGTGAGTATATGCGCTATATGCGTGCTAAGAATAATGCGTACGTCAATCTGCGCGATGAGCCCCGCATCACGGATGCCACCAATGAACACGGAGCGGAAGCCAGTCTTCTTCGCGCCCTCGAGCTTGATCTGGTACGGACGCGGCTCAAACACGGCACCGCGCACGCGCACGATGCGCGGAGTGAGCTGCTCGTACGTCGAATGCGCGAGGTTGAGTACGCCACCGGGACCTGGGAGCAGGTCTGGGCGAGTCTTCTCGTACAGCGTGTGCGCGGCGACGGAGATGGCCGTGCAGCGCGAGGTGTCGTTCGTCGGCTCGAGGTCGAAACTGTCCTTGCGGATCGTCGCGAAGATGAGCGGCTGCTTTGGCTCAACGCACATCCCGCCGCACTCGAGCTGTCCGATCGTGGTTAGATGATCTCAGGTAGATGAGATACCAAAACAGCGTACAATCTGTTGATTGAAGTCCTCAGCACTACCTAGTGGATCGTTTATGAGACGCTCACCTTGCCCATATGCCATGCGATGCCCGGGTCGATCCCGCGCTTAAGACATACAGCAGCGAACGGAGCAGGGTCATACGCCCGGCCGCCCAAGATGATGTCTACCGGTTCGTGCGTGTTCAGAGTAGCCAGGTATGGCTCCGCACCCATTTGCCCCACAATCACTCTGCTCGCGTCCACATCCTCCACAGTCAGCGGCGGCACGGGGCCACACGGGCTGATGTTGCCCTGCTCGAGCGCGTTGCGGACGACGGCCTTGTCGAACTCAGAGTATATCTTGGCAATGCGGAAGCGGTAGCCGTGCTCAAGCGCGAGCTCGTGGATGATCTCAGCAAAGAGATCGACATGTTCATTGGTTCCAGAGCCCCCGCAGGAGCCGATGAGGATGGGAATCTTGTATTTGGCGCAGGCGAGGAGCATGGGCCCGAGGTCGCGCACGTACGCCTCGCGGGGGCAGGTGGTCAAGCCGAGGGCGAGTTTCTGTGGCCCGGAGTCGGTGGAGCCTGAGTCGCAGATGATCGCATGTGGATGTCGCTTCTCGCAGTACTCGAGGAAGACCGACGCATCGTAGCCGTACCCGAGCATGCCCAGGCTGATGCGGCATCCTTTCTTTCAACTACACCTCGTGCATAGTAGAAGCTGTGACTCACGGAGCGATGATCCTCAACTCGTGCTCATCGGTGATGATAGCAGCCATGGTGGTCTTGAGATGGGGAGGTAGGCTGCCGCTGCATGCCCACGTTATATAGGTCTCTGCAGCACTGCTTCTCTTCAACGTCGGCGGACTGGGGAGGAGAGTTATTCACCGTTCCGGACACGATGCCTGTCAGATTCAGATTCACATGCTCTAGTTACTAAAAGCCTCTTACTTGCTGATGGCCGGTGGAAAGCAGACAAGCCGTGCGCACCAAGGCCCGCGACAGTTTGATCTACGCCAGTTTTATCGGCAGCGAAGCACGCAGCATTTCCGACGACAGTAGATGTGGTCGACCATTCAACACAGCAGCCAAAGCGTAAGAAGAGCGGCAATGGCAGATCTCGCGGCTGCTAGGAGCCTACCGCATTGTCACAAATGCTCCTCAAATTCACTGTAGTAACAGTACGTCCTGGCTAGCATGTACGGAACTTTGTCCCGATCTATGAATGCAATACGACAATTCCCAGATCGCAATGCTCGCGGAGTATGGAAGTTCAAGCGGCAAGGGGACTATTCCGGCCGTGCCGACACCGATTACTGATGTCCTTTTAATCCGCTTACAAGGTAGACCTTGATCATCATTTCCACCGTCGCTCATGTTGAACTGTGTCACAGCATCATGAACTTGAATACCATTGTCCACGATGGGTTTCGGCATGAGGCAGTGGAAGACACCGACCTCATGCATGGAGACGGTGAAGAAGTCGAGGATGACATTTTTGACGTTGACCCCGTCCCGCGCGTCAGTGTTGCAAGCATTTTACAACCCTCGGATCCTAAACACGCGTATTTCTTCTGCGCAAATCGCTATGTCTTGATCAATGTCGCTCCTGCCTCGACATTCGACTCAATTATAAGTGGCCCAAGAGCTATCGTCGAAGGCTGGCCGTATCTCATTAATTCCGGATTCGGATCTGTGGATTCTGTCCTCGCGATCCCAGGGAAACCTGGACAAATGTATTTCTTCTGCGGGAAACGGTACGTGCGTATATATATCGAGTCTGGCAAGTGTTCCCTGTGTCTCAGGTTGTGAACGATTGCTGACGCTGGATATTTTAGTAGAGACAACCTCAGGCCATGTGGTGGAGGGCCCTGCAGACATCGCTGCTAGATGGCCTTCTTTGAGGCGGGCTGGATTTGAAACTATCGATGCCATTCTCTCGAATCCAGCGAAAAATGAGGAAGCGTACTTCTTCAGCGGGGAACAGTATGCACTGATCGACATCGAGTCCAGTACAGACTTCACCCTTTCTCTGTAAGATTTCTTCTCAGCTCCCTCCTCACAGACACCAATGCCGACTCCATTGTTAATGGTCCGAAGGCAATCCGGGATGATTGGCCATCCCTAAGTCAGGCAGGCTTCAAAACCGTCGATACGGCTCTTCCGAACCCTGCCAACTTCGACGAGGCCTACTTTTTCTCTGGAGAGCAGTATGTGCTCATCAACGTAAGGCATGGTGCGTTTGCTGCTTGCGATGACTAGCATTCGTGTAACTCGGATTACATGCAGGCATTACCCGCGACTACGTAGTAAACGGTCCGAATCCCATTCGTGATGACTGGCCCTCTCTCCACCAAGCTGGTTTCTGGTGAATAGCGGTTCCTGCTACTGTTGCAATCAAAGGACTTCCTCGCTATGCTTCCGTGCGTTGTGCTTGAACCGAGCGATTAAGAGGCGGCTGCTCTTCATCAGCTCCTGCACAGAATGTCTCAGCCTGTTTTGTCCCCGAGTCCGACTGCCCCCATACGCTCTCCTCTATCCAATGTATGTATGTCAGCGATGTTTCCTTACTCGTTTAGCTGTCAGTCAATACTGTATGATCGCCACCGAAGCGCCGGACTTTATATACTTGTACTCTCTCTCCTTAAATGTTGCACTTCTTAGGTCCCTCTTAATCAAATACTGATTATTTCCAAGAAGCCATACAAGTGCTGAAATGACATGTCTTCTTGCTTCGGTTTTGGATGTTTCGTGATTCGCCCTGTTGGATAGCAATTGTATCAGTCTAGTCAGTGACGCGGTTCGTTCTCCAGTATTTTGCATACGGAAAACATTTTACTTTACTCTCAAAGACATCGCACGTTCCCTCAGCAGGATTGAAGTGCAAAAGACTACAACAGGGCCTCCTCCTGGGGTCGAACGAGCATAAAAGGCACTGCTTGAACTTCCTTCGACAGCGATTGGAAGCGAAGCCATAACATTGCGGGCTCCAGATCTGCCTCCGGGACTCTGTTCGATCTATGCAATCTAATCGGAGTGATTTGCTATTACCTTGACAGCGATCGTAAGGAAGCAACCCCGTCAGTCAAGCTTACAGCAAGGCTACAAGATGCACGCTTGGCTTACAATGACTGTCATACAGTGAAATGCAAAATCAAATAATGGGTCCGAACAAGCAGATAATCGCTGGACCATCGTATTTCCATCGCATACCCGGAGTTTCTGTCCTCATGCGGCCGCTAGGTTTCCATCCTGCAATAAATCATTTTGCGGATACTACACCACTCAATAGCCGAGCATCGTGGTGCCTTGTCTCCTATAGATGGAAGGACGATGGGCCACTTTGGAGCCCCGGACCAGATATGCAGTTAGCTCCATCTGTTGCCGATTGCTTCGGGTGAAAAACACTATAAGGCCCACCAATGAGAGTTGTTTGCGCATGAGAGGTCGAAGCGCGAGCTGATGATACAAGACAAATGGAAGCCAAGTTCGGATGGTTCGGCTCGAATCAAGCACCGTGCGTTGAGGCCGTGAGAGCATCGCGAAAGTATCGGAGGTTGCTATCGACAGATGGGAAGCTGCTCTCAGTACCTGGCGTTGCCGCTTCGTAGAGGTGTGTCCATCCAAGGCCACGTCCGGTAGAGGCTGCGTGATTCACCAAGGGGTGTGTGTATGTCTCACACAACTTGCCGATAAAGAACCGTTGTAGCAAGGTCCTTAGCTTCAGAAACGGACGATGCCAGACGGTAATGAAAACCATTCAAATGTCAGAGCGTTTGAATGCAGGATCGCTTCGTCGAAGGCTGGACTGGACAGGAGGAAGGCATCTAGTGCAAAGGCGGAGTACCAATGTCGGGTACTGAGGGGCTTGGGCGGACTTTGAGAAAAAAGACATCCATGAACTGTGGACTGATCCACGAACTGTAGACTGATCCACGCAGGTTTCTATCTGCAATACAAGAGACCCGGGTTGACGGCGGCAAGCAGGAATTTTGTTTGCTTAGGATTGGAAGATGGTCCTCCAGTAGGAGCATCAGATATTCTTGCGCACTGACTATCGTCTTGGAAGACGATATGCGCGTCGTGTGAACATCGTGTATCACGCACCGAAATCGGCTTGGAATGCAGATAGACAGGAGCATTACAAGCGAGACGCCCTCCGCCTATTCCTGATTCGCTCATGACGTGAAGAGCGGCCAAGAGCCGTCTGTTCCAAGACGTGCGGCCGCTATCGTCTCGGGGACCTATTTCTTTATGTGAGCAGCCGTTCCACGACCGCATCTCATTAGCCTCCATTCTGGTGTCCACCAATGATGGACAGGACGTAGCCGCCGTTTCAGCATATGTGTGGCGGCGGGCGATAAGCAAAAGCTTTGTTTCGGGCGTGAAAAGGTCGAGTATTCCGGTCGGAAGACCGACGGGAGCGGCCGTGGCAGCTCCCAACACGAGGCGGTGGCAGAGAGATCGTCGCGCACAAAGAATGTCTCCGCATTTGCAGACGTCGGTCACCAAGCTTCGTGCGCTGAAGACTGGAAAGTCGGGATGGCGGGAGGCCCGGGGTACAGCCTGCGTCCAACTGTAACCGTATCAGAGAACGTATCAAAACACCGGGATGAATGACGTCGCTGACTAAGCAAGGTAGAATCGTTCCACTAAAATATTCGCTTTTATTGCGGTATTTCCTCGCGACCCATGGCGACGACGTGTCCCGCAACCCCCCGCGACCCTGTCTGTTTGCGAGCGACGGCATAAGCCCGTTGCTGATACACAGAGCACAAAACGTAAACATATCACCAGGAGGTTTCGGTGAGTACTATTCCCGCAGCGCTTCGCCTGTGCAAAATACTTACCCTAGCCTCGTACGATGTGGAACCACCTTGATGATTTGTGATGCACATGCACAGGCACCCTGCTATTTATCTCCACCTTCTACGCCTGCAACCCCTGGTAATCGGTACCCATTCATTTTTTAATCCTCCCCCCGCCGTGCTCGTCCCCACCGTGCCAGGATGCGTGCTCTCGTCCGGCCCCTCGCAGTACACAACGCGTTCTTTCCCATCGAGTCCATCGTCTCCGTATTCGTCCTCGCAACCCTCGCCTACTTTCACATCCTCACCGGCATCAAGCATTCGTCCTTCTTCGCCTCGACCTATCCGACTAATGTGCGTCCAGCGCATGCCCGTCTCAGCGCCGACGAGTGGGTGGGTGTGAGCCAGCGCGATTGGAGCGATGCATGGAAGCATCCAGAACACGGCATGAAGGCCCTGGAACTGCAACAGATCGTGTTCAAACTTGATGAGCCCAAGGCGAAGGTATGTCTCTTCGCCGAGGGCGGGTGCTGGTACATCCGCTCACCGCCTACCTTGCAGGCTAGTACAGAGCTTGGTTCAAAGCCATCTGTCTTGTCCGAGATCACCCAACATCTTCCGTCACAGCTGACAAGTCTTTCGGGCGAGCCGTACTCGTCGGTGTGCTACTACCCAGGTTCAAACGTCACAGGCGTGCCATGCTTTGTGTCATCGTCGGCCGACGACGCATCGTCCGCCCTCACGTTGTCGTTTGTGCCCGGTGCACGCGAGGACTGGCTCGAGGCGTTGCGGCAAGTCAAGTCGGTCACCGTGGACGGCATTGAGTATGACCTGCACGGTGCGAAGCGCGAAGAGACAATCGGCGAGATGAAGAGCAGCAAGTGGGTCGCATACGCTCTGCGCGCGACATTTGTTCGCTTCTGGGAGCTCACCAAGGTGCGCATGGGTTGCGTTGGGATCCTTCATCATCATCTGACATCCCTCTAGAAAGCCGACTCGCTTGACATCGTCGTCGTGCTTCTTGGCTACATCCTAATGCACGCGACCTTCCTTCGCCTCTGGCTCTCCTCTCGTGCACTCGGATCCAACTTCTGGCTCTCGACAGGAATATTCTCGTCATCAGTGACGGGCTTCCTCTTCGCGCTTACGTTCTGCCGATACCTAAATATTCCTCTCGATCCAATTGCTATGACGGAGGCGCTTCCGTTCATGGTCTGCACGGTGGGCTTCGACAAGCCGCTGCGCCTTGCGCGCGCAGTGCTCGCGCATTCGCAGACACTCAAGCCTCAAGAAGACGGGCGCATGAAACCCGCTGGTGACGTCGTACTCGAAGCGCTTGACCGCGTCGGGAACGTGATCCTACGCGACTATGTGCTCGAGATCCTGGTGCTACTCGTCGGTGTGAACAGTGGCGTTGGCGGACTCAAGGAGTTCTGCTCTGTCGCTGCTGTCTGCCTTGGGATGGACTGTCTGATGGTCTGCACGTTCTACACCGCCATACTCACCATTATGGTTGAGGTACGTGTTTTTTGTCTGCGTCTTACCCCTTTGTGACGCGCGGTCACTCCCGTTTCACGGGTCATGTGTGTGTGACTTCCGTCACGTCCTCTCCTATGACAGGAGGTCCGCCCGGGCTCGGCTCATTGTCCTTTGCTCGGCTCATTGTCCCTTTTTCCAATGCCTGACCTGTTCTTGTCGTATATAGGTACGCCGCGTGAAGCTCGTCCGCGAAATGTCTCGCTCTCGCACGAGCAGCATCGTCGCGCCATCCGGCCATGTAGTGCGCCCTGCGCTGTCCAAATCCTCGAAGTCGGTCACAGCCCCAAAGAGCATAAGCGAGCGGGTCAAGGCCGCTGTACTTGGTGTCAAGGGCTCGCTCCTGCCTGACTCGCATGGCAGCAAGGCGCTTCCTGCGGATGAGAACCCGATGACGAGGCTTAAGTTGCTTCTGGTGAGTGCTGATCGTATCGATTGCATGCTTGTACCGATCCTGATGAGTGTTGCTGTGCCAGATTGCCTCTTTCCTGACCCTCCATATCCTGAACTTCTGCACGACATTGACTCCGGCTACCGCCCTAGCCCGTCATAACAGGCACTCTGCACGGACAGCAGCTGATGCGCTCCCTCCCGCTCCCCTTGTTGACATCACTAGCCCTTCCATCTCCAGCATCCTCGCAGACCTCGCCAATGCTGAGGAGGCCGGCCTTACTTCCCCTGATCTTGTTGACCCTGAGTTGATCGTCAAAGTCGCGCCTCCTGTCTATCTCCACCTCGTCCCTGCAAGGAGCGTGGCCGCCTCGAAAACAGAGGCGATTGAGAACTTCATGTCTAGCTGGACCGACCTCGTCGGTGACCCAGTGTTCTCGAAGTGGATCGTCGTCTTCCTGTCCATCAGCGTCGCACTCAACGGCTACCTGTTGAAGGGCATTGCGGCTGGATCTGGCTTGGCAGCGATGAAGGCAGTGAGAGACAAGGGCGTGCGCTTCCGTTCGCGGGTGCGCTCGAGGGTCAGGCCGGAGAAGGAGGAAGAGTCTCAGGAGCAGGAGCACAAGTCGGTCGTTCCTGCGTTCATCATTCCTTCCGCGGCACCTGTGACCGCTGTGCCCGTGCAAGTGCGTGAGCCTGTGCGTCCAGTGCTCAGTGCGCCGCTCAACCTCGCGAGCGTGGATCTGAAGCTCCGAGAGGCTGCCATCCGCGCACTACCAACGCCTGCGGGGACACTGTCACCCTCGAGCGACGCGGAGAACAGTTTTGTCAAGGAGTCTTGCAGCACCGGCCTTCGCTCACTTGAAGAGTGCATTGACATATTCGAGAATGGTCCAAGGCCCGTGTCGGTCGCACTGTCGACGTTAAGTGATGAGGAGGTTATCCTGCTTGCACAGAATGGCAAGATCGCCCCATATGCTCTCGAAAAGGTGCTTGGTGACCTGGAGAGAGCTGTTCTGATTCGTCGCGCATTGATTTGTGAGTCGCATATTCGCTCTCCGCTTGCGTCGGTTCGTTCGTGCTGATGTGACATCCTTCTAGCTCGTGCGTCCAGGACGAAAACGTTGGAATACTCTGATGTACCAATGAGTGGCTATGATTACTCTCGAGTGATGGGTGCTTGCTGTGAGAACGTCATTGGTTATATGCCCATTCCGCTCGGCGTCGCTGGACCGTTGAAAGTCGATGGCGAACTGTACCCGATTCCGATGGCTACCGCTGAGGGCACTCTCGTTGCTTCGACGTCTCGTGGCTGCAAGGCCCTCAACGCTGGTGGCGGTGTTACGACCGTGCTCACATACGACGGCATGACGCGTGGCCCAGCGATCGATTTCCCCTCCATCGTCATGGCTGCGCAGGCCCGAGCGTGGGTCGAGTCCGCCGAGGGCTACGCCGTTGTCAAGGAGGCATTCGAGTCAACGTCGCGATTCGCAAAGCTGCAAAACATAAAGTGCGCCATGGCCGGCCGGACGTTGTTCGTGCGCTTTGCTACCCGCACAGGCGACGCGATGGGCATGAATATGATCTCGAAGGCTACGGAAAAGGCACTGGAGGCCATGAGCAAGGAGTTCCCCGAGATGGTTGTCCTCGCTCTCTCGGGCAACTACTGCACGGACAAGAAGGCTGCTGCGATCAACTGGATCGAGGGCCGTGGCAAGAGCGTTGTGGCTGAGGCCGTCATTCCGGGCAAGGTTGTCAAGTCCGTGCTGAAGACGACTGTTGAAGCGCTCTGCAATCTGAACACCAAGAAGAACCTTGTTGGCAGTGCCATGGCCGGTTCGATTGGTGGCTTCAATGCACATGCTGCGAATATCTTGACCGCGGTCTTCCTTGCGACCGGCCAGGACCCTGCGCAAAACGTGGAGAGCTCTCAATGTATGACGTTAATGGAACCGTGAGTTTCCGCTGTATCATACAGAGCGCTTCAGCGTGCTGATGTCAACCTTGCAGGACTAACGGCGGCGAGGATCTGCTCATGACCATCACCATGCCCTGCATCGAAGTCGGCACCATTGGTGGCGGTACCGTCCTTGCTCCGCAACAAGCCATCCTGGATCTGCTCGGCGTGAAGGGCGCGCACCCCACAAACCCCGGCCAGAATGCCCAACAGCTTGCGCGAATCATTGCATCAGCAGTCATGGCGGGCGAACTGTCTCTTATCAGCGCGCTCGCTGCAGGCCACCTCGTTCGTGCCCACATGGCTCACAATCGCTCTCAAGCGAATACCCAAGCTAACACGCCGAGTACCTCGCGACCCGTCACACCCGGCCTCCCATCTCCAGCAGCCAGTACGTTTTGGGCTGGTGGCGCGACTCAGGGCGTGATAACACCCGTCACGTCTGGATCGCATTCTCCTGTGCCTGCCGGCTATGTCGTGGACTCGAAGTAAATGATCGTGCTCACATGTTTTACCTTGCCTTCGCGCGCTCTTCTTCATGCTGTTTCGTTCAGCGAATGAATGGAATTTACTTACCTCTATGTTGCATGACTAGCATTCCAGTGTTACCCGTTCATTCTACTTATTAGCATTTTGCTTTGCATGACTACATAGATGGACTATTGCATATATTGTATTAACTCTAGGAGCAATGCGCGACGGAAGACTATGGGAAAACTGCCTACTTACTTGCTTGCATGTTCTGTTCTGTCGAAGCAGATCAATCGAATGTCACACCGCCATTGATTAAGATCGTTTGGCCTGGGTGCCAACATGAGCTGTGAGTGAGCTCTACTTGAGGCATCGCGATTGTGATGCGCACCAGTGATGAAATGCGACTCCGGTTTAGCAAGATAGGACACAATGCTGGCTATGGTGTCGGGTCCGGCTTCTGGCGAGTCGAGTGGCAAGTTGAACATCTGCGGGGCTATCTGGAAGTGCGTCGAGCTCCGAATGCAGTGTTTCTACCTTCTTGACTGTCGACCCTGGTCCTCCATTAAGTGCATCGTCCGGATGGTGCGCTATCCGGTGAGATGTCACGCAAGGAGCATCCGCCTTGTGTAACGAACATACCGAGCGCTGTGATGATAAAGCCTGGTGCATACGCATTGACAGTGATGTTGTAAGGGGCAAGTTCTAATGCTGCAAAGTACATAGGCATGTCAGAACTTTTACTTCAGAGCACTACCTTGAAACGTACCGACACTCTGCGTGAGGCCTCGCACAGCGAACTTCGTTGCGCTGTATGCAGCGAGATTTGTGGTACCTGTAAATGACGGGATCAGTGACGGAAACGGGTTTTGTTTTGCTGAGGCGCCTACCCTTCTTTCCAGCTTGTGAGCTGGCTCCTGTGTAGAATGTCCATTTCGAAATTGATATCGATATGCTTGACAACAGTTTCGTTCACCTAGAATTCTTCCGCCACGCCCTTGCTTGATCATCTGAATAGCAGCGTACTTGTAACATAGCATGACTCCTTGTAGATTGATAGCTATGATGCGCTCCCAGTCCTCGGTAGACGCTGCCGCCTCGAGATTCGTGCATTGTTCACTTAGCGGATTACGGATAGCTTACTTTCCACAAAAGGCTTGTGTATCGCAATGCCTGCGTTGGCGACCATCTAAAAAAGAAATGCAAGTTCGGGCTTCATGAAAATTTAGTAGCAATTCTTAGGGCGACATACCACATCTAGTCCTCCAAGTTCACCGACCACCACTGCGATCATATTTCGGACATCGTCTTCCCGAGAAACGTCCCCGGGCACCGAAAGTGCTCGCCTGCCTTTCGCCTGAATCTGCGCAACGACATCCTGTAGCTGATCAGACTTTGCTGCGATATCGTTGACTGCGACGTCCAGGCCATCATCAGCCAACCTTAGCGCGATGCTCAAGCCTATGCCCTGTGCGGCACCTGTGACTACCGCAACGCGAGGAGAGAACTCTGCCATGACGCTGTCTTGTTCAGAGCTTCTCTGGTGGTGAGCGGTACACTGGTGGGGGTGAGTCACTGCCTTGCTTTTACATTGCGGCCCACTGATGTAGGCTTATCCGAAAGTGCGTGGGATGGTGTATGGTCTCATGACAGCATCAGCAGTTCAACTTCCCACCTTCCTCGGAGGTAGTGGCCCGTATCATTGGTTGAAGAAAGGTAGCCACACCAACAATACTACGGTGCTTTATTCGCTTCTGCTGATGATTAAATTCAGTCAATGATGTGCAATCAGGACATACACAAAAGTCAAAGCACGCATGAGCGCCTGAAAGTTGCTGTATGCAGACATGGAGCATTTCAATTACTCACGCACCGTGCGTGTAGCGGCGAGTTTTTGTAGCAATATTGGAACTGGAAGTTAGACGAAGAACTTTGCACGCCAAGTTCAGCCGAGGCGCATTCAGTGGATGAGCACAGATTAACAGGAAATATTTGATGGTACTCTGCCAGAGACGCTAAGAGATGTAAAGGTTCAGTTCGCTGTTACTATCGTCAATAATCGTTCGTCACAGAAGAGGCAACTGTCCCTGCATAACGGAGTGCTTTCAGCGAAAATATTGTTCACAAGACACGAAAAATCATTGAAGACTCGACAAACAATGATGTCAGGACTCGCGAAAAAAAACACGCTGGAAGAGGCTATTGGTGTTGACTGCTTGGCGTTTACTGGTAGAACACACCTACAAAGACAGCGGTCACTGCGGCCACCAGCCTTTTCGTGACGGCGGCGCTTGATGGTGCCCGACAACGGCATCCGAGTCTGCCATTTGGCACTAAGTACTATAGTAAGTATGAGACTGGCACACCGGGGCCAGTATCGCTTACGACTCTGGCCTTCTCATGAGCTTCGCAGTCGTGCCGTGCGGACAACCAAATTTCCAGCGTTCATGTCTACATGACAGAGATCGCGGCGAGCCAGTGTAGCGTACATGATTGCCCGCTAGCGCCCTCTCACGGTGATTTACGCGACTTCAGCGCTTGAGCTTGAGTGCTCAGCCGCAATCGATATTCAATCGTCTTGCCATCTCCACGGTAGCTACTGGATGACTTTCCGTAGGAATTTAGAATCTGTTTTGTTCCAAATGACTGAGTTTGAAAAATGTGATGCGCGAGTGTTCCAGACCGTAACCCAGTTTCGAGCCCAACTAGGTATGACTTTAGATATGACTTTTTCCAGATCATAGCCACCTGTGCGTATCCCAGTTATTGCTGCATGCATTTCATAAGCAGTGCTGCTGCCATGCCCTGTTCAACATCGGAGACACAAGCCATGATGTAATGATCGATGTCATTGAAGTTGACATTCCTCTGCCTGTTCAAGTCCATCTACACTGTGTGGTGAAGGACATTCAACAAAAAGGACGCGCGTCGCGTCACTGATCACAAGAGCGTGACAGGCCTCCGGGCATTGGCAACACTGCTGCCAGATCATCATCACCGCCAATCAGGTGGTGCATGATGCCAGAAAAAGCGTTGAAGCTGTCTGGAAAGCCTCAGAGACATCTGGAGAGGGGGGGTGCCCCATGCTCCAGATTCGTGCATTTGGAACAAGCATCGGAGTTTCAAAATGTCACACTGTCATGCCGGCTAAACTGCGGCAAGCAATCTGAAACAAATGTGTGTTCTAAAGCCGTATCTAAACGGCCTACGGAAAGTCATCCACTATAGCAAGCCAGAACAGAAGGTATGCCCTCATTTTCCTTCGCAGACATGGCATCCCATTCCTTCTAATTCAGTAGCATGCAGCCAAAGAGAAACGTCCAAGTTGCGTTGTCGTAGCCATCGATTCTCGTTACGAGAGTGGAAGTATTGGAGAGTTGCCCAACTGACCAACTGGTAGTATACCGTTGCGTCTTGGCCCCCAACATTTGAGCACCTCCCCCCTGAAAGCAAGCACTTACAACTCTGAATGCTCCATGCCATGATCCAGAACCCAAGTGCACTGGCTGAGGATGGGTTGGCTGCCTCTGTACGAGCTGAGGGTTAAGAATGAGTATATAATTTTTCGAGAAGCAACATTTATATCCACGGTCATAGGACTCTGAAAGCACCGCATCCCGTCCGATCTGCACAGTTAACCAGAGTGCCGCCTAGTTAGTACCACGGTGGGGGACCACGCGGGAATCCTGGGTGCTGTGGTTTTGTTTTTTTTTCTGGAATTTGACTTTGCTCATTGTTGCCTGCAGAGAAAATGTGGTCCTGCTATCAGACTTCTCATGCACTTCATGCACTATATATGCAAAACGTGCTTAGTTGTGATTTCCTGACTTTGAACCCTCCCCCCCCCCGGCACACACGTATGGTCAAGTCCGCCTTCAAGCTGTGCGGTTTACGTAGGAAACTTGCCAGGCAGCACATCTCTGTTCCGATAAAGTCTTATTTCCCTACTATGTTCCGTAGAATCTAGGGAGTTTCGCGCGGTGTGGCTCAAGGTACTTATCGCAGCGCGACGAAGATGATATGATCGTATTCATCAAGTCCTTATCTCTGAAGCACATACTGAAGCGCTACAAGCGTGGATGGCACGAACTCATCTGCACACTGCCGCCACACTCGGCTACATCTCTTCCACGTAGATTGTGCCGGGTTCGGTGCATGGTCGACCAAGGGGGCAGCGCAGACAACACCGCACTTCTCCTGGCGTTGAGGTCGCTCTCGGGCTTCAAAACTTCAAACGCCATGGAGTACAGCTCAATAACGCATCCTTGGCGAGACGGAAGGGCTGTCGGTGCATTTCAAAATGCTCGTTGAGCGGCATGCCAATGTTGTCGCTTCTCTGGAAGGACGTACAGTGACATTCTCTGCATGCAAAGCATACGAGCTTGAACTCGTTGCCTTACTAGTTCGTCATTGAACCCCCGCTCACTTTCAAAAAAACCTGGCCCATGGAAGGACTCGTAATAATGTGTCAAAATTGCACAGTATGTCGGCTAATTAGAAATGCAGACATAAAGGCAAACATGTCCATCCACCGAGACGCCGCCTATGTTATTCTAATATATCTGTTCTCAGCCCAATTTCTGCCACACGCGTTGCTGTCTACAAAGCAAAAGGCACTAGACATGTCGTATTTATGTATTTCCCGAAACAGCGTCGCAGACGATAACGATACAGAGTGCTCCATGCCATCGCTGGCCGAGCATAATCACTGACAACGCCGCACACTCTCTACACGTTTGTGACGAAGTGAGTCCTCATTTATGCTGATTACACTGACTACAATTGGTTATAGATAGGTACATATGACTCGTCGGACACTAGCTTTCTCATTACCAGGACATTATCAACCCAGCACGCATAATTACATCGTCCTTTCAAAGTGATCGCAACGAAACATTACTTCTGATCTTCTGGACATCCTGAATAGCCGGGGTAGCCACCGACATAACCAGAATATCCGCCAGATCTTCTCTTTGACTCCAGATGGTAACGGAGTGTCTTACACGCGCCGTGACGCGTATTGAAAAGCATGAGTTGACTACCGGTGCTCTTCTACAAGGGTTCCGAGATGATTTTACGATTTCGTATGTCGCGAGCATTTGTACTCATCTGACTTTCAATAGCCCGCACTACTTCGAAGTATGCAAGATCTCAGCCTGATCAAGATGGTAGGTCGCCTTCAGCGGCTCCGATATGCATCTGACCTTGCTATCTCAGATCTTCCATGCACGATCAGGCATGCCTCACGAGATCATGGGCATGATGCAGGGCAAGGTCATGAACCATGCGCTCGTCATCATCGACTCGTTCGCACTGCCTGTACAAGGGACAGAGACACGCGTCAATGCAGCCAACGAGGCAAACGAATACATGGTGCAGTATATTCAGGCGAGGTAGCGGGGATGTATGAATTTCGGAACAGTCTAGGCTCGTACCTCTTACAATACTGTGCCTCCTTGCAGGTAGGGCGTTTGGAAAACGCGGTTGGATGGTACCACTCGCATCCCAGCTATGGCTGCTGGTTGTCTGGCATTGACGTCAACACCCAGATGATGAGCCAGAAGTTTCAGGGTCCTTTCATCGCGGTTGTCATCGATCCTAACCGCACAATCTCTGCTGGCAAGGTCGATATTGGTGCATTCCGGATGTATCTGGAGGAGTGTACGACCTTCAGCCTAAAACTGTCCCCCCCCCCCCCCAAACTTCCCCATTCCCTCCTGAGCTATTATGAGACAGTCGCCTGCCCATTTGGAACCGCCTGTAGACCTGTTTCCGTGAGTCTCGTCATATCCATCTTTCCCATGATGAAGTCCTTCCAAAACTGAATAGCTGCCGCAAGCTCATTGCGCCCCTGGAGTATGGAGTCTACGCCAAGCTCGCTCAGGACGTCCACGATTTCCGACTGGCTTGCTGCTGACCGAGCAGAAGCCATGGCGCATGCGTGGGTATCGTTCTGGCTGAGCAGCTCTGCGTATAGCAATCCCATCTTCTCCAGCCTTTTGACCGCCTCCTGCACGACGTAGACATTGTCTGGGTCGTCGAGAGCGAAGGATTCGGACAAAGACTCTTGGATGTGATCGTAGCCACGGGCTTGCCCCAGATTGGCGCAGTTGGAGGGCCAATGGCCCCAATGGGCCAGGGCGTGTAAGATGTTACCTACATGCGAGTGTGATTCTGACCTCGTGTGCGCCCTGTCAGAGGCCTCAGCCAGCCGCTGCTGCTGCGTCCTCGCAACGTGTCTGCCCATCGTCACAGCCATGACCACAAAGGCTGTCTGCTCACCCGCCTCCTGCACTGCCCAGTTGCGTGCGAAGTGCAATGCCTCGTCGTGCGTCCAGTCCTTGGGGGGAGTCCTCCGGATGAGGAGCTGGAGGTATGTCACGACCGGGCATATACCGTCCTTGTGGAGCCAGTCCACACGCCCGTTGGCCAGCAGCCACTCCGGGTACCGGCGATCAAAGTCGAAATCCTTTCCATTCAGCATCTGCCGCTTGTGGAAGAAGCTGGATTCGCCCAAGAGCACGCCCGCCGACATTACAGCGGCGTTGGTCGAGGACTGCTTGAACCTCGCGTCAAACCAGTATGCGATGCCGAAAACCTCGGCGGTGGCGACCAGGAGCTGCGGCGGCGCCGGCGGGCTGTCTCCTGGGCATGATGGGGGACAGAGGGGTGGGGTGAGTTCCGGGTCTGTCCACAGAGCTTTGACGTCGTCGAGACTGGCAATTCTATCGGCCAGCGTTTGTAGCCTCGTATAGACTTCGTCTTCACCAGCCATTACTGATGCACTACTGTTCGTGTGAGTGAGTGTGTGTGTAGAATGACGAGCGAGCGAGTTAAGCGAGATGAGCGCCAAGACGCAAAAAGCATTCGATGTAGGTGGTTGGAGGCGGAACTTAGAGATCGCTGGTGTGGGGGTATTTATAGGGAGTCAAACCGTTTGTCGTCAGCTATCAGGCGGCCACTAACTGGATGACTATCCGTAGGAATTTAGAACTGTTTTGTTCCAAATGACTGAGTTTGAAAATGTGACTCGTGAGCTGTTCCAGACCGTAACGCAGTTTCGAACCCAACTAGGTATGACTTTGGATACGACTTTTCCAGATCATAGCCACCCACACCTATCCTGCATGCATTTTATAAGCAGTACTGCTGCCATGCCTTGTTCAACATCGGAGACACAAGCCATGATGTAAGGACCCATGTTGATGAAGTTGACATGGCTCTGCCTGTTCAAGTCCATCTCAAATTCTCAATTGCAATGCCGCTGTGCGGTGAAGGACATTCAACAAAAAAGACGCGCGTCGCGTCGCTGATCACGAGAGCGCGACAGGCCTCCGGGCATTGGCAGCGCTGCAGCCGGATCATCATCACCGCCAATCGGATGGTGCACGATGTCGGAAAAAGTGTTGAAGCTGTCTGGAAAGCCTCAGAGACATCTGGAGAGGGGGGCATCCCCCCTCTCCTCGAGTGCTTCGAATGCATTGAGCGTGATGTCTCGTAAAGGACCTTGTTTTGCCCTTTTATTTTCATTTCGTGGTCCAGCAGCTCTTACGTCTTTCGGCCACTCCTTTTCCGGTATGTTGTGCGCCGTTAACGTAGTTCGTAGTGCCTCCATAGCTTGCTTGTAGCCCTCAAGTGCTGCAGTATATAGATCGTACACCCATACGGCACATCCCGACATGCAGCATTCTGTTGAGAAGATAAGAACAGAAACAGCTCGATTGAATACATTCGAAACAGCTTACCATCTGCTTCGGGTTTTCTGGGCTTATCTGGGACAACAAATCCGTCGAACATCCTAAGTTGCTTGCCTTTCCATCCTGCAGTCCCCGGCACGCCCACATGTGTCCCACTTGCCTCTAAAGCAGATTCATCACCATCTGCCTCGGTCACGAGTTCGTTGATCTGTTTAGCACACGCTCCCTTGCCTCGCAAGGAGCGTTCAAGGCGCTCCCATCGCGTAGTCAGATTCTGCGAACGAGAGCGCGTCTTCTGCTGTTCGATCTTAACCTGCGTCAGCAGAGAATAAGGCCGGCGATCCGCTTGGAGCTAGTGTTTGCGGTTCTCATGTGAGTGAGATGGGAGATGGAGGAAGGGAGTCCCGGGTATCAATAGGCACATGAATCGTGAGCAATTGGCATGGGGACCGCGTTATGGATGTCGGCCTGGAATGATAGTACAGTAGACTATCTCATAATGCATGATCTCATAATGCATAATATCTCATAATGCATGGCCTGACCCGGGAACCGTGCTCGTCCCCAAGGGAATTATGCATAAAATCTCATATCGCATATTGCATGACCAAATTTGGATTTTATGCATTATCAGATTGGAAATTTGACCTATTTTGGATGATGTGCGCATGAAAATGGTGTTGGCAAGGTGTGAACATGTATGAGAGCTATCTATCATAGCAAAATTTTCATTTGCTTCTCCGTGTCTGGGCCTGAAAGCACTCGAAAATCACACCCCACAGTCATCAAGGAACTCGCGTTACTGCCTTATCTGTATGTACTTACAGAGTTTCACACAAATCCCTTGGAAAGTCACCAGGCGTGACAACTGCTCAGTGAAGGGTCACAATTGTCACATTATGTAACACAATGTGACACATCTGGTAAT